ATAAAGAATAAAAAATGTAACTAACTAAAAAATCTGTGATTAATCAGTAACTCAGTAATACTAATAGTATAATACTAAAGTCTAATACTAAAGATTTCCATTAACTTACTAACTTAACATTATGATCGATTTAACGGAGAATATCGATACAAATCATTCATAAAGTCATGATGTATTATAATCAAGAGGTCTTAAACAATAACCCTTAAATCAAATGTTAAACACGAAATAAGTAAACACAAAAGGCTGACATTAAATTTAAATCAATAATTATTTACTAATAAAATGATTTAACATGTTCCACTTTTAGTCCACCAATGCTGGATATAACTGAATATGATCATTGTATCCCGTGATCTTTCCGGCACGTGATAACCATCAAACACGTGGCGCGTGATCAAACACGTGGCCACACACATAAAGTGGAACTAAAATCACACATCATCAGATTTAGCAGAGTGTTTCCGTTTCATGTGCTGTGTCATATTGCTCTTCAGTCCAGTCTCCCAGCTGCAGTGTGGACAAGTGAAGGGCTTGTAGCCGGTGTGCTGGGTCCGGTGTGCTGCTAGGTAGTCTCGTCTTGTCGCGGAGTAGTCGCATTCTGAGCACTGGGGTGGTCACCGTGGTTACTGTTAATTGGTTTCTAATTAAATAATTAGTTTCTAATTAAATAAGCGGTTAATTGTCTAATTTTTAAGTAGTTCAGTAGGAGGAGAGGTATAATGAGTCGGTTAATAAATTAAAAGTGAATTCGTTCTTTCGATCAACAGACAAAGAAGTTATCATGATTTCTGAAATGTGCATCACCAGCCGCGTTAATCAGTTATAATCACTTCTAATTCTTGAATCAAGATGTCAGTAATAGTAGTTACAGTTTGTGGTAAAATATAGCAATGTTCCTACTTCCTACAATCAATAAGTCAACTAATATTAATAACAGCTTAATAACCTGGTATTTCTTCCGGGCAGTATGCTCCACATATGTTGAACCAGATTGTGTTTAAGAGCCGCACTATAGTCGCACATACCGCACTGGTAGGGTCTTTCTCCACTGTGTGTCTTCCAGTGGCGAGCTGGGGTTAATCGTTACCATGGTTATTGGTTACATGTTACTATGGTTACATGTTACCAATAATAATATACTACAGTGGCGAGCTGGGGTACCACAGTTTGTACATTGAAAATAAGGTAACCAATTTAAATGATTAAAGCGTTATTATAACCACTTATTTCAAATGTTTTGTCTTCTTCAAGGATTCAGGGGCATGTAAATTATGATTTATAACTATAGTGTCCAGCCCTTATTGTTTCTCCTAACTGATTGTACTGCTTAGCTTGGTAGTCGCAGTATTTGCACTCAAACGATTTCTCGTCTTTTAGATTGTAGTTGTATCTAGGAGATTCTGATTTTGGACGATATTCTGAAAATACCGGGCGATGAAGGTCAAGAGGCAACAAACAGATCCAGCATATCCTGATCCTCAGTGACACATGCATGCACTGGAGCCAGGAGCACCGTTATCAATGTCACGTGTATTTTGTCACGTGTATTTTGTCACGTGTATTTTGTCACGTGTACCTTGTCACGTGTACCTTGTCACGTGTATTTTGTCACGTGTACCTTGTCACGTGTACCTTGTCACGTGTACCTTGTCACGTGTACCTTGTCACGTGTACCTTGTCACGTGTATTTTGTCACGTGTACCTTGTCACGTGTAACTTGTCACGTGTACAGCTTGAATAATTGCAGGTTCACCATTAGAATCCCAGGCTCATACTATATAACTTCCTAGTTCTAACTTACTTACCTTCTGTCATTCTAACATCCCATGATTTTGTAATATGCCTAGTCTCCTTCTCTTTCAAATAGGGTGACCAGACTGAGTTACTACTTATCAGAGTTCTACCAATCATCTTGTTAATGTGAGGAGTGGCTCCTTGTTGGGGTGTTGTTGTAGTGGTTCCCAGAGGGGCCGTCGCTAGAGGCGCCACAATGGTTTCCAGAGGGGCCGTCGCTAGAGGCGCCACAATGGTTTCCAGAGGGGCCGTCGCTAGAGGCGCCACAATGGTTCCCAGAGGGGCTGTCGCTAGAGGCGCCACAATGGTTCCCAGAGGGGCCGTCGCTAGAGGCGCCACAGCGGTTCCTGAAGAGGTCTTTAGAGTTGTGGTTGCAGTTGGGGTGGTGAGAAATACCGGTGTCTGGTCAGAGAGAACAGTGGTTGCTGTGGAGGAGGACGCAGTCGTATTTATAGGGGAGAGGGACCCTGCAATAATGAGAAACAGATTCAAATAATGTTTAGGGAATATTTATGTTCTTCAAAGAGATCCTGATTTGTATGAGCACCAGTATGATAATCTGATATTCATGATTTAAACCAGTTAAACCGGAGAAAACTTAATTTCAAAATGTGGAGACCTTTCATGTTATCAATAGTGAACGTACCATAACGCGAGCGCAAACCAGGGCACAAACTTCGAAATCCAACTTGGTTGTCCTCGATATTGGTCTTCGTTGAGTTGCTTAATGAATTACTGTCTTGAACATCTTGAACATCTTGAACATATTTTTCAGCAGCTTCCTTTGTGTTCCGTGTTTCAGTTTGGAGCCACGAGGCCGGAGATAGACTAGATGTACTGATGATAACAGGAAGTCTAGGGTAAGTTAATGGAAGAGATATGTTAGGAAGGGGGGTGGAGCGATCATGGAGGGAGATTGAATGAGGGAGGGGCATCTGCAGTGGTGTGGTGAAGAAGGAGACGGGACTTGGGAAGAGCCCTGGACAGGGTGCCAGCTCTTTTTTTAGTCGTGATAACTGGGCAATCACTGAAATGAGTAGAAAATCAACCTTAATGATTATTGCGGTAAAATAACGATCGTAAATTTTTCGCTCTTTATGTTTTATCATCTCAAAATTAAAAAAAACCATGATTACCAAATCTAAATTAGCAAGGGTAAATCATTAACGACTGGACATTTTCCCTTACGGTTTGCTATGCTATGGTTCCTCTGGCCAGGAACTTTCATCACTTCTTGTCCCTCCTTCAGGATTCCTCCACATACATCAATTATGTCACGATCTGAAATATACAGTAGTAGATATAAGCTGTTAAATATACTATTACCTTATCGGACCTTATTTGGACGGACATTACTTGAACGGACATAATTATGAACGGACATTAATATGAACGCTAGAAGGCAATCAAAACCATCAAAAATCCGATTTTTTTTCATCATTTTTTGACGCTTTTTTAATTTTAGCAAATGATTTTAAATCCATGTTTTTCATACAATAAGCCTATCTTGCGCTGTGCAGATAAGGTACGAAGGTACCTACAGGACTAAATTAGATACCGTCGGTCACATACCTTATAGGGAGATATCCCGGTTTGTCTTCTACTTTATCGAGATGGGTGGTATGGTAGAAGGTATCGTAGCTTACATAAGGCTAAGCCACCGAAGGTCGCCTATACCAAGTGGGGGGCTAGAGATAAAGCTTAAGCTGTACTTTAGGCATTCAAGTATCTCTCTAGTAGAGCAGTTGGGATCGTCCATTGCCCGGTACGACTACGAGTTGGACAGACAACCAGTTGTAATAGAAAATGTGGAGGTAGAAGAAGCCAAAGATCAACTTCAAGATAGTGATCATGCAATAATGTGATATTTACAATTCAGATTGTTAAAATTTTATGATACCTTGTTTTTATTAATCCAACGATATAGTTTAGTTTAACTTTTATGATAGCTATTGAAATTGACTGAAATTAAAAAGCTGTCATATAATAGTTGTTGTAATATTCTGGACAAAAAGTTCGAAATGAAACAAATTTTGAAAAAAATTCAACGGACTTTAACATGGACGGACATTAATTGAACGGACTTTATTTGAACGGACATTAAGATGAACGCTAGGGCCTCCAGCGTTCAAGTAATGTCCGTCCAAATAAGGTCCGATAAGGTATATCAATATTGATCCTAAGAACATATCCTAAAAGTTTGAGGGTTATTGCTCAAAAAATGTAAGAGAAGATAGATTTTTAGACTCGATTTTCAGAGCGGGCGATTGAAAATCACTACCGCAATACTATATACAATTATATTTAGCCACTGACTTTTGAGCGCTGATAATATCGGCTAGGAACAATATTTTTCCATGGGACCAAAAGCAGCTGATGCGTGAGAAGTAATTCCTAGCGCGCGGGTCCCTCATGATGATTGATGATATTACCAGAAGTTATTGATAGTTAGTCCTACAACAAATAACATGCAGGTAATACCACAAGCTGACTTATAGCGCTCTGTAAACCCAGCTTCTTTCTGTCCTCTGTGATTGTTGTACATCAACTACACAGTTCTGCGGTTAAACCACGGATGTTAGTATCTTTCGAGCTTTAAACCCCTTTTAACTTATTCAGAATATATCAGCTGTGAACTAATTGTTGAGATAAGCAGACTGCTGTAGTAGATATTAGTACCATATTAGAGTAGTACAATCATGCAACTAACATGTAACGCCTTTAATTAGTACACTTAGCTAGCCAGGTCATCAACCATTCCGTGAGTAATATATATTATTAGAATTGTGGATAATTTTAAAAACCTAAAGACTAGAGTCTAGAGAGTCTGGATTGGATTTCTGACTACAATGAACCATAATGTGGCTACTAGTCATAGAGACCACTGTATTCACTCAATAGCTCATTCAGCAGTAAATAAACTGATTGCGTACAATTTGTCATTGTTAAATTGTTCCATTCATTTTCAGGAGCATCCTTTGTTTGTTTTTTGCAACTTAGCATTTGCAGCGCTAAACTGTATACACCGCTGCTTTTGTCTCGTATATAAAAACTAGAGCGTTTTGTATATGAAATGGAGCACTGCTATTGATTGGAAGCTATAACTAAAATCAATTGCCTGTTAAGCAAGACAACAGCTACCGTTATACACGTGGTCACGTGATCTGTACAACAAGACTTGTCATTCACGATTACTTTTCTCATTTGCTTGTTATTCTCGGCGCTTTGATTTTAGTTCTATCGGACTAAAAACTTGTATTTTTAGCCGGTATATGTAAATATAGCATGTGAATTTGTGATGTGGTTCGAGAACCCCTTTAGAAACAATGATCCTGACAATTTGGCCCTCCTTTTGAGAAACCTCGGAGGCAAGCAGGTTGGTGCTTTCTGTTTCTTTCCAGCAGAACTTCCAGATATTAGATAATTTTGATCACATTAGGTACATTTTCACAGCTTATCAATATGATAACTGCAACCAAGATGTAGCCAACATTCTTCTAATGTTAATTTCGTCCGCAGTTAACATTTTTAAACCTTCATTACACTATGAAACCCAGAATAAAACTGGGGAATAAAGAATATTATCATTAATTAACAAAATAAGCATCTCGTAATCATCAAAATATCCAGAATAGAATGAGCAATTACAAAATTGGTTTTATTTTATTCTGAAACACAATATTGTCCCTTTCTTAGGCAGCACAGCCCAAAAGATCGAGTACAGTAGACGTATGGAGAGGGAATTACGACAACTTCATATCACCTAAACCTAAAATAACGATAATTAAAAAGTATGCAGACCCAAAAGATGAAATCGCGTACGTAAAATAACTTTCTTAACGTTAATTTATTTTATTATCCCAGTGTGACTATGTGGACTTAGAACCATCAACTATTTGGAATTATTACCTACAGAGAAGCCTAGACATTGTTTCCTGACTCTCTTACTACAACACCACCTAGTTACCACTTAAGAGATTTGGTTGGGGAGGCGGGTTATCGTTGTGAAGTACTGTACTACTCACGAAGTATTGTACACGATGTTTTCAACCCACGAGTCAGAGAGCAAGCTCAACTGACGGCTCCCAGATGGCGTATGCACATGTAGGTGAATCGGTCTGATCAAGTATAGTTGGTTGGGCTGTGATTGTATCGACCATGAGTACCAAGCAAGCAGATATTTGAATTGACTAGATTTCCACTGGTAAGCGATTCGGAAAATCATGGGCCGGCATAGTGCCGGGGCGGGTATGATCCGCCAACCTCCGAGTTACATGCCTGGTGCTCTACCAATTGAGCTACCGGCCCTATTCAGCTCAGGAATTTCTTGCACGCCTATCAGTAAGCAATCGTGTTGTTATCTCATATCTGCTGCTATTAGTACACTGCATTATATGCAGCTGGGATACTCACTGCCATATTTGTGAGTGTGCATACTGTGTGTAATGTTATTAATTTAAGAGATTTGGTTGGGGAGGCGGGTTATCGTTGTGAAGTACTGTACTACTCACGAAGTATTGTACACGATGTTTTCAACCCACGAGTCAGAGAGCAAGCTCAACTGACGGCTCCCAGATGGCGTATGCACATGTAGGTGAATCGGTCTGATCAAGTATAGTTGGTTGGGCTGTGATTGTATCGACCATGAGTACCAAGCAAGCAGATATTTGAATTGACTAGATTTCCACTGGTAAGCGATTCGGAAAATCATGGGCCGGCATAGTGCCGGGGCGGGTATGATCCGCCAACCTCCGAGTTACATGCCTGGTGCTCTACCAATTGAGCTACCGGCCCTATTCAGCTCAGGAATTTCTTGCACGCCTATCAGTAAGCAATCGTGTTGTTATCTCATATCTGCTGCTATTAGTACACTGCATTATATGCAGCTGGGATACTCACTGCCATATTTGTGAGTGTGCATACTGTGTGTAATGTTATTAATTTAAGAGATTTGGTTGGGGAGGCGGGTTATCGTTGTGAAGTACTGTACTACTCACGAAGTATTGTACACGATGTTTTCAACCCACGAGTCAGAGAGCAAGCTCAACTGACGGCTCCCAGATGGCGTATGCACATGTAGGTGAATCGGTCTGATCAAGTATAGTTGGTTGGGCTGTGATTGTATCGACCATGAGTACCAAGCAAGCAGATATTTGAATTGACTAGATTTCCACTGGTAAGCGATTCGGAAAATCATGGGCCGGCATAGTGCCGGGGCGGGTATGATCCGCCAACCTCCGAGTTACATGCCTGGTGCTCTACCAATTGAGCTACCGGCCCTATTCAGCTCAGGAATTTCTTGCACGCCTATCAGTAAGCAATCGTGTTGTTATCTCATATCTGCTGCTATTAGTACACTGCATTATATGCAGCTGGGATACTCACTGCCATATTTGTGAGTGTGCATACTGTGTGTAATGTTATTAATTTAAGAGATTTGGTTGGGGAGGCGGGTTATCGTTGTGAAGTACTGTACTACTCACGAAGTATTGTACACGATGTTTTCAACCCACGAGTCAGAGAGCAAGCTCAACTGACGGCTCCCAGATGGCGTATGCACATGTAGGTGAATCGGTCTGATCAAGTATAGTTGGTTGGGCTGTGATTGTATCGACCATGAGTACCAAGCAAGCAGATATTTGAATTGACTAGATTTCCACTGGTAGTTACCACTTAGTTACCACCTAGTTATCACTTAGTAACCACCTAGTTATCACTTAGTAACCACCTAGTTATCACTTAGTAACCACCTAGTTACCACCTAGTTATCACTTAGTAACCACCTAGTTACCACCTAGTTATCAATTAGTAACCACCTAGTTACCACCTAGTTATCAATTAGTAACCATCTAGTTACCACCTAATTATCACTTAATAACCACCTAGTTACCACCTAGTAATCACTTATTTACCACTTAGTTGCCAACTAGTTACCACTTAGTTACCACTTAGTTACCACTCAGCAACCAACTAGTTACCACCTGGTTACCACCTAATAATCTCCCTACAGAGAAACCAAGACGTTGTTCCCTGACTCTCTTCCTCCCACTCCGAGAACTCTTCTGTGTCATCACGCAACTGACAAGAGCGGGCACATAACGTGCGAACACCCCGGAAAATGCAAGTTAGTTAGATTAGTTAATTAAGTTAGTTAGTTAGATTAGTTAGTTAGTTTAGTAAGTTATATTAGTTAATTAAGTTAGTTAGTTAGATTAGTTAGTTAGTTTAGTAAGTTATATTAGTTAATTAAGTTAGTTAGTTAGATTAGTTAGTTAGATTAGTTAGTTAGATTAGTTAGTTAGTTTAGTAAGTTATATTAGTTAATTAAGTTAGTTAGTTAGATTAGTTAGTTAGTTTAGTTAGTTAGATTAGTAAGTTAAATTAGTTAATTAGATTAGTTAGTTAGTTTAGTTAGTTAGATTAGTAAGTTATATTAGTTAATTAAGTTAGTTAGTTAGATTAGTTAGTTAGTTTAGTTAGTTAGATTAGTAAGTTAAATTAGTTAGTTAGTTTAGTAGATAGATGCAGAGCTGCAATAATTTAGTGAGCTCCACCAGGTAACACCACTAAGCCAAAATTTACCCACAGCACTGTTTCTTCATTTGTAGATATGAAGCTCGATGTCCCATATTACAATATGATTTCAATTAAAGTCGCATTTCAGTATCCATAAGCTGACGAAACCGTCCGCATTTGAAGTCTCAAAGCTGGACCAATGTCGCACTGTGATCGACCTTTACGAGCAGGTTATTATCTGTTAGAATTATTAATTCAGCTTCATGCTGCAGGTACATCGTATGGTTTTACTAGCTTTAGAATTTGAACAAATTGTGGCGGGTATTGTTTACGGGGATATTTGCAGGGTGTAATGGGTGGAGTTATTAATGCTGAACAGAGTGTCTCTAGAGATGCCACCAATCAAAGGTACGTGATAATTCCTGTCAGAGATATCCTTGTTTTACTCAGATAACCCGTGTGTAGTTGTAACGCAACAATAACTCAGCAGTTTTACTAAATACGAGAGTGTTTCAGGTACAGTCACAATGAATATGGAGACAAATGTGAGGCTCACAGTAACTGCAACGGTAAAATCTTAAATTCTTTAAATGTATTCTTATTATAGTGGTTATATCATGGTCTGTAATAATGTAGTGGTTATATTATGGTTTATAATAAATTTAACAAATCCTTGGGATATTAACCCCACAATCCACATTCATCATAACAGCTGACTTCTAAAAAGTAGTCAAGGTTTCAGTTAAACTTGCTCCTTTTCAGGTGATTGTGGTACTCACGGAACTCCTGCCACCACTCAAACACGGATCACCACACCACGGACCACAACCACCACCACCCCTTCTCTATCTCCAGCTGCTCTAGCCTACACTCCTGACACCAAACAAAACATTGACAAACAGATTGTAGTTGCTAGGACACCAGATGCTAAACTTAGTTCTGCCAAGTTAACTACTTATGGAGACCAAGTTAAGAAAAGAAAAGGGCTGAAGAAGCAAGTGACGTTTTCTGATAATATAAAGGTTAAATGTGTCAACCCAAACTGCGGAAGGACCTCTATTTTGGGTAAGTGTTTTTGAGATTGTTTATAAATTCAACTGTTTCTAAATTTTTATAAATTGAACTGCTTCAAATCAAAAATAACCGGAGAGAAGTTTCCATTCGAGAGAGAAAACAACAATTCAGCTAATTATAAAGTTCAGGAGAGAGTTGTGAAAGTGAAAGTGAAACATCGCAAACGAAAAGTGCAAGAGAAATGATATCCCTGGTGCCTCAGAAGGAGAGGCCGCCTCCTAAGAAAGCTACTTGTGGAACTGCTGATACTAATAGAATTTGTAAAAGGGATACTGATAAAGATAAAGATTGTGATACTTCTGAACAGATACTTCTCCCCTCATGCTATTATCGTAAGTAAAGATAAGATAAGATAGTTCTGTTACAGCTGACAGCTGTATCTCAAAGCTTTTGGGTTTCAAGTGCCCTTATTTCTAGTGGAACTGGCTAACTTTCACCTGTCAATGATATTGTTTTGTCCCCTGAAGCAGTGAACCAATCCCCTCTCAGAGCATGCTCGAAACAGAATGACACGACTGAAAGACAAATCAAAAACTCTAGCGGAGAAAGCGTACTCACCACCAAGCAGTCTTGCAAAACCAGCTGGTCCCAGATCCTTCAGTCTTGTTCAAAAATATAACAATGCAAAGCAGAACAAGATCAAGAAAAAGAAATTCGTCATACCCAACGTAGGTCAGGGGTAGTACCAGCAGGTTCACATTATCTGTTAATGAGTTCAACTTAGCATAGTTCAAATTATCTGTTATAACACAAGGTTAGCATAATAATTTATATTCCTCGTCATAAAAACTTTCAGGTTAACCCAGATTGTCTATACCAACCTTCAAAACCGAGAAGACCCCGCAAAACCCCACTCACATTCCACACGGGCCCCAGACCTCCGCCTCCCCAGTACAGGATCAACATGAGGGATATCTATCCGAGGAAGAGGAGTGGGAAGGTGTCACTGAGAGGGAGGGCTAATACTCGTGCTAATTGCTGGGATGATGAAGTGGGGCCTACTATCAAAGTGGCTGTGGATGATGTAGGACCGCTAGTGTACGCTGTACAAAACGGTCTGTTTTCATCATTTTATCTTCTCTTTATTCTTTAGTATTTTATATTAACCGGTTAATGTTATTCTAAGTCACGATCAATAGTTATTAACTCTTTTTCAGCTGAAGTGAATTGGAAGGACTGGCAAGTAATGACTTATCTTTTGTCACCGGAATATCAATTTAAAGGTCATGTTGCATTTTTTAACATTTTTTAAAATGCGCCCCCTATCTTGAAGCACTGAAAACATTAATTTTTCAGGTAAAATCCGAAGAATGAAAATTGAAGGATCAACTCAGTCTTGTCAGCTAGAAATCTAAAAACCCACAGTTCTTGGCCCGATAAAATGTTGATTATATTTTATTAAATTTAGATTCATCATTTTATATTGACATTTGTTAGACTAAAAAGCAGTAACAGGTATATACAATGCATGTGACTATAGAATCATAATTTATTGTTTTATTTAATCATCATGCCTCTTATTGATACTGGGGCCGGGAAAAATTGCGGAAATAAACAAAAATATGTTGCATATTATTATTATATCAATAAATATCGGTCATTCAGTCATTGTTTCTTTAGACTGCGTATAAGTATGCTGGCTACACTTTCCTTCTCTACCATTGCCATCCTGAAAACATCAGAACAAAACTTCTACAGTCCTGGTCAGCAAGGCACTTCGTAACGCCACTGTTGGGTCAGAACTGAAACACACCTCATTTCGGGGCCGAACCAGATTCTTTACAAATTTGCAGATCAGTTTAGAAGAAATGGAGCTCAGTTGCTTATTGGTCTAATTCTTAGTCTGAATTAACCCATATTTAAGTGACTTGAAGTGACTTAGTTGTTTCTGAATAGTACTTGCTACAATCTAGCCACAGTATACACTCAGGTGGTGTTTATCATGCACAGATTGGTGTTGGGTGGGTGCCAGCAGTGTTGTTAATACTGACAGTACCAGTCTGTTTACCAGTGTTAACTGGGGTAACGACCAGTGTGGGATTGTGGGAGTGCTCTACAGTCAGCACCTCGGCTGGTTTGTGGTGAAGTGGAGCCAGAGTCCGGGGTCGAGTGGGCGGGGTCAGTAACGCTGGGTTAGTGGGCTGCTGGGGAGTTGTTTTAGTACCTAGCAGGAAGTACGTCCTCATCATCCCTTTACCCTGCAGTTATTAAATACTGTTACAATGCAGTTACAATGCAGTTACAATGCTGTTACAATGCTGTTACAATGCTGTTACAATGCTGTTACAATGCTGTTACAATGCTGTTACAATGCTGTTACAATGCTGTTACAATACTGTTACAATACTGTTACAATGCTGTTACAATACTGTTACAATGCTGTTACAATACTGTTACAATGCTGTTACAATGCTGTTACAATTCTGTTACAATGCTGTTACAATGCTGTTACAATGCTGTTACAATGCTGTTACAATGCTGTTACAATACTGTTACAATGCTGTTACAATGCTGTTACAATGCTGTGACAATGCTGTTACAATACTGTTACAATACTGTTACAATACTGTTGCAATACTGTTACACCACTGTAATCAGAATAGTTATCAAGGATTGAATGTTTGGTGGGTTTGTTTTTTAGGCACAGGAAGGTATGTTGGCAAGTATAACGTCTGTTAAGAGAAAGAAAACTGGTAAGGTATTAATGGCGCACCTTGATAAGCATCTCGCCCCTATCTTCAAAGAGGAAGTTGCCTTGGTCCTGCAAGTGCTGGTAGAAGGAGGCGGAAGTGTGGATCATGGAGGGGAGTCCAGTAGATTCCATCCTGCTGGCGGTGTTGACGGTGTCCCCGAACAAACAGTAGCGGGGCATCTTCAATCCTACCACACCTGCTGCACATGGACCAGTGTGCAGCCCGATCCTGGGGACAATTATTAGAATCGTATTGAGGGGAGTCATATTGGGGGGGGGGAGTAAAGGTATATACTGGTATAGTTCTATCAGTGAAGTCATGTTTCCGGTTTCGTACTATTTACATCATATTACATTATTTGAGGCATTATGCAATAGACCGATGAAGTCACATATACGTAATAAACACTGATCATCCCCGGATCCGGGGTTGAGTAATAGAAAGCAATAAAGTATAAAGATCCGAAGAGAGGTGCCAACCTAAGCTTTAGTTTATCAGCGGGACGGTGTCTAACAGTGAAACTGTTGATACTATCCAGGAACTGGAGGGACATGGCTGCTATCTCGTGACAATGTCTCTCTTCGTTCCTCTGTGGAATGCCTGAGTGGGAGAAACTGCCCGTTAAACTGATAGGATTATGGTCATTTTGGGAGGTCAATTTCGAAATAAATAAGCGAGAATAAAAGCAAATCTTTCTTATATAATCTGAGGATTATCAATAAAATTGTTTTTAAATACCTGAGACCACCATGTATGCGTCCCCAATAGTCTCGACCTTCAAATTTGAATAGAGTGTTAGAATTAAAAGCTATGAAGTTTAGGATAAAGTATTTAACACCTTTTATTTAATTTAATTTCTGGTAGCTAAAGAAGTCTGTATGATGAAGGAAGTTAGGGCCCCATTACAAGATTAAGACCATAGTATTAGTAGGTATAGCTAAAAGCACAGTGTATATGAGTATATGGCCTACACGGACCGCCTCTAACTATGATTCTCACTACCAGATTACATAGTCATTTGTCACTCGGTAGAGGGGGGGGGGGTAACAGTTGGTATCACTAGATTGATAAAATTACTAAACTGCGTTTATTTGTAATGAAATAATCTTTATAACTACAAATTAAACGTCCATTTCAGATTTAGTTTGAAAAGGTATTAATTAAGCCACCCTAATGAATACCAATCTGGATGTGGAGCCAGCTAACCTTGTAACAATCGAATTTCCCGATTAAGTCATCAAACACTGTATAAAGATCGTTGAGGAAGTCTACCACCTGCAATGATTCAATTCAGAAGGAATAGGTACAGAACGTAAAATTAGAAATTAAATCAAGAAGAGGAGAACTTAATGCTGGTCTTATAATGCTACATTTTAAACACATACTTGGAAGGGGGTGCTAGCTCGGGACATGTCAGTGAACCCCACTATATCGCTAAAGTAGATGCTGGCCTTCTCAAACGCTTCGGCCGGAACATGTTCCCCCACTTTTAGCTTTTCCGCGACAGCCCTGGTAATAGCAGTTCAGTCAGAGTCAAAGGTACTTCAACCATTGAAATAATCGAAGAGCTTAATAGCTAAATTACTCCTTTTTTCTTTGACAAACTCCCCCACAATAATGAATAACTTATTAACCCGGCTTGCAGTTCCTCGCCCAGGTTTTGCAGTTTAATAGTAAACAAATTCTAGATGATCCTTGAATACCTTGGTAACATGGAATAGAGAAGTTGGTCGGCTCTGTCTTTCTCGTCAGCTAGTTGCAGAGTTCTCTCTTCAACCAGGACTTCCAGCTGATTTGTGTACTTGTTCATCATCTTCAGCATCCTGTCTGTCAACGAAATCCTCCTGAAACAGTTACAATATACAGTTACAACAAATATTCTCGTAAAAAACAAATGTAGGATACCTTGGTGAAGGGTTAACTCAGAGAGTAATAGTCGACACTTTACGGATAATATTAATTTTGAATTACATGTAGCACGATGGCTCGTCGCGCAGGTATGCAGGTGTATAATTCGGCAATGGATACAAACCTATCGGGATTAAGATCGTAGAGAATGTTTTTTATCTCTGGTAAACCAATTCTTCTGCCTGGATCTCCCTCCCAACACCTAGCAACACAGTGTTAGTAGAGGCTGTTATCTTCATGTTATTATTCCTATGTTGTTATCTTATTGCATAACTTAAATGATTCATTGTTATTAATAAGTTATTTATTTTGGTTCGCTGTTCATTTACCTTTCTATAACGTCTATAAAATCGTTGGAAGCGTGGTCGTGAGCGATCTTTGGTCGGAAGCCTACTGGTACTTTCTCCAAGATTTCTGAAAAGAAATACTATACCTTCGTTTTTCTTTTTAGGGGGTTGTGATCAAGGTGAACAGTAAAATATAGAGCATTGAAGCTCCAAGCTAACCCCGGCGAAACACTATGGCATAATTCAAGTTAGTTTTCTTATGACTCTTTAATCCTGATACTGGATCATCATTCATCAAGTTATAAGCCGTCTCTGAGAACTGACCCTCAGTAGTATAGTGACAGTTAGGATAAGGGCAGTCCTCGCAGATGATCTCCTGCAGTATGATCCCAACACTGTACACGTCTCCAGCCTGACTCCCTGTGTGTTTTGCCGTGTACAGGAACTCTGGAGCTCGCCACAGTTCCGCTAGAAGAGGGGCGGGTAAGTTCTTACTTTAGACAACTTGGTGATATTGTTTAGTTAGATAATTAATAGCGCTGATGATTTTAAAATGAAGGATTCATTTTACCTTCGGTCAAGGCTCTGCCGGATTTGAGAACATTGTCCCCGAGAGTTCGTCTGAGGCACCTCATCCCAAAGTCAGTTAACTTGAGGGTCCAGTGATCATCCACTAAGCAGTTTGACGAGGTTAAATTGCCGTGATATTCGATGGCTGACCGGTGAATGTACATCAATCCTTTGACTAAGTCAGTAGATAGCGCCATCTTGAACATCAGATCCAGTTTAACCCTGTCATCGCTCAGAAGGTCCTGCAATTTAATCACAATTTTACTCAAAACAATATTATATTACTCGGAGTTACCCAACCGTCTATGAAGAAGGAAACAAGCTGAAGTACAAAACGACAACAAGAACAAACCTGGAGACTTCTTTTAGAGCAGAAAGCTGTGGCAATGAAGATGTTCTCTGGAGTTATACATACTCCGATAAACTCAGCTATATTAGCATGCCTGGCCTCCCACACCTGTAGTAGTAGTAGTTGTAGTAATCTGTTACAAGAGCAGTTCTTTGGAGACTCCAGACATTTTCAAATCAAAATTTAATTGCTAAAAAATGTTTTTAAACAAGTTAAATTTAAACAGTCCAGCTGAAGACGATTTACACATGTATCTTGAAAGCTCCTGCTAAATAAACGTTTTCTTATCACTTATATGTTTTAGATAATCCCCCTCCAGGTCCAGAAAGATGGTCCACTGAGTTACCTGTTGGCATTCTTGCAATATTCTATCGTTTAGGGTTAGAAACTGCTTTTTCGTTCTCTTTAAATAAACTGTTTTGTTCTGGGAGGTATTTTATATTGATCATTCTACGGTTAGAAACTTAAATACAAGTACAAGTACAAGTACAAGTACAAGTACAAGTACAAGTACAAGTACAAGTACAAGTACAAGTACAAGTACAAGTACAAGTACAAGTACAAGTACAAGTACAAGTACAAGTACAAGTACAAGTACAAGTACAAGTACAAGTACAAGTACAAGTACAAGTACAAGTACAAGTACAAGTACAAGTACAAGTACAAGTACAAGTACAAGTACAAGTACAAGTACAAGTACAAGTACAAGTACACTTAATTTAATAACCTTAATTTAACAACTTTTATTTTATAACTTTTATTTAATAACCTTTATTTAATAACCTTTATTTAATAACTTTTACTTAATACTTTTATTTAATAGCTTTTATTTAATTACTTTTATTTAATAACCTTTATTTAATAACCTTTATTTAATAACCTTGATGTGAGCTCTGTTAGAAAAGTTGGCAGTGTTACCAGTATAGAAGGATGATATAGAGGGGAGTGACAGTGCAGACAATCCTTGACCACCCTGGAGATTCTGCAGTTTTATATCGAAATTACTTTTAAAAACTTTTAAAAGTATATTTAACTTGTATGGTAGTAGGTTCATGATTCTAACGTAAGAAATTTCTACTAAGAATGATCGCCGAGATTAATGGTATATTTGGTTATGTCCAGTTTTTACACTATGGGTGAAGAGTTAACGGGGTTTGTAGTGTTTCGTCTAAAAGTCATTAGTTCCCGGCCCATGAGGCCATGAAACCCAGACTCTCAGCTATTTAGTAACTCTTTAATCTAATGTGTCCTGCAACGTCATGAGTCCCCATCCTGTCAAGCGGCGTGTTCTGATCTGCAGGACTCGTTAACTGGGTGGTGTGTTAGTCGTGGTTGTGTCCAATATGTCATGTCACTGTATGGCGACTAGAAAGTGCAAATTGATGACTGATCACTGGAATTACCTTTCCACCAGCTGCAGACTCGTTATAGAATACAACGTCTGTTAGTTTAATCTCCCACATTCGCCGATACACCTTAGTTCGGTGCTGAATCTTCCTAAAAAGGGGGACATTTTTATGGTTTGTATGAAACGGAAAGAACCGAATTCGAATTATAATATCTAAACTTGTACAAGTTAAAGAGTATTTGAAGCTGCTAACCAGACTAGCATAGCACTGAGTATAACCAGGAAGATAGACGCGATAACAGCACTACACACGATGATAACCATTCTCTCTCTCTGATCCAGTAGTTTGCAGAGTTCACCGTTCCTCCCGCACTTGTCTGGAGACACTGTGCTTCCTCCAGGGAACACCACTGATCTAGTCTTCTTAAGCGCGTTGTTCGCCTGAAGTGGAAGCACTGTTTACCTTGCTTATCTGGGAATTATCTTGATGATATTTGGCGAGATCAGTATATGTACGTCATCAGTTTCCACACTAACGTGTGTTGTTACCTGGGTGTACAGAAAGACGTTATTGAACTGGTTGCCCTGGTAATTCTGTATCAAGAAGTCTGATCGTCTGTCTCCTCCACTCATGTTCAGAGAGCCGCTAACTCCTGCACATTCTTTATCATTCAACAGGAATAACATTTCATTGGTATCAATTAGTAATTTATATAATATTGCTACTATTAACTAATTTAATTGGCTTGTTCTTACCTTCAATGACAAGCTCACTTATTTTGTCTCTGATATCCTTGCCAAATCCTTCGATGACATTCTTTTTAAATTTCTTCTCTTTTATGGTATTGTTGAGACCGACTGCAAACAACATCACAGCGTCGTGGATAAACGCTTCATATATAATCTCCTGAACAAGAAACACACCATAAAGAAGATGTGTATTTGAAACAAGACGTAACACTGTACAGACATTGGGGCGAAATAAGAGATTGATATTTTGCATTTGTCTAATTTACCACTGGGTCGTCAGCTGGTGGTAGCCGTTTGTCCTCCTCCTCAGAATTAAGACGATCTGCAACTTCTATCAGATCCTCTTTAAACCTTCTGTACATGTCGCTGGTGTTGTCTAGGGGTCTGTATGTTACAGAAAAGAGACCTGTAAGCACCTGACAGTGACAAGTGGTAAGAAGTAGAAGTCTCGATAACACAAATAAAAGAAACATAAGAACCACTGTTAGTAACTGGTTAGTAACTGGTTAGTAGTTACTGCCCACTGAACTACTAGACTAACCTGGGAAGTGTCCTCACCAGACAGGTTTGTCTGGAGATAGTCAGCACTACCCTCCACAACTATAAACACGTAGTCTCCAGTCAGCATCCCCAACTTGAAGGCGTAACTCAGAACCTTCGCATCATCGTATGTCAGCAATACAACTACTGTTAAGAGATGTTTGTGAAAATTAGCGTTTACAAATTCAGTTATTTTTACGCAATGCTTACTTTATCTCACTTTCAGAGCTTACCAACCTTCCTTAAAGCTATATAAATCAACAGATCTAGTAATGGGTTTAATATTACCATTAAACATTACATGTGAATACCGCGGGGAAGTGAACTGTATTTTTACTGACACGTGACGAAACAATAAGCTATCAGCTATATACAAGAACCATAATCATGTTTACTTCATCTCACTCTTACCTCTAGCCAAGTCGTGAAGTCCCTCTAGTATCTCCTTGATCCTGCTCTCAGCTGTAGCTTTGCTCAGATCTGAAGGGAAGATGTACTGTTGCTGGATGTCCTGGATACCAGCCCTCTCCATAGAACTTATAAACTTGTCCGCTGTTCGTAACCAGATGTCCTCCACAGAGGTCAGGATACAAATGTGCTGCGGTTCAAATTGCGGTTCAGATGGTGGAGTACGTTTAAAGATTTCAATTACACAGATTCTGATGAAAAATGCATATATTATTTTTAGGATGCTGAATAGCCAGTTATCAACCTCCTCCCCCCCCCCCCCCCCCCTCCTCCTCCTCCCCCTCATATCAGACTAGTAAAAGATAGTAACCTTGTCCCAGTTGTAGTATAAAAGGAGCTGAGCTATAGCCTCCCCCATGAAGTTATAGGGTGGTATAGACCTGGCAAACGTCTGATAGATCTCGTGATTAGAGACAGTCGGGGTGGAAGCTCCGTAGCTCACCTGAATAATAAGCCGGCTTTATACATTTCATAGATAAGATATACCCGATATAGATCATTTGTTTAGCTTATATTTTATAAATAAACCAGCACCGTGAATCACGCAAAACCAAAATCTTGTCCGTTTAATTTATAATTAGTTAATCAAATGAGTGAGTGGTAGTAAAATGTGTCCTATTCGTCTCCAGAGAAGCCACGTGACATGTACTCACCAGTGCTGTGTTCCAGCCACGTGACATGTACTCACCAGTGCTGTGTTCCAGCCACGTGACATGTACTCACCAGTGCTGTGTTCCAGCCACGTGACATGTACTCACCAGTGCTGTGTTCCAGCCACGTGACATGTACTCACCAGTGCTGTGTTCCAGCCACGTGACATGTACTCACCAGTGCTGTGTTCCAGCCACGTGACATGTACTCACCAGTGCTGTGTTCCAGTCACGTGACATGTACTCACCAGTGCTGTGTTCCAGCCACGTGACATGTACTCACCAGTGCTGTGTTCCAGTCACGTGACATGAACTCACCAGTGCTATGTTCCAGCCACGTGACATGTACTCACCAGTGCTGTGTTCCAGCCACGTGACATGTACTCACCAGTGCTGTGTTCCAGCCACGTGACATGTACTCACCAGTGCTGTGTTCCAGCCACGTGACATGTACTCACCAGTGCTGTGTTCCAGCCACGTGACATGTACTCACCAGTGCTGTGTTCCAGCCACGTGACATGTACTCACCAGTGCTGTGTTCCAGCCACGTGACATGTACTCACCAGTGCTGTGTTCCAGCCACGTGACATGTACTCACCAGTGCTGTGTTCCAGTCACGTGACATGTACTCACCAGTGCTGTGTTCCAGTCACGTGACATGTACTCACCAGTGCTGTGTTCCAGCCACGTGACATGTACTCACCAGTGCTGTGTTCCAGCCACGTGACATGTACTCACCAGTGCTGTGTTCCAGCCACGTGACATGTACTCACCAGTGCTGTGTTCCAGCCACGTGACATGTACTCACCAGTGCTGTGTTCCAGCCACGTGACATGTACTCACCAGTGCTGTGTTCCAGCCACGTGACATGTACTCACCAGTGCTATGTTCCAGCCACGTGACATGTACTCACCAGTGCTGTGTTCCAGCCACGCGACATGTACTCACCAGTGCTGTGTTCCAGCCACGCGACATGTACTCACCAGTGCTGTGTTTCAGCCACGTGACATGTACTCACCAGTGCTGTGTTTCAGCCACGTGACATGTACTCACCAGTGCTGTGTTCCAGCCACGTGACATGTACTCACCAGTGCTGTGTTTCAGCCACGTGACATGTACTCACCAGTGCTGTGTTTCAGCCACGTGACATGTACTCACCAGTGCTGTGTTCCAGCCACGTGACATGTACTCACCAGTGCTGTGTTCCAGCCACGTGACATGTACTCACCAGTGCTGTGTTCCAGCCACGTGCCAGCAGGGCGATACTTTCCACAGATTTGGAACATTCTGGACCTATGAACCCGTGCGTACTGTAATAGTTAACTGTTGGTACTCATAATTATTAGATATTACTAATATCACGTCTTATAATAGTGGATATTACTAATATCACGTATCATAATAGTGAATATTACTAATATCACTAATTATAATAGTGGATATTACTAATATCACGTATTAATATTATAATAGTGAATATTACATACTAATTTAACCATTTTAGCAAGATTAACTGCTACGACAGTAGTAGTAGTACATTATACCTTATATCATAATAATGATTGTTTATAGTGGATACAAGTTTGTGTTTTTAGAAAGATGAACATTTGATACCAGTAACCTTGCTAAACTAGCCTTCACAACTGCTTTCAAGGACTCGGCGTCATTACAGCCCGGCATATACCAGGTAGGATTGAGAGTGTAACCGTCAGCTAGAGGGTGGAGGCTGTTCACTGCGTCTATCGCTATCTAGTCGCACAAAAGTAGAGATCAGGTTTAAAACTACTGCGTCTATCGCTATCTAGTCGCACAAAGTAGAGATCAGGTTTAAAACTACAAGACGGAACTCGAAAAGAGCCCATTCTTCGATAATCAAGACAGTTTCCAAAAGTTAATTAATAGTTAAATAACAGCAGAATAATAAAATATACTCACTATTGCTCCACCACCCATTTTAGAGTCGAAGTTGTTTTGTTTGTCAGGTTTTGGTCGCAAGATAGCTAACGTGATCTGAATTGTTTTTATATTTCTTTCAAATTAATTTTGTATCTTGCATCAACAAATATTCATCATTGAAAGATCGGTCGACCAAATATATTCGGTCGCGACCGAATCACTGAATATTCAGTGAAACTGAATCGAACGAATCGACCGAATATATTTAATTTTATTCAGTCAATCAAATCGCTAATTATAAGGCCGAACCGTATATACCGAACTCCAAATCCAAATATTTTCCGAACTATTCGGTAACCCTGCACTCTGCAGCCGATTAAAATGTAACACACACTGAACATGAAATCACAGTGATCATATTTTATAAAGTAATTATTACCTGCTTCTCATTTTGGGAGGACATGACGGCAACATTTGGCAAAGTAACGAAGAAAAGAAACAAATCAACCAGTTTCATGTTATCATCTTTGTGGCATGTTAAGAAGACGCAGAAATGTGGCTCTTTCTACTCAGGTTGTTAAAGTAAAGTTGTTAAAAACATCATGTTAAACTATTTAATTAAAAGTGACTGTGATGTCCATTGTCCTTATTTTTCATAAGGACAATGGACATCAATTTATCAGCGAACCGTTCACAATCACATAATTCAACAAATTTAAATTGTCTGATTATATGGAGGAAAGAAATGAAATGAGATGAACGAAAAAACGGGGAAAACTACTTGAGATTGATAATTGTTCGACTGCTACAAACCCTGAAATACGATCGGGAGAAGATCTTAACATTGAGTAAGCTGGTTCATAGTGATTAGTTGGGCAAAGTAGTATAACTATAAGTAGTTAGTAGTATCAAGGGAAACATGTCGGTGATAACTACATGCGTGTTAGGCGTTAGCAATATTGATTCTAACTGGCTGATGTATTTCATCATTGTGAAGTCACGGTCACGTTGGTACATTGGGTCACACAAAGAGACACCGGCCGGTGCTCCACGAGAACTATTACGGTAAATCATGGCAAAGAATCTTGGAATAATTACGGGGTAATGATAGGAGTACAAACACGAGCATTTCAGTACACAATCCAGACAAGAATAGACATCATTGGAAACAAGTTATCGAATTAAACTTTATAGTTTTACTTTTATCATGGTAAAAAGTAATTAAATTGAGAGACCAAGTTGAATTATTAAGTGTAAATACCACCATAATTTAATGGACGAAGTCGGCAACATAATTTGTGTTAATCAAGTGAAACTGGGAGGAAGTTAAAATACCACCAATAAGAACTGGACAGGTGACTGGGGAACCAACCGGGGACTGCGGCGGTCACGTGACCTTCATTCTACTGTCACGTGACTTATCACTTCTCTCCTAGCTATTGTCACGGGGTGAACCTAAATGTGATTTTGTGTTAGTTAGATTACTATAACATAGTCAGATCAGAGTCTACTAATGGTAGTTCAGGACACCAGATAAAACTATTCCAGGGTGTTAGCTCAATAGCTCCAGATAGTGGGTGGTACTTTATTTGAACAATCAAAACCCCCGATTAACCGCGAACCTCGATTTATCGGAGCGGTTTCCCCAAACTCTGGGGAATTACCAGACTCTCTCTACACCAGATGCTCTTATTGTTATAGAGCAGGATAGTAGGATATATAACACACTCGGGATATTAGGTTTATTTGGTGAAATTAGGCTGAACTTTAAAAACAGTTGAATTGTCTATTAGTTTGACGGTAATGATAATGTATAACCATAGGCTGGTGACATGACCAATGTTTGGAATAATCAGCTTAATATGAGAGAAGTGGTATAGAAGACAAATGGACCAATTTGATTAAGACTCGGCCGATAAAGGCTTAACATCTTTAATGTACGGAGTAAACTCCAAATTGAATACCATTTGACTTTGAGTAGTTGAATGGCAACTATTGTGAATATTGACTTCACTGAAGGCTCCCTGTTCTTTTAACCGAATGATGGTACGTCAGAGTGGTTTCAGTACAGGGTACAGGGTCACAACATTTACCTCAACCTGCCTACCCGGGGACCCCAGGCTTTACACTTTAACTCATCATAGCCGGGAATTAGATTTAGGTAAGGACCGCGGTGTGCTTACATGGAACCTTACACATAACATTAATAGTTGAAAGTGATCGCTGAACATGCATATTATTTTCTAATTATTAGGAATTATTTTTTAAATGGACACCTAAACTTAAAGATATCATTTGATTCAGATTGGGATCAGTACAGTATATGTTATTTTTAAAACCTTCTATGTTCTATTATAAGTATATGTCATGGGGGTAGTTTGGAAAGATGATGATATACCACTCTGTATTGAACTATTGCGCGTGACTAGCTTGAAGTGTAACACGTTCTCTTTGTGTAATTGTATTATGTCTCTGGTGGGTTGTAATTGCTGGGCGGCGCTCAGCCTGTCAGTGTTCAGTGTTTGTTATACGTTGTATGACCCGCCGCGCACTCGTGCGCGCCCCCTGTACCGTAGAAACGCTACTTAGTGAAACGACAATGGGGTTAAGACGACCCCAGGTAAGCGGGTTGCGGACTAACGGGTTGCGGACTAACGGTAACTAGCCACTACCTCGCAGCACTTCAATGTTTCGAGAATAAGAAGGCGTGCGCTACTTCGAAGAAATTAGGACGAGTATTACCCATCAAAAGAATACGTAATATGCTATAGAAAGAAAAGGCTAATATTTTTGAAAATAGATAAATTTCAACGGTAACATCTCATTCATACATGATCAATATTTCGCGACACTAAATGATAAGATATTTTATAATTTTACAAACATTTTCTTAAGATGATGTGTTTCACTTACAAGAAGGTTTCGAATTCTCAATTAGGATGTCAGCAATTTTTAAACTTGTAAAAATGATCAAGAAAATAATAAATCTTGAAATTTTATTGTGTATTGAAATAGAAACAAGCAAACTTCGTCTCACTTTCGATAAAAATAATGTTGAAAAACACCTCGAAAATAAAATCAATCTCATTTTGCCAACGAAATGTCACTAACAGTAACACACAACAATTCAAATAGCAGCCTCCAAGTCGATCATTCTGTTTTTTAACACTAATCTTCATTGCTTAATTGTTCCATTATGACACAAATGATTAAATTAAACAACAAATCAAATGAGAGATTTGGGGTCGGGATAAAAACATTTTATTTAAATTTTACAATTAAAAAGTAGAGGTTTTTCTCATTTTAATTCGGTTGATAATTTGTTCTTACTATTCGTCAAAAAATTATTAATTTCTCTTCCGCCAGGCTTTGATTGTATCGTGAAACAACCCAATTTTTAATATTTCAGATAAATCTCAATATTTAACATGCTAGTTTTAGTTTCGTTATCTAAAAGGTACTAACAATTGAGTTTCTCGGCAGTCAGTGATTGATGCAGGTTTTTTAATTCATTTAAAACGGAGCCATTACAATTTAAAGATTTAAAGATTTAAAACTAAAAACTTTACTTTATCCGCCCTTAAAAACTGCGTAAAACTAAGAAATTGTTTATTCTTTTATTGTTCTCTCAGCTGGAGGGGGGGGGGGGGGCTCTCAGTTTCTATTTTGTCTAACATTTCCAGCAGCTCTCCCTCCTGACATGCATTAAAATGGTCCCCATTATTTGTTACTCGTCACGTCTGCTCAGCTTGTCAGGGCCCATATTGGGGTCACGTTTCCTCAATGTCAGGGCCTATATTCGGGTCGTACGCCTTCATGATGGTGATGGTGGAGAGACGCTTAATGTTGTCTGGACAGTCAGGAGCTTCTTTCAGTTTGTTTAGTAGTTCTACACCTCCATCTCTCCGCAACATGGGCACGAACCTGTTAAAGCTAGTGGTTACATGGGCTAAATAGTATGTAATTGAGTGGTCATTGGGTGGTAATTGAATGGTCATTGAGTGGTAACTGAGTGGGGTATTACAAACCTGCCAGCTTTTGTCTGACACAGATTGGTAAGAGCCCAGACCGCCCATAGCTTGCAAGGATAGGGACAGTCCACTTTTAGGATGTGGAGTATCGGATTAAATGACTTGTAGTTAATCGATCTTTTAGAGTTTATGTTCCACGAGTCAACTGCTTCTTCAATACCCTGAGTAGAAGGTCTGCTGAGAGGGGTTTCTAGAGGGGTTTCTAGAGGGGTTTCTAGGTAAACATATTGAACAGTTTAACAATCTTACTGCCCCAGCTGAGAGGGGTTTGTCCCAGCTGAGAGGGGTTTGCCCCAGCTGAGAGGGGTTTGCCCCAGCTGAGAGGGGTTTGCCCCAGCTGAGAGGGGTTTGCCCCAGGTGAGAGGGGTTTGCCCCAGCTGAGAGGGGTTTGCCCCAGCTGAGAGGGGTTTGCCCCAGCTGAGAGGGGTTTGCCCCAGCTGAGAGGGGTTTGTCCCAGCATTTACCTTAAGTACAGTGTTATAAGATAGTTCCTCGTCCCCAAACTGCCACTTGTCAGGACCGTCTGAGCAGATATGAGACAATATACCTGTTCAGGAGATATGTGAGGCTTATAATACTGGGGTAATGATAATATGTACTATTATAACTAACTATACTAACTAATATAACTAACTACAGTTATTAAGTTATTATACAGGGTGGGCCAAAAGTCAGTACCCATACGTTGGCCTTAATAGCTCAGTCAACTTCGTCATTTCTAATCCGTTTTGCCTCATGTTTTCAGATCATATGCAACATTTAATAATCTACCGTCTCTGAAAAAATTAGGCGTTCAGCATGTTCAGAGAAATTAATATAGGTGTTTTAATATTGAATGGGCGTGGTCTACAATATTCGAATTTTCAAATTTTGACGACGGAATCCTCGAACCAGTAAGTACAGTATGCCATCTGCAAAGCAACAGCTCTCAAATATAAAACACGGCGGAGCTATTAAGGCCAACGTATGCCCACTGACTTTTGGCCCACCCTGTATTATGTAGAACAATAAAGTGCCACAACAAACACGTACCTGCAGCACTAATAAAAACGTACCTGCAGCACTAATAAACACGTACCTGCAGCACTGTATCGCATCTCAATAAACACGTACCTGCAGCACTAATAAACACGTACCTGCAGCACTGTATCGTATCTCAATAATATCACACTCGCTATCACTCTCCTTATTATAAGATCTCAACATGTAGAACGACTTTATCATGTCCTCTGATTCTAGAAGTTTCGGTCGCACGTGCGAAACTTCTGCTATATTCCCCTGTCAAGTTAGGGTGATCAAAAATTACAGGGGGAAAACAGAATATCCTTCTCAGGGGCAGTATTACATAAAACTTGACTGACTTGCGGTTGATTTTATTTAGTGTATGTATATTACTTTTACTGTATATTAATTATTACAGGGATTGATTGCACACGTGACTTACCATGAGACCCAGCATATTTCTAATTAGAGTTGTTATTTTTATCGTAACTCTCCTGTCGTCTGTCTTTACCTGCAAACACAAAATTTAGGTCACATAATCTAATAGATTAGACAGATAATCAAATAGAGAAATGTAGCTGCTAAGATGTATAATGTATAATGTATAATGTATAACTATGAGGTGACCTGGGAGCACACGAAGTAGGTATCGAGATACAGCTCCAAACCTCCGTACTCCACAAATCTGTCACAGTTCCCCGCCTGCTCATCTGAGAGAACACTTTGTTACACAATTACAAACAAATACAAGCAAATATTACAAACAAATACCATGTTATACTTGATTAAAAGTGTGAAGTTTGTGAGACTAAAATATCATCAGTAATACAGTAACTAAAGTCGTGAGACGAGACTATGATTTACCAGTAATGTTCCAGAGAGTGGACCAGGTCTCAAGGAGGAGATCACAGAAGTTGATGCCATCCGTCTCGTGAGGAGACTGTCGGAACATGGAGAAGCCCAATCTGGATATGCTCAGTATTGTTTCTATCAGTTTCATCTTCCCTACAGTGTTCTTCTTACCACACGCGCTCTGACAGATGCTAGTATTGATAGCTTTAACGGTTAGTGTGCTGATTCTGTTCGCTTTGTCTCTGGCCAAATCCTCGATTGAAAGAACCGGGCTCCGCTCCAGAATACCCTTCTGGCGTTCCAACACGTAAATGTAGCTGTGTACAATCTCGTAAAACATAAACTCCTGTCGGGGAAATATTACTGAACAGGGAGGAATATTTATGGGTAATATTTATGGGAACAGGATTATACATTTAGTTTTATTGTATCTGTAATGTGTTCCCTTTCATCGTATACCTCCTACCTTCTGATAGACAGAGAACTGAGACAACATGCCCATACAGTTCCTGAGCACGTCAAACTGGGAAGTGTGAATGTTGATGCTGATGATGAGGAGGATTATTGCCCTGCGCACGTGTTTATCGTATCCCGGGTAGGGTTCCGAGGCTAGCACCGTCATGTCGTTACTGCTGTTCAATGTGTACAAACACGCCCTGAACAATGTTATATCAGAGTCTGCTTAAAGGGGAATAGCTTTATTCAATGGAGTAGCTAATTTTGCGCCAGGTAGCGCAGTTGGTTAATCATCGGCTTTGTAATCGTGAGGTTGCGAGTTCGAATCCCACTGCCTGCCTAGTCGTGGGGTGAGCGTCGTTGACGCTCTGCTAAGGATCCCGAGTGGTCTATGTAGCCCCACGGTTCACTCAGCCGAATGCTCGAGAAATCGGGTGTGAGGGTTAAATGAGGAGCTGTGCTTGATCAACACAGCGAAGCCTCGGGCGAAGAAAGTGTGGCATAGTGCCTTAACCGTCGCTGGCCTTAGGAACGATCCTTCGGCTTCTTGTAAAGCTCTTCCTTGAAAGTGCTGGTTTACATTGTAATGCAGGTTATGCCGAAGTAAAATAACAAAGGTGGTCGACTCATTCGATGGCCTTGTTGCGTCGCAACGAATTCTCATAAGATAAGATAAGATAAGATAAGATAATTATTTAACTAAGTCTCCCAGTGCGTTACCATGGTTACTTACGATGCGATATGTTGAATTTGCTCTCCAGCAGGATAGCGCTCAAGTGTGCAAAGTACTGCCTGGAGGGAGACAGTGTTAAGTTAGCAGTGTTAAGTTAGCAGTGTTAAGTTAGCAGTGTTAAGTTAGCAGTGTTAAGTTAGCAGTGTTAAGTTAGCAGTGTTAAGTTAGCAGTGTTAAGTTAGCAGTGTTAAGTTAGCAGTGTTAAGTTAGCAGTGTTAAGTTAGCAGTGTTAAGTTAGCAGTGTTAAGTTAGCAGTGTTAAGTTAGCAGTGTTAAGTTAGCAGTGTTAAGTTAGCAGTGTTAAGTTAGCAGTGTTAAGTTAGCAGTGTTAAGTTAGCAGTGTTAAGTTAGCAGTGTTAAGTTAGCAGTGTTAAGTTAGCAGTGTTAAGTTAGCAGTGTTAAGTTAGCAGTGTTAAGTTAGCAGTGTTAAGTTAGCAGTGTTAAGTTAGCAGTGTTAAGTTAGCAGTGTTAAGTTAGCAGTGTTAAGTTAGCAGTGTTAAGTTAGCAGTGTTAAGTTAGCAGTGTTAAGTTAGCAGTGTTAACTTACCTCAAATAGTTGGGGCTCAATATGAGCTGAGCTGTATCCCAGCTCTATCCTGTTGCGGTGTAAGGTAAACAAGTTCTTCAGAGCCTGCTCCAGTACCCCAACGTTGTTTTTGTACTTGTTAATCAGCACCAGGATGTGTTCCAACTTTCTGTGTGAAGCCACCTGGTGGAGATTACATCAACACTGGCAATACTCCCTATTCTATAACGAAACAGTTCATAGCTTAAGCTTTATTAACACAAATCTATGGCACCAGCTTTTCTGCATAACAAACTAATCACAGTTAAAGTTTAGAGTTTAGGATAGGGGCACATTAGCTGATTAGTGCTCGAGAAACGAGGTATTTTAATTTTTGAAAAATTGCGAAAGAGTTGTTGTGTCCCGGAATTTTTTTCCCTACTCTTGCCGAAGGCAAAAAGATCGTAGGGAATAAGTAATCGGGTTTGGATATATGAGGTGGCCCGATGGACCTGCGATGATGACAAAAGTCTGCTCCTTTGAAATATAGACCACTCCCCTATAATTATGTGTATAGGAAGCGTCTGTTATGCTGCGCGCGACGCTAGCCATGTGTTAATTAATTACAGCGAAATTCCTCCTTCGCAAAGTTATTTTCCGCAATTTTCTGGATTCATTTATTGTTGATGCGCGGCGCTGCATTGGTCAAATAAATCGTAAATTTTTACCATGCACGAATCCCACTCATTTATAAACAACTTATAACATAGTATGTAAATATGGTGCACTTTTTTCCAGTCACACTTTTCACGCAAAAGAATTAATGGTACAAGTACATGGTAGGGAAAATTGATCGTGCGTGGTTTAACCGCGGCGAAATTCTTGTTTAACTTTTGATAAGAAAATATTACAGACTTCTAGATAAGCTGTCCGCAACTAGCAAAAAGTAAGCATTTGATGGCAAATTATTCTTCATTGCTTAAGTATAAAAACGCTAGTTGTGGAATGTGGTCACTTTAAACTTAACTAGATATAATACTTTTCTACCAAAGCAAGAAAAATGGGGCACTTGATGGTCACTAATTCTTATTCGCCTGTCACAATATGGCTATTAAATTGTGAGTAGTTTGGGTATATCCTGATTCTATATCACTCTGCAGAGTGCAGACTTTTCCATGGAGATTTTATTAGAGACTTTTTGATGGCACGTTTTTGTAGAAAGCCGATAGATTTTTCATAGTTGACTATTGGTCCGCGCAGAAGGTTCAGGGTTCGAATCCCAGTGTCACCTAGTCTAGGGAGTAGCTAAGGATCCATTGAATCTATGCGATCTCGGTCGACTCAGCCGAATGATAGGAAACTTAATTGAGGGTTAAATGAGGAGGGGTACCTATTAAAAGTTCAAGAAACTTCCTAGAATACCCCTTCAGTGCATACTGTAAACATAGAACCATTAACTAGAACTATTATTACTGCAATTCCTCTGTTCTTACTTCTTGCTATTTACCATTTACGCTGACTAAAATGTACGAACGTAACTGGCGCGCCGTCGTCACCGGCACGCGCGTTAATGCACGGCTGTTCTAGCGTGGATTTTAATCCGATAGGATTTCGCTATTCCTCCTGGAAATGAAGAAGATACAAGACCCCTTATAGACATTAATATTAACATTATAATAAAAGTACAGAAACAGTAAGAAAATATGTGTATTTCTTTTTCAAAAAATATGGAGTTGAAACTATTGGCCACATTGAAAACATTAGAGTGATCGGTAACGGCAGTTAAATTTACCCTGTCGATAGTTATTGAAAAGCGTCCACATCTTACTATATATAAAGCGAGACGATATATATATATAGACGGTATATATATCTGTGCCATTTTACTGACACCACGGCATCAACTTTAACGCGACTTTCCGCAAAAACCGTAAAAGATATACAACTGGAACTTTTTTGGCTGGGTCAAATGCTTTAATGGCCTTCAAATCAGCATGAAAAAATAAAAAATTTACCAAGGAATAATGATTTTAGAGCCGAAAATTTGGACCCCCAAGTGGTGTCAAAAACGCCAATTAAATAGGTAATAATTATTTTAGTATTTTGAGTCTTGACACCGTTTAGGGTTATATTATACGGGTTCCTGCTAGTTACTATAAAGCTGCGCACGTACGAATATTAGATGAAATCAAGAGAAAATACTATCGCCTCTCGGATTTGCTCTCGGATCCTATAGGATTTGAGTATCCTATCGGGTCCGAGAGAAAATCCTATCGTCACTCGGAATTGTTAAATCCTATCTCCGCTAGGATTAGCGCTCGGATCCGATAGGTTTTTAATTTCCTATCGGGTCCGAGAGCAAATCCTATCGCCTCTCGGAACTTACACATCCAATCGCCGCTCGGCGATAGGAATTCGTCAGAGGTATCCTGGGGGAACCGGATCGGCGTTAGGATTGATAAAATCCGAGATATCTCGGGCGCGCTAGGATAAATCCTAGGGTAATCCTATCTGATTAAAATCGCAAAAATCGTCCTTTTGAACAGCCGTGATCTGATCGAATCGAATGCAAATTAAATATATAATATGCTCTGATCGAATCGAATGCAAATTAAATATATAATATGTGCGCGCTAATATTTGGCGCGAACATATCTATAATCTAACCTACGCGCGCTACTGAAAAGTAACAGGTTCTGCCCCACCAGCCCACCTGTCGCAGTCAATAAACCACCAGCTCTATTTAATGTGCTATGACCTCATTCAACTACTAAATGTATATGTACATAATATTAATTTCACCTCAATTTCCGACGAAACTCTGAAATAACTGACACGAAAAATATCCCAAATTACGGATAATTTACATGTACGTGTGGCCAGAAATACTCAGCAAACCATGCGCTCATCTGCAAACTCGGTGGATATGTGTCACTGCGGCACAACTCGCTGAGAGACACCTTTGCAGAATTAATGAGAACTGTGAAATGCAAGGATGTGCAGACGGAGCCAGTTCTTCTTCCAGTTGATGGTCTAGAGTTACCAAAGGGAACAGTCCTAGGGGACCACGCTAGGCTGGACATTTCTGCAAGATCGATTTGGAATGCTTCAGAGAGGGCATATTTTGAATTAAGGGTATTCCATGCCCCAGCCCCCTCCAATGCAAGCAAATCGATCCCAGCAATGTACCAGTCCCATGAAAATGAGAAAAAACGGTGTTACAATGCAAGGGTTCTAGAAGTGGAGAAAGGAAGCTTCACACCATTAGTTTTCTCAACGTCAGGTGGAATGGGTGGTGAAGCCGAAAGACTGGCCAGTAAGGTGGAACATCACACAGGTCAAAGATATTCAGATGCTTTTGGATATATAAGGAAGCGTCTTCGATTTGAAATCCTTAGAACCACAGTGATTTCTCTCCGAGGAGACAGAGGGGCGAGAAAGTACTTTGTAGATATACTATATCTATATCTATATCTGATATAGAGATATAGAGTCGCAGATTTAGAGTCTCGATTTGAACTTGGAGCCACAAGGCCAAGAGTGAATTTGAAATTTTTCTGCCAATATTTTAGTTGGAGAATATATTGCATTTTTAAAGGTTTCATTTTATATAGGGTCATTGGGATATTATGTGTATATTTATATTGTTTGAATACTTTTTATTTTTGAAGAAATTACGGATAATGTCATGATAGAATTATTTTACATTAGTTCATTTGATGTTATAATGTAATTGATTTAAAAGCTTTTATCATGTGCAATCGCTCGATATGTTTACTGCTTCCAGGCGTGCAAACACAATATTATTCGACTGTAAAGCGATAAGATATGTATGCTAATCTAACTGGTGTTCAAAACAACAGCAAATATTTTATAATCGCACTTCCTGTCTGATCATAAGTTTAAAAACTTACATTTACCCTGGAGGAGCATAAACCGAAAAAATCCGGTGCGATTATGGAAAATTTCAGTGACTGTCAAATAAGCCGAAAGTCAAGTTTATTTCCGTTTATATAACTTCTGGCACGTTATAAATAATATTTCGATTTCCGGGGTAAACAAACAAATGAAATGGTAATTGCAAAACTAGTCTCATACATTGGTAATTGGTAATTGGTATTACAAAAACTTGTCACTTCTGATTTACACACCTAGAACAGTATTACTATTCTCGACACCAGTAGTACCGTAATTACAGTCTATAATTTTACATGAACAGCTCTAATTTCCAGCTACAGATCAATTAAAATTAATCGTAAAATTGTGTATTACGGCATTGTCCTATCTTAGAAAATACGGAAGTACTGTTAGTATGTATTAGCTCTCATCAATTGCTGTGTCACACTAAGCCTTATAGGGTGTCAGAGCAGTGAATGCGTTGTTACTCGCACGCGGTGGTCACGAGAACCTAATATTTGGACGGATAACCCGGGCACTGCACACTATATGGTTCATGTTTAGTATGAACTCATCCCAACACTTCATTAGCCTAAAATGAAATGAAATCAAAATATTGCGAAAACTATGAAGTTTTGTGTGCTCATATGGAGCGAAAACAAGAAAAGCTAGAGCAAAGTGGGATGCATAAATATTCAACATCTTTAAAAAGACACATACCAAAGCCACAACACACATCATCACTCGATTGGCTTGTCTTTTGAGTGGATTGTGAATTGTCCCCGATCGTATGAAATGCAGTATATCCGGTTACATTTCTCTTTTCTTCACATTTCTCTTCTTCACATTTCTTTTCTTCACATTTCTCTTTTCTTCACTACTAGTTCATGAACCAGGAGCCTGACCTGAGATCGCTCTTCTTCGGAGCGATCTGGTCTCACATACACTTTGTTGAAAGTCGCTAAGTGGCGCAGCTTCTTGACTTGACATAGCACTTGGTGGACAGCGCTGTGACTTGATAACGAAACCTTGACTGGGCGCTTCGAATTCTCTTTACGAATCTTTCCTACTCTGATAGCCTGCAGGGTAGGTTTTACTTTTAGTCCTTTACCTCCTGGAATACCTCCAGTACCCGCTCGTCAACATCCTCCTCCTTCTGTTCTGGCAGTCCAAATAAAACAAAATTCCTGCTCTGATCCTCCTCCTGGACGACGAACTTGACCAATTTCTTCAGTGTATCCGGAACTGCCAAACTATCAGTCTGGCAGATCATAACGTTCTCCGCAGCAGCTTCACTGTATGACTTAGCTGTTCTTTCAAGTTGCTCTCCACTGAAGACTTGACCACAGTCTTTATTGCTTGTCCTTGTTGTCGATAATCTGCTCCTGTAAGCTGATTACCCACGGGCCACGTCTGATTCTCGATTAGCTGGCTCTTGATGGAGCTCAGCTCAGCCTTCAGCTGTTTCATTTTTTTTTTTTTTTTTTTTTTTAAGAGAGGCTGGGCCAAGATAGCCCACGAGAGGATAGCATTGAGATGCTCTGCCTACCTCTGGGGTGTGGCAACCTTGGGGAAGGTTGCCGGTGAAATCAGAGTGATTGGTGGAGGATGGTGTAAGATGATATATGAGTCAAAATGATACGCTTAAATGCCAGCTGGGTTTGGAAAAGTAAAACGAGACGAGACAGCATATGAGATAATACTTTAAGTCACCCCGGTCTGATCCAGCTCTTCCGGCACAATTAAGCGTTTGGTGCGGTTTGCGAAATTGACAATTGTGGTGATGTGTTGGTTGTCGAATATGTCATTGACAGAGAGGTAGTAGTCCTGGAAATATTGACCTCTAATTTGGGCAATAGCTGGACACTGTCCAAGGAAGTGTGAGACAGTTTCCTCTCCGTCGCCGCACATAGGACAAGCACTGGTGTTTGATTTGCAAATGGTGTGAAGGTGTTTGTTTAAGCCGCAGTGACCCGTGATGAGGTGAACTGCAGTTCTGTAATCTTGTCTGTTTTTGCTGAGTGTAGTGTTGAGGTTTTTGATGATTTTGGCATGCTTGTGGCCGAGTGTCAGTTTGGTGTGTCTGGGACCGTCAGTTAACCAAGTTTCCTGATTCAGTCTGTTGACTTTATTGTCGATTTGACGCTTGATGTAGGATTGTGGAATTGGACACTTCAAAGTGGATTCACTGGTTGTACCAAGCTTGGCCAGCTCATCTGCTTTTTCGTTCCCCCACAATCCGATGTGTGCTGCAATCCATCGTATCTCTAGCGTGTTGTTGGATCCGAGTGCATTAAGAGAGTCGTAACAGTCTCTTGTAGTTCTACTCCGCGTTGAAAGCGCAGAGATAGCTTGTATAGATGAGAGACTGTCAGACCATATGATGATATGTGTGTTGGTATAGGTAGAGAGATATTTGCAAGCTTCAATGACGGCGGTGAGCTCTGTTTGGTAAACAGTGCAATAATCAGGGAGCTTGAATAATCTTTCTTCAAGGGTGCTGTTATTGTTGTCAGTTGTGATGATATAGCCAGCCCCGCATCCTGAGTCTGTGAGTGACCCGTCAGTGTAGCAGGTGATCGTTTCACTGGTAATGTTGTCAATGGTGTTTTGAAGTGAATTTCTATATTCAGCGGTATCGGCTCCAGGAGTTGTGACGGTGAAGTGCCGTCCCAGCATCATGGTTGGTGTTGTTAGGTCTCTCGTTGCTCTAGGTGGGATAATAAGGTCTGCCATGAATTGTTTGTTGATAGTGGTATGATTTTTGATAGTTCCCTTCCTGAAGGCGATAGTTTCAAGAGTGAGGCTGCCATAAGCTTGTAGCCTGGCCGCACCCTTTGCTGCTTCGCCTTGCAGGAACAGTATGATGTCAGAAGTGTCGGTGAGGTGATTCAATGCGATAAAAGGTGTGCTTGGCATGGCACCAGACATCATTCTGAGTGCCAATGCCTGAACACGTTTGAGTTTCTTCGCGTTATAGTCCGTTTGAGTGGCCCTGATCCATATACTACAGCAGTAGGATAGGATTGGACGGATGACAGCCGTGTACATCCATTTGCATGTTTTGGGGCTCATACCCCATGTGGGGCCGACAGCTCTTCGACATTGCATGAGGGATGCCGTGGCTTTTTTGGTGGTGTTGATGATATGTTCATTGAAGTTGAGTTTGCTGTCCAAGGTCACTCCTAGAAATTTAGCAGACTTGGAAAGACCTATGATGTTGTTGCCAACTGTTATAGGTCTTAGAGTCCACTTACTATTCCAGGTAAAATGACTATCTGAGTTTTAAGGGCGCTAATAGATAGCTCTTTGGTTCTGCACCAATTTTCTATCGTTTTAATAGTTTTGCATGTTCGGTCCCAGATGATGTCTAAATCATCCCCTTCCGTTAGAGACAACAGATCATCCGCAAAGGCTTGCAGGTAACCCGGGATGTCTTTTGCGGTAAATGAAAGGAGATCGTCGACTACCAGGTTCCAGAGAAAAGGAGAGAGAATGCCTCCTTGGGGGCAACCTCGCCTGATCCATACCCTTCTCGACTTATCCTTATGATTTAGTGTGATGAATCGATCGGTTACCATGTTGATGATCCACTGTGCTGTAGCCAAGTCCACTTTCGTAGCCTTGACTGCTTCAGAAATAGCATTGAACGAGACATTGTCGAAGGCGCCCTCTATATCTAGAAAGACACCTAGGACATATCCTTTCTTGGCTATTCTGCGCTCAATGGTGTGAGTAACTTTATGAAGTGCCGCTTCTGTGGAGCAGCCCTTCTTAAAGCCGAATTGTCGTTTGTTGATATCATTATCTATGTTGAGGTCATGTTGCATATGCCATAAGATCACTTTCTCCTGCAACTTTAACATCACAGGCGAAAGAGTGATCGTTCGAAATGACTTAGCTTTGTTGTAGTCGGTTTTTCCAGGCTTAGGGAGAAAGATTCCAAGAGAGTCCCTCCACAAAGTTGGGATGTGTTGCGTTTCATGGTTTTTTGTCATAATGTTTTTTGTTATGTCTTTGATATGAGCCCAGGCTTTCTGGAATATGATAGGTTTTAGAGTGTCAGGTCCTGCAGCCTTCAAGGGATCGAAGGATAAGAGAGCCTTTTCGATTCTTTCAGGGCTGTAGATTTTGTCTAGTAAGTCTGTGGAGATGGGTAAGGGGCACGTCTGATTCTCGATTAGCTGGCTCTTGATGGAGCTCAGCTCAGCCTTCAGCTGTTTCATTTGTTCCGCCTGAAACCGCACAAAGTGGAACGATTCAGAAAACAATAATGCCAAAGTGTCCTTCATCGCACGTTTACACACTGCTGACGTCACGTCAACTGGAGCAGTGCACCCGACTTGTTCCATCACTTTAGGTATCCAAGCAGAACATTTCCCGAGCAGATTCTCCAACTCCTTGTCGTTAACAGTAACCATGGCTTAAACGCTACAAGCACACACAGTAATCTCGCCGTTAAACTAGGTTAGTCGGCGAGATAAGCAACCTAATAAGAGACAACAAAATTACAAACGAATGCAATTAGTGTGTGGCGTGTGCGATTTAAATGAAAATATAACGACAAAAAGTGGAGTTATACTACTAAATGAATAATCGACTCATTCATAAACATGTTCTGATTGTGTAATATCTGACTTACCTTGACAGCCAAACTATCCACGTCTTGAATAAAGAAGAGGTCATCTTGTGCCACTATCCCCAGAAATTCCAGCTTCAGATCTCTTAGCTTGTAAATGTTCTCTTGCTGAAAATATTATCAATAATTATTATACAGGGTGTCTCAAAAAAAACTACCCAGTGAGAAATCCTCCTCATTTCCTCAATTTTTTCCTTTAAAGGTACTCACTACTCATCTCTTAATATAACATGTATCATATATTATCAATACTTATTATATGTAATATATATTATCAATAATGAATTTGCAAATTTACACACGAGATGTGACATGAAAATGTGACCACTGCCGAAATTGTTTTTTCGACCTCGGAGGATAAGATAGATTGTGAGTAACCAGATGAATGTGTGAATTATTGTGAGTAATAGTGAGTAATAGTGAGTAATAGTGAGTAATAGTGAGTAATAGTGAGTAATAGTGAGTAATAGTGAGTAATAGTGAGTAAATGTAAGTAATTGTGAGTAATAGTGAGTAATAGTGAGTAATAGTGAGTAATAGTGAGTAATAGTGAGTAATAGTGAGTAATAGTGAGTAATTGTGAGTAATAGTGAGTAATAGTGAGTAATATTGAGTAATAGTGAGTAATAGTGAGTAATAGTGAGTAAATGGAAGTATTTGTGAGTAACCCACTAGTTACCACTATAACTAGTTACTAGTAACCTGATGAATATGACATCCGCTGATATCCAGAGATTTAAGGGTTAACATGGAGGAGAGAGTTTGTGATATAATGTCATCAAATCTTACAGGGAACCGTTCCTGGCCTTGTGGCTCCGGATAGTGCGAGATATCCAGGTATTCCAAACATCTGAAACTGGAAGAGATTTTGAAAAGAGAGAGAATTCAGAACAATGTAAAACTGAGTAAGTTTTTGTAGTTTACATTTTAAATGCGGCCTCTGTTGTATTATATAGTACTACCGCTATGGTTGTACAAGTGTAGTACTATGTATTACTGAACGTGGGTTTTTTAGTTCAAACTTCTGATACTGATTTATACGAGCTAAATGCTACTAGTAGAAGTAGTAGTAGTAGTAGTAGTAGTAGTACTAGTAGTAGTAGTAGTAGTAGTAGTAGTGACTAATGTATATCATGTTACACACATTGATACACAATTGATATATCAATGAGTGTATAAACACTTACTGGGTAAGTTTGTGATGTTGAGAGATATCCCAACACGTTTCACTGAGATCTAATCCAGTGAGTTGAGCTGTTACACTTGTCAGGAGCTGTTAATATTACTTTTAATAATCTGCAACAAGTAATTAACAAGTAATAAAACTGTCTTAAATTCAATAACTTCACCCCCGGTTAAGAATAGTGATTGAGTGTCACCCCCCGGCCTGCCCCCCCCCCCCCCTCCTTGCCTGCCCCCCCCCCCCCCCCCCCCCCCCACCCCCCTCCTTGCCTGCCCCCCCCCCCCCTTAAGTACCTGCAAAGGAAGCTTAGATTCCTGATTGTGTTTCTTCAATTTTGATAAACCCAACCACCGTAAGTTCTTCAACCTGCAACATAATTATTGACATTATACAACTGCAGCGTTATTAGTATCAGTGTCCTAATCTCACTCTTCTGATTCTGTATTTAACATGTCACTCTATTGTAGTGCTGTTTGTAATTTTTTAACAGCAGCATGAAGGAATTTAATTTAAGATAAGAATAGCATTAACAGGAAAAAGAATTATCAAAAAGATGTGCACATTCACACAAAACTTTGCTTCACAAAATTACAACCCAAAACGGCAACAAGTCCAGATTTTGGTTTGATTATTGCTTCATGTGTCTTACTATTACAATAATTCCTTGAGTACCATTTTGGGTTACAGTTATTCAGTCCAATGAATGAACAAAAAAAACGGTCATATTTAATATTTATGTAAGAAATATTGGTCCTAGCCTGTGGCGTAACGAAGGGCCCCGCCGAGCCTGCAGTGCAGGGTGGCGCCATCTTAGGGGGGGGGGGCGCCAAATTGTCGTTTGAATGTGGGACAATTTTGAAAAAATTAGCTACGGGACTAGAAAAACTGCGCATTTTGCTCTAGAAACACCCTTTTTTAGAGATTTTACCGGTGTATCTTCTAAAATTATCTAATTTCAGGGAGGGGGCACCAACAGACAACGTTACGCCACTGGTGACCAGTGGTAAGGTTTTTTTTTTACATATTTGATAGATTTACAGATCTGGCTTGACAAAAATTTTCAGAAAAAATCATGTTCGCGGGAAGTAAAAATCCGATGAGTTTTTTAGGGGGGAGGGGTAGGGGGTTGAGGGGGGTTGGGAAGGGTTGTCACATGACGAGAAATTTTTTGCAAAAATTAAACAATCTTTATTTGTTGATATTATTCACCCCTGTTGCCTAGAGTGGTGAGTCTGCACTTGAGAAGAGTGAGTCTGGCCGCTAGAATAATGGGTATGCAATCTAGATGTGGGTCTGGCAACCAGAATGGTGGGTCTGCAATCTAGAAGTGGGTCTGGCAACCAGAATGATGGGTCTCTACCCTTAAAGAGTGGTCTGTTAACCAGAATTGTGGGTCTACACCCTTGAAGAGTGGGTCTGACAACCAGAATGGTGGGTCTGCACTTGAGAAGAGTGGTTCTTTCGGCTGGAATGGTGGGTCTGCAATCTAGAAGTTGGTCTAGCAACCGAAATTGTGGATCTGGATACGAGAATAATGAGTCTTCACTCTCTAGAAGAGTGGGTCCGGCAACCAGAGTGGTGGGTCTGCACTTGAGAAGCGTGGGTCTGGCCGCTAAATGGTGAGTCTGCACCCTTTAAGAGTGGGTCTGACAACCAGAGTGGTGGGTCTGGACTTGAGAAGAGTGGGTCTGGCAGCAGGAATGGTGGGTCTGCAATCTAGAAGTTGGTCTGGCAACCAGAATGGTGGGTGTACGTACACCCTAGAAGAGTGGGTCTGACAACCCGAGTGGTGGGTCTGGACTTGAGAAGAGTGGGTCTGGCAGCTGGAATGGTGGGTCTGCAATCTAGAAGTGGGTCTGGCAACCAGACTGGTGGGTGTAGGTACACCCTTGAAGAGTGGGTCTGACAACCAGAGTGGTGGGTCTGTACCCTTGAAGAGTGGGTCTGACAACCAGGGTGGTGGGTCTACACTTGAGAAGAGTTGGTCTGGTAGCTAGAATGGTGGGTCTGCGATCTAAAAGTGGGTCTTGCAACAAGAATGGTGGGTTTGCTTTCTTGAAGAGTGGGTCTGACAACCCGAGTGGTGGGTCTGGACTTGAGAAGAGTGGGTCTGGCAGCTGGAATGGTGGGTCTGCAATCTAGAAGTGGGTCCGGCAACCAGACTGGTGGGTGTACGTACACCCTTGAAGAGTGGGTCTGACAACCAGAATGGTGGGTCTGCACTTGAGAAGAGTGGGTCTGGCAGCTAGAATGGTGGGTCTGCATTTTAGAATAGTGAGTCTTGACTCTATACCTAATAGAAGAGTGGGTCTCCTCTCTAGAAGAGTGAATCTGGCAACCAGAATGGTAATTCTTCACTCTGTCAACCAGAATTGGGGGTCTATGAACTAGAATATAGGAGATATGACAACCAGTCTGGACTCTAGAATAGTGGGTCTGACAACCAAAATGTTGAGTCTGCACACTAATAGAGTGGGTCTGGCAACTAGAATGCAGACACGTAGCCAAGGGGAAGACCCCCGGAAAAAAATTGAACCCCAAAAAAAATAAGCCCCCTAGTCCCCATGGTCGCCTGGTAAGTGGGCTGTGTTTATGACTGTTCGATTAAACGACACGACAGGCAATCGACTTTAGCATTTCGTAAATTATTCCCAAATCCCACTATACAATATGTACTTATTCCATTCAATGTGACAAGTACTGAGTTCCCCCTAGCCCCCAACTTTGTATTATTGTGATGTCTGAAATTACAAATTTCTAATGCCAAACGTCGTCTGAAACACCCTATTTCTCAAATATTTTCCGGGGGCTGCACCCCCAACTTTGTATTATCGCCGTCCTACAAATTTCTTTAATGCCTAATGTCGTCTAAAACAAATAATTTCTAAAACTTATCTTGGGGGCTGCGCCCTCCCCCCCCCCCCCCCCCCCCAGTCCCCCAACTTTATATTATTATGATGTCTGATTATTACTGCGCCCCCCCAGCCCACCAACCTTGTATTATTGTAATGTCTGATTATTGCTGTCCCACAAATGTCGTCTGGAACACCCTATTTCTCAAAAATTTTCCGAAGGCCAGGGCTGCGCCTGCCTAGCCCTCCAACTTTGTATTATTGTGATGTCTGATTATAATTACTGTCCTACAAATTTCTTTAATGCCAAATGTCGTCTAAAACACATAATTTCTCAAAAATTTTCTGATTGGCTTCGCCCCCCCCCCACCCTCCCTAGCCAACCAACTTTATATTATTGTGATGTCTGATTATTACTGCCCTACTAATTTCTTTAATGCCTAATGTCGTCTGAATCACCCTATTTCTCAAAATTTTTCGGGGGGGTGCGCCCCCCCCCCCCCTAGCCTCCCAACTTTGTATTATTGTGATGTCTGATTATTACTTGAAGAAACTGGAAGATGAGCTCGACCTAATCAACAAAAATTCCATAAAAGGTAAGAAAACAATCCACCAAGCAAAAGATTTGACAGATATAGCCACCAGCAACAACAAAGATCATATTTTCAAGGTTTGTAAAGAACTATACATCATTGCAACCAGAGCTATTGATCTAGCAAAGACCTCACTTGTCCCCCTTCCGGAACAGGACAGCCAAACTCCAGAAAATATAATTAAGAGACAATTGAGTGAAGTCCTACCTAATCTTCTAAAAGAAGCTATTTCAGTGGCTGCCATTTCCCCTGCGGAATCCCTGCAAGCTAACCCCCCAATAGAGAAGCCCCTGCCAGCAAGGCACACGATTACTATAGCAAAATCACCAGTGAACGAGGATGATACAGAGACTACTATCACTAACCATGAATGGACCGAAGTTTATCGTAAGGACGTGAAGAACTCTCTTAAAGGTGTCCGAGTTAAAGATGAACGGGTAAGTAATGGTACAACAGTGCTGAGTTTTACTACTGAAGATGACATGAAAGAAGCGGAAAGAGCGCTGACACAAAAATGTAAGTCAGTTAAAGTCAATTCAAAGTCAGTAGAACCAAAGAAGTTAGATCCCAAACTAACAATATCTGACATTCACCTTGATTTTGACAGCAAAGAAAAGATCCTTGATGAACTACTGGAAAAAAACACTGGTATGAAGGATGCTAATGTCAAAGTAGTCTACTATGATATCAAAGAAAAATTTGCTGTCATCCAACTGCCCATAGAGGCTAGAGAAGTCATCAGAAAATGTGGTGACTATATATACCTGGGCCTACAAAGACATCGTGTGTATGACCGACTCCATGTAGTACAATGTTACCACTGCCAGCAATTTGGCCATATGGCAAAGTCACAGTACTGCAAGCTGAAAGATGCCTCTCCTACATGTTTCTACTGTGCTGGAGCACATACTTCTAAAGACTGTGAAAACAGGATAAATAATAGGACTGATCGGATAAAGTGTTCTAACTGCTTTAATAGTAAAAGTGCTACAGAGAAAAATGCTGCAAAGACGCATAAAGCTGCTGATAATCTTTGTCCATTCTTTACAAGAGAAAAAGAACGAGTCATGTCTAGAACTGCAGGATGCACGGAGCAGATAAAAAACGCCTATCGCCAGAGGGTCAAGGACCAAAAGATGAGACTGGGAAGAAGTTGAGACTAGATGTGGAACTTTCAATGTCCGATCTCTTTTAAACAAGACTGTTGGTGTTTTAGAACATTTGTGGGAGACAGGCTGCGACATTTGTTTTATGCAAGAAACATTTCTTCGAGATGGCGACAAAGCAAAACTCACTGAGATAAAAGATAGTGGCTGGAGCATACTTTCTGATCCTAGGAAGCACCGCAGTGGAGGTGGTATAGCAATGGTTTACAGAAGTTCGATTGAACTGAAGCCTAATACCAAAGTGACCAAGTTATTTCAAGTCATTTCAAGTGATGGAATCACTTCTGAGTGCTGAATCAGAGTTGCTGATACTAGTAAACATCTACCGACCCCCCTACACAAAGAAAGCAAGGTACACAGAATGTGACTTCCTAAAGGAGTTTGAAGAATACCTTAAAATACTGTGTGCAAAGCCAAGAAAGACCCGATGAACACTATCCAAAGAAGTTTCTGGACTTGCTAGCTCAGTACAACCTCCGACAACATGTTCCAATAGTCCCAACTCATGATCAGGGCGGTACCCTGGACCTAGTGATCACTACCCAGTCCCTTGAGAACAAGATCAGCAATTTTAACATAGTTCAGTCAAGAACTTCCTCAGACCATTTTCTAGTACTCTTCGATGTTGACACTCGAATTAGTAAAAATGATAATGGCAAATTTCTGAGCTACAGAAATTTTAAATCCATAGACATTGAAATTTTTAAGGATGATCTAAGGAATTCCAACCTGTCAACTATTGATCCAATTTTAACTGCTGAGGAAGCGACTTCACTGTATTACTCTGTACTTACTCAACTCATGGATAAGCACTGTCCTGTTATAAAGAAGAAATTTCGGAAGAAACCCATGCCGTGGCTTGACTTAGACCTTAGTTTGCTACGTCAAAAGAGGAGAGCAGCTGAACGTGCATGGCGCAAAGGAAAGGGTACCAGGAAAGACTACATAGATCTCAGAGATAGATTTGTTAGTTTAGAGTTTGTGAAGAGATGTTCTTATAACAAAGAGTCGCTTCGAGCATCATCAGGAGACTCAAAGGCCCTTTACAAGAAGCTTAACAGACTTCTTGGTAACGAGACACAGGATCTCCCCAAACATCAAGACCCTGGAAAACTGTCAGAGGATTTCAAAGACTTCTTTGCTGAGAAAGTTAACAAAATACGGAAAGACATTGAATTGGATGCATCCAAAAACGTCCCGGAGGAAACACTTGCTCTTTCAAGTGAACCTGATTATGTTTCAACTCTTCACACGTTTTCCCCTATCAGTGCTGAAGACCTCAGAAAATTGGTTAAAATGATGAGTAACAAGTTCTGCTGTCTGGATCCCATTCCTTCATTCCTACTGAAGAGCTGTGTGGATGAGCTAACACCTGTACTCCTGCACATCCTAAACACGTCTACTAAGACAGGATCATTTCCTTCTCAAATGAAGAAAGCGGTTATTAAGCCAACCCTTAAGAAAGAGAACGCTGATGTTGACAGTTTAAGTAACTATAGACCAGTATCGAACCTTTCTGCTATATCCAAGCTCCTGGAAAGAATTGTACTGAACCAGTTGAATGACCATCTGGACACAAACAACCTTCACTGCCCTGTCCAGTCTGGATACCGCCCACAGCACAGCTGTGAGACCCTTCTTGTCAGGATGACTGACGACATAAACAAGGAGATTCAAGCAGGTAACATCGTGGCTGTGGTACTCCTGGATCTCAGTGCAGCTTTCGACACTATTGACCACGAAATCCTCCTTGAGAAACTTTTCAAGCATTATGGTATAACTGGGAAAGCCCTTCAATGGATGATATCATACCTTGAGAACAGATATTTCTGTGTAAAGATTGGCGATACTATCTCGTCTCTGCTTGAACTCCTCTTTGGAGTCCCTCAGGGATCCCTACTAGGGCCCATCTTGTTTATACTCTACATTAAAGACCTTCAGAACATTGCTGCCAAATTTGGACTAGACATCCAGCTATATGCGGATGACTCTCAGTTATACATATCTTTTCATCCAAGCTTCCCAAGCGAACTTGCAGATGTCAAAGATCGGATAAACAGATGTCTCTCGGAAATCAAGCATTGGATGGTTGGAAACGTTATGAAACTCAATGAGTCGAAGACAGAACTACTTGTCCTAGGCAAATCAAAAGTTCTTAAAGACTGCAAAATGGAGGTGACGGTTCAGTTCGGAAACTCAACTATCACTCCAACTGAATGTAAAGGTGACAGCTGGAAGAGTCTTGGGGTAAAGTTTGATAAGTCTCTTACCATGGAAAGACAAATTAATAGTGTCAAACAGAAATGTAGCTGGACAATGATGAATCTAAGGACGATTGGGCGCTATCTGGATGAAGGAGTGAAACTCATGATGGTAACACAGCTTGTAATATCAAAGCTCGACTACTGTAATTCTCTCTACATGAACCTACCAAAGACACGACTAAACAAGCTAAGATCAACCCTCAATGGTGCCATACGGTTCATCTACAATATCAAAGACCGATCAGAAGACCTACTTCCCTACTACAAGAGAGCACATATCCTTCCTCTTGACCAAAGGATTTTCTTCAAAGTCTGCCTGTTAACTTATAAAGCTGTGCATGGGATTGCACCGGCCTACATACAGAATCTTGTAGTGATTGAAAACCCATTGACAATAGCCAGTACAAGATCAAAAGTAGAAGGAGATTGTTACAGACTAAAGACTCCTAAAACTACAAATAGTAAGATTGATCAACGTCGATTCACCAACTACGCACCAACTGCTTGGAACTCACTTCCCTGGGAGATACGATCACTACGCAACGTAGACAGTTTTAAAGGTAGCCTTAAACATTATTTATATATTAATAAACCTTCCTATGATTCCTATAAGTATATTATGTTACTTTTTAAGTGTTTTCTGGTGGTTTATTGTTAATCGTAGTGTGGTATATATCAATAAATCTTCCTATGATTACTATATGATATATTCAAAGTTTCAATTTTTCCTAAATAGATTTGTTTTTGAGATGATTTAGTTGTTTGTTGCTGGATATTTTCACCTCACCCTTTAGAACCGCTCTGACATGGTTAGTACCTGGCACTTGTGTCAGTTGCTAACCATATGGGCGGTATACAAGCACATTATTTCATTTCTTTTCATTTTATTGTCCTACAAATTTCTTTAATGCCAAATGTCGTCTAAAACACATTATTTCTCAAAAATTTTCTGGGGGGCTGCGCCCCCCCCCCCGGCCCCCCAACTTTATATTATTGTGATGTCTGATTATTACTGTCCCCAAATTTCTTTAATGCCAAATGCCGTTTTAATCACCCTATTTCTCAAAAATTTTCCTGGGGGTTCGCTCCCCTAGCCTCCAAGCCCACCAACTGTATATTATTCTGATGTATGATTATTGCTGTCCTACAAATTTCTTTAATGCCAAATGTCGTCTGAATCACCCTATTTCTCAAAAATGTTCCGGGGGTTGCGCCCCCCAGCCCACCAACCTTGTATTATTGTAATGTCTGATTATTGCTGTCGTACAAATGTCGTCTGGAACACCCTATTTCTCAAAAATTTTCCGAAGGCCAGGGCTGCGCCCCCCTAGCCCCCCAACTTTGTATTATTGTGATGTCTGATTATTACTGTCCTACAAATTTCTTTAATGCCAAATGTCGTCTAAAACACATAATTTCTCAAAAATTTTCTGGGGGGCTGCGCCTTCCCCCCTCCCTAGCCAACCAATTTAGGAGCTTCGCCCCGGCTACGTGTCGTGTCGGGCTACGTGCCCAGAATCGAAAAAACTTAATCTTTAAATGAATAACGGAACCTTCATTATGAAGTTACGAGATTATAATATAATTGGGAGGCAAAGTGGTTATCGGGCTTGGGGCTCATGATGCGCAAAATTTGGCCGCTGTCGAGTGGGTCTGCCTAAAATTCACAGATCTAGCTATGGGTCTGAGACATTTGTAAAAAAAAAACCTTACACTGGTCCTAGCTCATTATCATTCAAAATTCCCACTTAAATATAAAAAGTTATAAGAAATTCTATTTCATACTTACATGAAAAATTTATGAGCAGATGTAGGTGTCAGTTTAAAAAGAGTCTTTTCTAGGTTCAGGTAGGAGAGATTCTTGAAGGCAAAGACAGAATCAAACACTTCGACGCACAAACAGTAAGATATGTCCAAATGCAATAGGTTTCGTTGAGTCCCAGCAAGATGGTCCAAAGTTGTATGAGTCAAGTCAGACTCTGACAAGGTCAATGCATCAAATTTGTTATGACTTAAAATCTTCATTACATCTTCTGGAATCAAACCATCAATTTTTCTTTTTGAGAGACAGAGCTCACTCAGGTGACAGAGTCCAGGTGAACACAGAAATGAATCAGCTGATGATAGTAAATCAATGATCTGCTCATCGTCCAAGTAATGCAACAAAATGTGGGCAACTTTGTTATTGAGTGAATTACTCTGTAAATAGTTTTTGGAAAGTTGATTGACAGGAAGCTGCTGTGAAATTTTCAGAGCACACAATTCAAGGAGTGAAGGAACTTCAACTGAAAATATCACAGGGTACTGGGAGACACTAGTTTTGCAAGTTCGTATTCGCTTTACATTGTGTTCACATGAGGGAAATCTCCTTTGCATGTTGTACATAGCTGTGATTTGCAATTAAGAACTTACATTATTCTTTTATCCTGCAAAGGGTGAGTTTTTAATTTAAGATATTACCTGCCACAAAAAATAGTACAACTATTAAAAAACGAACCCTGATAGATATATACCATTGAAACCTTTTTGACTGGATCAAATGCTTTTATGGCCTTTTGACCAGTATGAAGATATTAAAAAGTGGTCAAGGAATAAGAACTTTAGGTCCCGAAATTTGGACCCCCAAGTTGTGTCAAAATAACTAAATAAATAAATGTTGTTGTCTCTTGACACCACTTTAGAGTTAGACGGGTTCCTGCTAATTATGTAGTACAATTATTATTTTAAGCAGTAAAGTAAAGTAAAATGTATGACATCACATCATGTCACATGTCTACAAAATATCATCGCACTATGTAAAAAAATATATAATAAATATTTCCCCACCAACATTAATTATTTATCTACGGGTATCGGCCTTACAAAATGACAGGCCTCACAAAATGACAGCCCACATAGACCATGCTGTAGCTTAGGTTCCCTATACATTGAACCCTATTCCTTTTACTGTATGAAAGAAAAAGCATTAATTAACACTTCCCAAGGAATGATAATGACATAGAATCTATATTTCTTACATAAATATGGACGTTTTTGCTGTTCAGTCATTGCCCCGCCTAACTGTTACCCAGAATGGAGACCAAAGTTTTGAATTTAACCCCAGAAAACCAGGTACTACCATGACTTATGTCAATCACAGACTACTCTGGTCAAATAAAAAAACTGATTTAGTGACTTTGGTAGAAGAAATGACAAAAAAATGACCTAGCCTCACAAAATGACAGTGTTATGCCTCACAAAATGACAATTTTATTTTATGATACAAAGATGGCATATTTATATTGGATGCCCCTTGCCTAATTATTGGTATTCTTAAACCCAGTAAGCTCATGATGAGCCTAAATGTGTTTGTTTGATCATCAATTTTGATCAAAATGCCTCACAAAATGACACCGAAAATCCTTACAAAATGACAATGTTTCAGATTGAATTATTTTCATCATCTAAAATGGATCAGAGACAGTCAATAGAGAGACAGTCCCTAACCCTAACCCAATCCTTAACAAAAGCATATGCTGAAACCCTAACCCTAACGAGAAATTAGACTAACTTCCTTATACGGTCATATCACGTGATCGAGACAGTTTTTCGCCTATATCTCGTCAGGGGAGCATTTTAACCCTATGTCATGGGGGGTGATTCGGAATCAGCGTCCGAAAATACATTACTGCGCCGCGCTCAGCCTGTCATTTCGCCTAATCTCTATATATGTTTATGAACATAATAGCCTGAGGTCCCCAGGTAATAAATACATCGATTGAAGTTGGTTTCAACTGTCGGGGGCCCTTTTAGAACAATCTCGAAGATCGACTGTAGAGTGATTTAGTACGCTCGAAAATATCCGGACGTCCAGGTTTTCAGAAATTTCCCCCCCCCCCCCCCCCCCCCCCCCCCCCCCCCCCCCCTTTACTTTTGACCTATAAACGGATTAATCGATTCAAAAGTCAAATTACAATGGTAAAGTCCGACCCAATATAAAAAGTAAATTCACCAAAAAGTCAAAAAGTATTTATACAAGAGAATGAGAATAAAATTGCTACCACTATATATACCCCCTGTAGTGAAACGAAAATTGGGGTCACGACGTGATTTAACGGGTGATACTCGGAAATATTTGTTGTCCAACTCGGCGCGCGTCTTGGTAGGTTATAAACTTACAACGACGTGATACAAGTCATTCAACCGCAGCTTTTATGTTTATAAACATAATTATACATAGCCTGGAGTCCCAAGTTAAGTTTTGATCTAGCAGTAACGATTTTAACGGCGTATCCTCTATAATCACCTAATTTGTCCAATTAGTTCATAATTACGTTTTAAATTTGCAAGAGAGAGCTGGCCGATCGATGGGTGCACGGGTGCGCATTTTTCAATTCAGCGGGGATATTAACGCGGGTAATACCCGCAAAATTTGTAGCGCGATGCGTTACTGTGCCGCGCCGCGCACTCAATGAGGCGCGTTTCTCACAGCGACATGCGCTACTGTGCCGCGCCGAGCTGCGATAAATTGACATCGTCAATTAACCTTGTAGCGCGATGCACTACTGGGTCGCGCGCGCATCAAATAATGCTTCTCGCAACCAGATCGGCGAGATGCGAAGGATTGACATCGTGAATCAACAATTAACCGTAAAATGTTAGTTCCGGCCACATATTAGACTGTTAACGAGTCCAACTTCGACACACGTTGTATATTTTTTTCGCGCTCGAGTGTAGTAAGTCTGACTCATCTAAACCTACAGGCTCTTACTAAATCGCTCGCCCAAAAATTTCACGTGACTTTGGTTTTTTGGTTTTGCAGCCGTACAAAACGGTTTTACATAAACCCTAATCCCAACCCTAACCCTAACCATAACCCCGAAGCTATCCATAATCTTAACCACAACCCTAACCCTAACCCGAGCCCTAAATAATCGAATCACGTTTTACTAGCCTGTCACGTGACCAAAACGGTTTTTTGACCATAACTCTCCAGGGAAGCATTTTAACCCTACGTCATGGGGGGTGATTCGGAATCAGCGTCCAAAAATAAACCGATATAGATTGTAGATCACTTTCATGCCTAAAGGGCCTTTTCACAAGAATTTTCTTAAAATTTGGGCGAGCGATTTAGTAGGAGCGAAACCTACAATTAACAATTTATTAATATAACGGGTGATACTCGTAGAATCAAGAATATTTGTTCCAAATAGGTAAGTTATAAATATAAACCTACAACTAACAATTCAACTACAGTACGTACGACTACAACTTGTCATACGTTGTATGACCCGCCGCGCACGAAGTATCGCCAGGACGACCATAGTGAAACGACCGTGGGGTCGCAACGTGATACAAACTACAACGGGGTACCAACATGCAACGTTACGCGATTGAGTGGCGAGCGCGTTGCCCCTGCCTGCTGCGCGGCGCACAGCAACATTGTGGCAAAAGCCAAAATATAGCCGTGACGTGAGGCAAGTATAAGAAACAATAAACAATAAAATTGTCCCATTTGCATTTTCCCGATCCATGACTCAGGCGCAAAAGAGTTAAGGACAAGAGTTAGGGAACGAGGTTTTTTGTATATGGTAGCTTGCGTCCGTCCGAGCGTGCGTGCGTGCGTACGAGCCCTCGCCCCCAGTTTAGTTATCGCCCACGTGTCTGCCTGCGCAAAGTTATTTTGTTGGCGCGCGGTGCTGAACTGTTCAAGTACATTGTTAATTTCACCATGTTCGCATCCCGCTATGTGGCTGGGGACTAATTGATAGCATATTATTATTATTTTGAGTTAGTATTACTATTTTGCACAAATCCGCGTGTCAGGTTGCATAAATAATAAACATACAAAAAATGTTTAGAAATATACACGATTTTCAAATATGTTACTGGGCCGCGCTCAGCCTGTCATTCCGCCTAATCTCTATTGTTTACCAACATTAAAGCCTGGGGTCCTCAGGTAATAAAGTAACTACAACAAATACGAATCATATACAATTGAGAATAAATACAAACTAAAAGCAGTGGGAAAATCTGATGAACTGAAATTTAAAAAAGAAACTGAAAGCCGTTAAAAATGTACTCTTATCTTATCTCTTATCTAAATACTGATAACTGATTCTCGCTTAAAATCACAACAAAAAACCTGTAAAATTAATACTTAAGTAAAAAATGTAGTATGCACGTCTCTGGAATAATGGTATAACTAAATAAAATCTACAAAATATACTAAAACTAAAACTAAGCTCCGGCAGATTTAAAAAGTATATGGTTACTATCAAGGGTGTTCATACCCCCAAACCGTTCAAGGGTTTTCAATTGGGTCTGGTAGAACCCCTCTCTAGCTTCCATAGCCTTTTCTTTGTCTGCTTTACTAATATTAGGCTCAAATACTAAAGCGTCTACTATAATGACAGAAAGGTGCTTACTAAGTGAGGAATTATAGGAGGCTATGGTACTAAAATCTAAATCATGATCAATATCTAAAAAATGGTTAACTAATTTACAACTTCTTATACCTTTCTTTATGTGACTCTTATGGTTAGAGAATCTCTTAGGGAGATTTGAGGTAGTATAACCGACATACGACTGTTTACAAGTCTTACACTCCATTAAATAAATGAGGTTATAACTCTGACAAGATATATACTTAGTTATAGGGAAAACTTGTTTAGAATGGTGACTACTAAAGTTGGAACAGGGGGACAGGAAATTTTGCTTACAAACATAGCATTTACCACAAGCATGGCACCCTGGGTCGACAGCCCCGGGAACCGCCCTTAGACTTTCGGAGTCTGGTTCCTGGATCTGACTTGCAGTTGTTTCTCTCTCATTATCACAGTTTAAAGTTCCACTGGCACGGTACTTATTGTGTACAAGCATGCCACCGATAGTTTGATTCTTTCGATGACTCACGAATACACTGTCCGCACGTACCAGCTTCTTCAGGGCCGGATCAAGGTTGAGAAGGTGCTTATACTTATGGATAATGCCCCCCATGTTGGGAAGTGCTGGATTTTGATCCATCACCATGGGTATTAAACAAGCAGTCGACTCATCCTTGTCTTTAAGGGTATACAAGTTTTTCCTATTAGCTATATCACTAAATTTGTTAAAGGCATCTTCTATAATACTGGAATGATAACCTCGGGCTAGAAGGTAACGTGTATAGACCTCTCTCTGCTCCAAGAAGTTAGTGTCTTCACTGTTGTTCTGTCTCACCCGCCTCGCCACTCCAAAAGGTATGTTTTTTACAACATGGTTCCTATGGCATGACGTGGGGATAAGGTAGCAGTGGGTGTCACTAGGTTTAGGGTAGAGTTTGGTGTGGACAACATCACCAACAGCATAGACATAGGTGTCTAGAAACTCAACGCCGTCCCTAGAGTAGTCGTAAGTAAACAAAAGGTTTGGGTGGATACTATTGAGCCATTCCATGAATTGTAATAGTTCCTCAACAGTACCGGGCCAAGCCATATAAATGTCATCACGTAATCTACCCCAGAATGCTGGTCTATGAGGCGGGCCATATTCTAGATCTCCTTCGTTAACTAAGATATCAATCTTATCCATAGCACAATCAGCATACTCACATGAGTTCTTGGGACCCATCGCTGCTCCACGCTCCTGGCGGTATGTTATACCGTTAAATGAAGCAATGTTGTAATCAAGAGTAATTTCTAGTGCACTAATAATGCATTCTGTACTAAACAATTGATCACCACTACTCCTTTTATTCAGGTGCTTAGTGCATTGTTGGATCCCCATATCCCTAGGAATGTTGGTAAACATGTTAGATATATCGATGGCAACATGTATAACCTCCTTTCCCAACAATATGCTAGACTCGTTCAGGCTATCAATCTTCCTCAGAAAGTGAGGGGTATCAATAATTCTGTAATTCAAAGTAGCCTTCTTCAATTCATACGCAGTCAAGGCAGAAAGGTTTTCAAGGTATGAACCACAGCCGGTGGTAATCATCCTCCCAGGATACAAAGGTGGTTTGTGTGCCTTGGGATTCAGGTACATGTTTCCAGGCTGGTTAAGCTCAGTACATGGAATAACCCACTCCTTGACCTTCTTGGACATACCTAATTCATCTTTAAACTCAATTGTCCAATTCGAAATTTTATCAATCAATTCTACAACTAAATCATCTACATTATTTACAATACTATATACAGATCTATCATTTAAATGTACACCTATTCGTTGAATATAATCTTCTTCACTAAGAAGGAAGAATCCTACTCCTTTATCGAATGGTCTGATAACAATGTCTTTCCAACCTTTGACTTCTTTGAGAGCTGCTCTGATGGGCGCAGCGATGTTATCTGGTGAGACGAATTTCTGAGTTGGCCTGTGGAGGTCTACTTCTGCTCTGCAGCATTTTATAAACGCCTCAAGTGCAGGGTTTTTACAAGATTCGAAAGTACGTGATGCATCAGTCTTTATAAGACAACGTTCCATGTCAGTAACTCTCTTATCTGCTTTGTTGGGTCCACATTTAAAGCTATCAAATACAACTTTAGCTCTCATTTTAGAAAACCATCTACACAAATCGTTCTCGAAGCGGCTTAGATCTGGTAGGGGAGGTGTAGGTGCAAACTTGTGAGACAAGAAAAAGACATAGAGTTGCTCTTTACTAAGCTCTTTGTCTGTAAGATTTACAACTGTTCTGGACATGTTTTCCATTGACAAGTCTTCAACCTTGGGAAGAGTACCTTTGATTAACGTCCTCTGATGTCTGTGGGATATATATATTTATCCGTGCCATTTTACTGACACCACGGCATCAACTTTAACGCAAATTTCTTTAACGGGTGATACTCGTAAAATATTTGTTCCATATATTGGACCTACAGGACCGTCGACGAGTCCAACTCGGCGCGCGTCCTGGTAGGTTGTAAACCTACAAGAATTTCTGCAAAAACCGTAAAAGATATACAACTGGAACTTTTTTGACTGGGTCAAATGTTTTAATGGCCTCCAAATCAGCATGAAAAAAATAAAAAAAATTGGCCAAGAAATAGGAGTTTTAGAGCCCAAAATTTGGTACCCCAAGTGGTGTCAAAAACGCGAATTAAATAGGTAATAATTGTTTTAGTCTCTTGAGTCTTGACACCATTTTAGGGTTTAGTTAAACGGGTTCCTGCTAGTGCTTATAAATAGTAAAGACTGGGGTCCCCATGTGGTATTGAATATGATAAAATACGCCATCACGGATCGGGAAATTGACGGATGTTACTCGTCTAAATTTCTTCGAAGTGCAGGGTTAAATTATGTTAGTCCATTAATGGTAGGTTGGACGCCGGGTTGGACTCGTCGACGGTCTTGAAACTTAAATATTTTACAAGTATCACTTGACGGGTGTTACTCGTCTAAATTTCTTCGAAGTAGCGCGCTGCTTTCTTTTCGAAATATTGGCCCGATGGCAAGTGCTAAAAAGTAGCGCGCGCCGGACCATTAACAATGGTCAAGAGTATCACCCGTTATATTATGTATTAATCCATTGCATAAACAATCGACTTCACATAGCCATGTGCCTACGCGTACTGCGTGACGCGCTTGTTTCACGCGCGCTACTGCAAGCGAGAGGGCTCTGGTTAGAGCAAACAATCGACAAGTCCATTTTATGTCTTATCCCAGTCTATTTATTGGTTAATCATAATGATATTTATTAGGGTTTATAGAAAATAAAAGGAACGAGCGTTATTTTAACGGGTGATACTCGTAAAACATTTGTTTCAAATAGTACCGTCGACGAGTCCAATTCGGCGTGCGTCCTGGTAGGTTATAAACCTACAATCGTTCTTTGAAGTGGGATAGATCGACAGTTGTGTTGCGATGTTGTACATTGTAGCACGAAGCGTTAATGGGCTGCGCATTCAATTATTATATGCTTCTCACTAGATCGGATACATGCGCTACTGGGCCTCGCCGAGCTACGAAGAATTGACATAGTCTTACCTGGGACCTCAGGCTATAATATTTATGTTCGGCGCAGTAAACATCGTAAGTTAAGATCAACAGGGGCTCGTAATATAGTGGCGAGTAGTGCGATCATGCACTACTGGATACTGTGAACCGCGTCGTGCATAAGCTTTAGAACTTAATCTCAAATCTATTGTATTTGTATCTGTTGTCAGTAATATCGCCGTTAGTGTTCTGTAAATTAATCCTAAAACGACTCTTGTCTCTCGATGCTTGAGTAGTTTTAGTGGTAGTATCGAGGAAGTTCAAAGTTTACCAAATTGAAATATCCATTTGTTTCAAGAACTTTGTACTGGCCGAAATTAGCGTTAAAATAACCATCCTAGTGTAGACAAGAAAACTGAAAACGCCTCTCAATAGATTTAGTCGTTGCAGAGTAAAACACAGTGTATTTGGTCGGTAAACTAAATTATGCCGGTTAATAAACTTAAGGTACAAGGTATAGGGAGATGCTTCTAAATTTTGGATATACCCAATCTGATGTTGCATCTTCATCAAACAATAAGTTTATAATGATTTAAAATGAATGTCACTGTTATAGTGGTATCGACGGGAGAATCTACGATATAATATCCGAATTCCCGGGTTTTAAGTTAGGCATAGTGATTGATTTGCTCATTTCTTTCTCAGCTTCAGCTGATCACAAAAGATTTGCCAAAATATCTATGATCTAACAGCTCCACTTTTAAATAAATAACATTCGCAGCTTCAAATTCAATCTTGAAAATAAAATTTAAAACATAATTTGATTAATGCTAATGGGCTTGAATCGATAATCTGAAATATTTTCCGCTCTTAAAGTAGCAAAACCATGCTAGACATTAAATCTAACGAGTTTCATGTTTCACTACGAATGCTATCAATGAAAAGATAAATTGATCGCGTAGTATTTAACTTTAAGAATAAAAAACAGTTTAGGGTATTTTGAGGATCTTTGTTTGAATACACATTCCTCTGCCGGATAAATCACAATAGAATCCTTTTTCCTGACTTGAGCAGAGACAATGGTTGGAAAGGGTATTAACATTAGTTCGAACACAGAAAATAAAATTCAGTCTTCCAATCAACTCGTCTACATCTAGCAGTTCTCTCACAATTATAGACACACACAAAGTACTGTTAAGTACCGTAAACTGCTATCCCACAACAGAATCATAAATATTTCTTCCACTTTCTCAGCGTTCAAAATCGCAGGACCCTCATTCTCTCGGACCTCCAAACTATCAGATAAGAAGATATAAATACGTTATCTCTCTCTTGTTCTACAAGAACAGATAAAACTCCCCTAAAAGTTGCTGGGGGCCGCTTTCCAGGCTGGTACAGACTGCTGCTGCTTCATCAGCCTGTTCATGTAATCGTCTGGACTGACAGCCTCCAGCAGTGGCTCAGTACATAGCAGCCGGTCTGATGGCAATGTTCGCTGGATAGTGCTTGTGATGTGATCGTTGGGCTGCCCCCGGGCTCTTTTGTCCCATATTCTGAGGTATAGGTCGCCAAGATGACGTGAGAAGGTGCTGATGTTGAAAAGGGGCGAGGTTGCTCGGGCTAAACGGACTTTCTGTCGCATTGCTTGTAATCTGGAGAGGAGCATTGTTAAAGAAGAAGCGAGCAAATTTAAAAGTAGAGTAAATAAATAATTAATAAACACAGGAATGAAGGTTAAAGAATGTGATACTAACTCAGTAGGATTGTTCCCGAGAGCTACAGCTATGTGCTCGTATTGCTTGTAGTTAGTAGCCACCAACTCGGGGCACCCCAGGGTAGTAAGTTGGGACGCGGCTACGCGCGATGCCAGCGACTCTCCTAACATGGTTATCATGGGGGTTCCTGACCACAGCATATCCATACCAGTGGTGTGGCCGTTACAAAGCGGAGTGTCTAGACATACATCTGCTACTCGCCCTCGCCTCACGTGCTCTTCTTTGGGCGCTACTGACGAGAATATTATCCGACCTGACAGATTGAGACAGTTAAGGCTTACTTATCAGTTGATCATTGCTTATACTGGACACTGACAGTGAGCCAGTCAGTCAGTACTTACTGCTACTTACCAAGAGTGTTGGGGATATAAAATGTGATGGAACATCGAACACGTCATATTAAACTCTTGTAATGAACATGATATAAGAATAATCAGGGATAAATTGAGGGGAACTAACCTGGAGGAACGCCGAACTCAGCCGCTTTAGCCTGAACATTAGCCTCTCCCAAGGCAGGGAACTTCAGTAACCACACGTAACTATTAGGAACCCTCAACAATATCTTACACCAACACTCCAGAGTGCCCGGGTCTAGTTTGTAGAGCTGGTTGAAGTTACAGTAAATAATACCGTGTTCAGGGAGTCCGTAGGTGGAGCGGTGAGTGGACGGCATTATGTAGGGACGGAGATGGAGCGGAGACTCCTGGCCATCAGCTGGCGGAATGTGGTCCACTTCCTGGTCAGGGGGAGTCGGCAACTCCTCTATTGAGCACCTGAGGTGGCCATGGAGTCAGTATAAAATACTTGATTCGGTAGAGTCAATGAGATTTGAAATGTAGTAGCTGTTATAGTAGACGGTGGCAGTCAGTAAAATTCTGTGGATTGTATGACTATGATATAACATAAATTACTCAATTAAACAACAATGTGATCGGACTGAGAGTATAGTGGGGGGAGGCGGTGGTTTCAGTTCCCCTCTCTGAAGAATGTACTCACTTCCAGCGAGTGGGAGTGCCCACTGATTTGGGGGTGTCCATTGGGAAGAGTTGTACCTCGGTGGAGGGTATAGGAGTTATCACCTGACCAACTTGCTGACCGGTTACAAGAGGGTTATTCAGCCCTTCTACCACCTGAAACATTATAACATCTAAATAATAGTATTTTACAGTATATCATGTACAATATCAAGTATAACTGCAGTAATACCACAGACATACTTCCATGAACAGTATAGGCATGTACTGAAATAGTGTCATAGTGAAAAGTTGGCATAATGAATAATGATAACAGTGCCATAATAAAATTTAATTTACAATAACAAGGCAAATAAACCATATATCTTCTCCGCGCGAACACGGGAAATAAAAATTAATAGCTATCCCAGATCCATGGCCCTCCAACTGACCTCGTCGTATTTCATGAGATGGGGGAACATGTGACAGTGGTCTCCGATAAAGAACGTGTAGGGCATGAAGGCAAGTTTCTCGCTGTATTGCTCAGCAAGCTCCAGGGGAGAGGTGACACTGTCTGTTACAATGTAGTCCATGTATTCTGCTCCTGAAGTGCCGGGGTAACCCAACCACATCACCTGCAGAGGGTGTGTACTGTGTAGTGAGATAAGGGGTATCATGTGAGATAAGGGCTATCATGTAGGTATGTAGATAATATGCGGTACTTTGTTATACTTGTAATGGACGGTATTAGATCTATCTCACAACATATAACTGAGAGAACTACAGAATTAGGCGGATCCTGCTGTTCGCTGAAAATATTACCTGTAAAGGTGCCGGTCTGAGAGCGAATATCTCGTTCCTGGCTCCCTTTGTGTAACCGTTCATGTTTATCAGGATATGTATCCCGTCTGAGTTGATCTTATCTGCTGCATCCCCGTTACACGGGTATTTGGAGAGATCTACAAAGTGTTCTGCCTCAGCGTGTACTTTCTGTCTGAAACTGGTACCGTCGTTCGGGGACAGTCCGTAACAGAATACCTGTAAAGGGGTTTATTAGCTGGAATCATTTAACATGTGCTCAGATATTAAACATGTGATTTGATATCAAATCACATGCATCATTTGATACTAGCGAAGTGTGTTTTTAACAACACAATCTTTAAGATAGTCATTGCAAGTATGGTGTGCTATTATTGGGGGGGGGGGGGGGGGGGGGGGGGGGGGGGGTGCACTACACTTTGCAGGGCCAGGCTTGCTGCAGTCAACTACAGTCAACAGATAATATTAAAAACAGCTCAAAACTGTACTACAATAAAGCAATAAACACTCCCGATCATGGTATTAAATATTTAAATAATGATATTGTTTTATCAATATCTCACCTCAATCCTGGTGGTATCATGTAGGCCAGGTACGCTCTGCATGAGATGGGAAGTGGGGTGGTTACCGTAGTCACTACTCACGTACCCCACTCTCAATCTACCATTAGCTAGATTGGTCGGGTATCTGTACGCTTTCTTCTTGAGCAGAGCTACTTTCTCAAGACAGAGTGTGGCGTGCCGCGCAGCTATTCCTCTTCTGAATCTGAGTGGGGTTTAACTATTAGAGAGATACTATAACTAGCTACTAGAGCTACACTGGGTACATGTTGTGTGTACTTACTGTAGTAGACAGTAGTGTATCTTATGTAGTACACAAGATCCACTACTACAACACATTCTTCTCTATTAATATCTAACTTCTGCAATCTGCATCATTACTCACTTGTCACTGGTAAGCCTAATTCAGCTACGAAAGTGCCATTTTCTACATTTATCAGAACATCAATCTGCCACATTCCAATATTTATACGAAATATTGCCCATTAAAAACAATTTATAGATAAGTGTAACAATAATTATCGTGCCTTGATCGTACATAATGACAGTTATATGATAGTCGAACTAAAGCTCAGTACACAAGAGCTCCATGTAGAGTGTATACTCACCACACCACACCAAACCACACCAAACCACACCACACCACATGCACACCGGATATATCCCGGTATTATAATACTAACACACATGTATATCACATCTATAATAAGACCTACACAACTACTGTGAGGGATAGTATAACGCGAGGAGTATTATCACGAGGAGTAAAACTAACTTGTGTCCCAGAGGGTACAACATAGAGTGGTGAGGGTGCACGGAGGGTAACCGTTTCTGGTTCAGCTGGTCCCGGACAATCATCACCACTTTTCTCATCCTCATCTCGTAACCAGCCCAGTCACAGACAATTTGCATGCAGTGAGCCAGGTTACAGTACGCGTCACTGAACTCGGGTTTCAGTTTCAGGGCCATCTTGTAAGATTGTATTGCCTCCGGGATTTGTCCTGATGAGTTGCAAAGTAGTAATAAGAGTAGGTTTATAAAAATGTTGGCGTGGAAAGATTCACAATATTGTGAGCGGTTTTAAAACTCTCTGATAAGAGGGAAGGGGACACTTAAATTATCCGCCATTCTTCAAATATCTTAAGTTTCCGGGGTACTATATAAAGAGCTGACCTGCGTCCTTGTAAATGCTGGCCAGGTTTGAGTGAGCGTCCGCAAAGCGAGGATTTAGTTGGATGGCTCGTGTGTAACATTGCAGAGCTCCGTTTATATCCTGCATCTCTTTTAGGGCGTTACCTGGGGGAGGCGGTTACTTTTAAAAACATCGCTTAATTGCGGCTTTGAGTTGAACAGGGTTTGTTTTCCCGATACTATTAAGATATCACAGTGATATTTCGAGCGGCAAAATGTGGCTAAATATCCTATATATTGACTGCGGGGGAATTACGTTGCAGTCTTTTGACGTCACGTGTCAACTGTCAAGTCCATCTAACACTTACTTAACAAAGACACACGTGACACCTACACACGTGACACCTACACACGTGACACCTACCCATGTTACTGTATGCATCAGCGAAGGTTGGTTGTATTCTGATGGCCTCCTGATAGTGGCTGATAGCCTCTGTGAGTTTCCCTTGTTGTTGCAGGATGCTGGCTAGGTTACTGTGAGCTGCTGCAAACTCGGGGTGCACGTGTAGCGCGTCTCCTGGGAGAAGAGTGGGTGTTTTAATGGAGTATACATATTATAATGGAGTAAACAGATTATAATGGAGTATACAGTTATAATGGAGTATACAGATTATAATGGAGTATACAGATTATAATGGAGTATACAGTTATAATGGAGTATACAGTTATAATGGAGAGAGATTTATATACAGTTTACAAGTTTTATTTTTTACACCATGTTTTGACACAGTGACAGTAAGAATTTCGGAGCCCTTGTCTTGATACTCACAGACAATTCCCTACAATAAAGAGAACAAAATAAGGCATGATAAGTTACTTACTGTAAAGTTTAGTAGCCTCTTCAATAAGACCATACTCCCGTTTAATGTTAGCCAAGTTATTGAGGGAGTCAGCGTGGTTGGGGCACAGTTTCAGAGCTTTGTTGTAGCATTCCTCAGCCTCCTTCACCTGGAGTAGTAGCTCAGTGAAACCTTGCTTATAATATTCAACTGTATAGGGTGCAGGTGAACAGAAGTTAGGATTTGCAATGTTACTGCTGGGAAACTACTTTACATTCTGATAATGACAGTGATAAAGATACAAATGTCAAGTAGCTGAAATCATAAATCTTAAATCTTAAACTCACGCTGTGTGCGAAGCCCTGTTCCTTAAGAGCGTTAGCAAGGTTACAGTACGCATCAGGGAAGTGTGGTTCTAGTTCTATTGCTTTTCTGTACGTGTCTATCGCAAGATCGATAAACCTGGGAATGAGGGTTTGTTACTTGAGGGAACAAGTTTGAAAATATAGGCTGGAGAACACTGGGTCTGAGAAGTGAGAGGCCTCACAGAGGAAATAGTACGAATTCCTATGTCTTAGAATCATGGTGCGACGAGGGGACACTGGAACAGAAGCACAGGTTTCGTTGAAGGATTCTTGTGTGTCACAAATACATCCCAAAAAGGGAGATCTACATATGACTGAATATAGAGTTCCTCTTCTGATCTTGAAAAAATAATTATCAGTAATATTATAAAAATTTAAGTTTGTGGCGATATCTTGACCAGAAAAGATGATTTTGTTGAAAGAGGAGCTAGAAATTTGGCGGCTAGCGATGAGCAGATCTACTAATAGATCCAGCACAAACAGAGAGATAGAGAGAGAGAGAGAGAGAGAGAGAGAGAGAGAGAGAGAGAGAGAGAGAGAGAGAGAGAGAGAGAGAGAGAGAAAGAGAAACTAAGAGAAATATGTTAGCACCTGTCATCCTGATAAAACTGTGCAATATCCACTTCAGTGACTCTACACGACAGTCTCAACTCAACATACATCTCACAACCTTAACTTAAAAAGCTATTAATAATTGAACGACAGAGAAAACTCACGGTAATAAACTATATAATAAGTTATGATATTACCGCACATTATACCGCACATAATGTCACATATATATTACCACGTCTGAGAGCTGTTAATTAATGAGACACACTGCGTTTTTCAAATCAGAGCAATTATCGCAGTTAGCGGAAGACCACTTCATGCTAAATCTTACCTGTTCTTACATATTTTGACAAAAGAAACTCAGGTAAATTCGGCATATGTCTCCTTTTAAATTCAATAATATTTATGTGGTGTTGTCGGTAGCTTTGGGGTCTCATTTGAAATGAGTGACCGTCTGCAACCCCCCTGATATGACGAACGTGGTCGAATGTGAGCTTTTAAAATATCTGTCCTTTAAGTCTTCCCAGCAGCAAAATGATGGCACGTAAATCATCAGTTGGAAGTATGTAAGTTTTAAATGTTGAATTGTAACAATGGAGACAAAGGACAGATAACTTACATTCCCAATCCACTTAACCAGTTGACTCTCATCTTGTTAGTGCTTTGTTAGTTCCCCATTAGTTTTATAAGTGAAGTCACTGTTCCGCGTGAAGCGAGAGGAGTTAACATCGCTTCACATCAAACAGGCTACATTAAGAGGGTATCTAAACAAAAACAAAGTGGTTATAATTAAGACGATAAAATGACTCGGAAGAACGAATGTGGATAAGAAGTTGAATGTTACAGATATCAAAATTGCCAGTAAAAATCTTAATCAAGTTACGAGAGGAAAATTGCACAGGAAATTAGGCACAGACGCGACGTGAGTATTACATGATAAGCGAATCCATAAAACGGTAGAATTACAACCTTAAAATTACGATTCGAATGAACCTTCTTTCCTCATTACGGCAAGACTGTTTTACAAAATGACATTTCCATTCTCTGGTTCGTGTTTACAAAGGTGAATAACTGCGTTATTATAACCCAGTCATTACAATTTAATCAGTATCAAATGACTGGGTTATCATTACTCAGCCAGACTTTCTTCAGAGACAATTGCAGATGGTTCGCAAAACCGTAAGTAAAGTCAGACTAGGAAGAAAATTGAAGGTGGTTCGAGCTACGAATGATGATAAAATTACCAAATTACAGACAAACCGGTCCTTTAATTTCAAGATGCACCTATCGGCTATCAGTACTCTGAAAATTAGTTGGAACTTCAACACCTTCCTGATTTATTTGGTCGTTAAATTCATAAATATCGTACAGAATTTAATGTAATTGTGGTTCTACAATATATGTATAGCGGGTCCGGGACTCTAGGGCGTAAGACTCTAGGGCGTGAGACTTTAGGGCGGCGCCCTAACCCTAACCCTAACCCTTATCCTAACCCTAACCCTAACCCTAACCCAAACCCAAACCCTAACCCTAAGACCCTAGAGTCTTACGCCCTAGAGTCTTACGCCCTAGAGTCCGGACCCCATGTATAGCATAAGGATTTAAAATAAATACTGTGGAGAAACGATTTTGGGAGAATACCGCTGAATATACCTAACCGAGCTTTAGCTCTGACGTAATTTCTCTTTAAATAAAGAAATTTTCTCTATAATGCATACAATATATATGATCGATTGTATGTATATTTTATATACATTAGAAATTAGAATAATATAATGTATAATTTAAATATTACACTTAAGAAACGTTGTTAAGCACAACAATGTCTGTTGATACGGAGAAAACAAGCAGTGGTGAATAAAACAAAAGCGTGTACTAAATGACGGGCCAAACAAGCAGCCGAGCAACTAGTTATTTTATTTTCTGGTTACACAATACACTCATGAAAAGGCTGTATCAGATGGCATCAAATTTGCCGAGTTCCATTAAATTTGCCAAGTTCCTCGTATAAGCTAACCGTGTTTAAACACCCGAAACGAATTTCGGTTTAAAATATGTAAAAATGTTCAGGTAATGAATTATCTAGAATAATCTAGAATTATCTAGATTTTAAATTACACTTCAAAACAAGTAATTCTGCTTCCGGGTTTAGTGAGTCACCACTTTTAATGATATTACCATTGGCAGATTTCTAATATTAATATGTCTCATTCACTTCACTCTATTATCACAGATGGATCTTACCTCAGGTGCGTATTGACTATTGAGTAATCCTCTGTTTATTCAATTAACTGTTAAGCAAAATAGAATCATTTTAGCTCTAAATGAAATCACATCTGTCACTCGTTAAGCGCACAGCTAAACGTCTACAAATTTAATTGAAGCTCATATTAGAGTACTAATCAGAAATCCTTGGCCATACTAAGTTGGCTTGAAGTGGGCGTGAGCAGGCCCTGGAACCTTCTCAATGTTCATATTGTGAACATTCCTTGAAGTTAATACACAGTACAGACAGTGTACACACAACAGTCAACACGACTCCAGAAGATAAAAACCAACCAATCAAAATGGTATTTGTACAACACGTGACTTCGTAAAGCTTCATAAGAATCACCTGTAAATTACTATCATGTATAACATAATGATAACATAATTTGTATGACATAATGATAGGAACATCTCCCACACACACGCACCTTTGTTCATAGTAGACACACGCCAAGTTTCCATGCACCACGGCATGGTCCGGTTTTAGTTGGAGGGCTCTGGTGTAAGCGTACACTGCCCTGAAACACAGTTATATCAGTGTGGTTATTGTACAGTGTGCACACAAAATTATTGCTATACACGCCAGATTGTATTCCGTTGAGCTGCCTTGAATAATTTTTAACTTCCATGATTTTAAAGATTGATGAACTCTCCAGAATTTTTAGTTATTCCGTGGATTATTCTCGAAATGTTTCTTCTGATCTCAAAACATCTCAATTTTCAATGGAGCGTTAGCGTGCATCGAATTTTGTAGCTTAAAGTGGTGATTGTCATGTTTTTAGACAAGGCAGCAACAGAAATACAACTTGAGTATTACCAGCCTACGAGAATACACATCTCACCATTGCAATAAACAACTGTACAGTGCACGTTTAGACCTCTGCGGTTTCACCGTGGCACGCTAAACTGGATATTTAAACGAGGTGGAAGTGAAACTGTTCCTTTGGGCGCTAAAGTCAAACTGAACTTTACTGGAAAATAGAACACTATGTTTTTGGAGGGAATTGTGTGGGAGAGGAGGGCTGGTCGCAAGTTGTTTATTTAGCAATGGTGACCTGTCTCTTATCACAAAATACTTACCAACTTACCTCCCAACAGAGTGCAGACCAACCAATGCAGCAGCGGCAGGGGGTGGCCCTAGCACGAGGCCCTGGGGCACCCCATACACTACATCAGTAGTACCATCTGTGTCCGGAGACACAGATAAATTTTAGCATACACTGCACATGGTTTGTTTAAAGAGACAGGCAAATACTGAGATCTAAATAAGACAATTCTGTGCCGGATCCGGCTAGAACTTGTATAGAAATCATCTTAGTATAACACGGAACAAACTTCCCATGACATACTTGTTCCTACGATGTAGGATGGTAACAACGTTTGTTTCTATACACGAACTTGGTAATAACCATAACAAGAACCACTGAGAGTTTGAACTGAGCTCTACATTCAGTGTTCCCTGTCCAGATATGGAGACGAGAATTTTGGAACAATGAGCAAAAATCGGCCAAATTTTCATAACTTGTTCAGAGCGAGATCATTATTTCGAAAGGTTGTTTTTGTTTTGTGAAAAAAATAGACATTTTCGTCTCCATGACACAGACTGCTTTAGCCCCCAAGCCTATCACAATTTAAGTGGTTATTTCAAGATTGCGTCAACGAAACGGTTTAGTTTTTCAAGAACGTCATATCAAAATACGAATTTTCCGCAGTGACGGCTTCATTTGATTGTGGTAGACTTGGGAAGCACACAGGAGTCACAAGGGTACATCCCATAATGTAGGAAGATCACCTTAACGAACAAACTGAACAACACATAAGTGATTGTCTTGTAACCCCTGTGCACTTGACTTGTCCAGGCCGTACGACAGAACTTGCTTTTTGACCTAGCAGCATTTCCTCAAAGAACGCTCAAATTTCACACATCCACCATATTATTAACGAACAATTTGTTAACTGCACGTGATCGAGGAGTGTTGGATCGGCAAGTTCTGTGTACAAGACCCGTACTGACTTACTCAAGTACCTGTCGAAGATCCGTGCCTCTTTTAAAACATTTCCAAGGTTAATGTATGCATCCAAGAAATTTGGGTCGAGGGAGACTGCCTAGAAATATCAATCAGCTAAAATGCTCTCCGAAAAGAGCACACAAACCGCAAAACAAAGGGGAGAAAAGGAGGGCATTTTCAACAAATGATGCAGAAGATTTCGAAGTTCAAAGGATTGAGTCAGGGGACGGGGTAGTACTTACTCGCTCAAAGTGGTGAATAGCCAGCCAAACTTCGCCTTGTGCATTAAAAACACATCCCAGATTACTCCAGGCAACGGCGAAATCTGGCTGGGTTTCAATGGCTTTCGTGTAACATGCTTTAGCTTCTTCCAGCTTACTCATTGCTTTGAAAAGGTTACCCAGATCACTTCTGACGCAGTACAGGTTCTGAATAAGTATTGTATCGATTTCAATGTTACTCCAAACTCGTTAAATGGTTTGAACAAAATATTGGGAAGTCCCAACAACAAAGCATCAAATGCGCGCGCCGGTAACGCGCGTACCAATTGCCACCAATTTGGGTCCTTTTTAATTTTCCGTACTCTAAAAACTAGCAATAGAAACATTTCTCCGAGGTTGATCTTGCAGTGCGCGTGCCCCCCATAACAAACAGGTGCTACCAAATCTCTAGTAAGTATCCTCTAATCAGTAATGAGGAGTCTTTGTTTACCTAGTCAAACACTCACCGGATTGTAGGAAAGAGCTGTTCTGTAAGCATTGATAGCTTGGTCTAGGTCTCTAGCAGAAACCAGGGCCGCAGCTAGGTTTATGTAACCGTCAATAAAATCAGGCTTCAATCTCACTGAAATGAAAAAAAAACTGTTTAAGCCATTGAAGATATTCAAGTAGCTTTTGGTGAGAACTTCCATTTTCGACAACTTCGAGGTACTTAGTGTACTATGACAATATTTAAAATATTCGCCTGTTAGAATATGGACTGCTACATCAGAAAATATACGGGTAACAGCAGCTCCGCCATTCGTCCAACATCACCGCATTGGGTGTAATTTGAATTATGTCCATTGTCCAGACTAAACAGTTTAACACGTACGCGAGAAAATATCGAATGTTAGGAGCGTTAATTACACAAGTTTTACATAATTGCCTAATTGGTTATAATCAATCAGAATCACCAAGTAATCGAAATAATTATAATTCATATTTAAAAAATTTCTGAGATAGAAGCAAAATAACAAAATTGCACGGATACAAAATTGTGACGTCTGGTATCCCTCTGGTATACAATAATTTCTTACAGCTTATCGAAAATGAAATTATTATTAATTAAAATTACCATCAATGAGCATTTAACCGGGATTAAATGCATTATAAATTCAACTTTTGTAATATCCTCGAAAGGCGTGTCAGGTGTGAAAATAAATGAATTAACGTTTTTAAAGACTAAATTAATTTTCCCCATCGCACCCCGTACGATTTCCGTATTACGACCAGCATATGGAATTTGTTTTAAGGTATGTGACCATTGACAAGTAACAAGTTAGGGCCTCGAGATAAAGGAGTGTAAGGAGATAAAGGAGTATAAGGAGATAAAGGAGTGTGAGGAGATATAGGAGTGTAAAGAGATAAAGGAGTGTAAGGAGATAAAGGAGTGTAAAGAGATAATGGAGTGTAAGGAGATTAAGGAGTGTAAGGAGACAAAGGAGTGTGAGGAGATAAAGGAGTGTAAGGAGATAAAGGAGTGTAAGGAGATAAAGGAGTGTAAGGAGATAAGGGAGTGTAAGGAGATAAATGAGATTAAGGAGATAAAGGAGTGTAAGGAGATAAAGGAGTGTAAGGAGATAAAGGAGTGTGAGGAGATTAAGGAGTGTAAGGAGATAAAGGAGTGTAAGGAGATAAAGGAGTGTGAGGAGATAAAGGAGTGTAAAGAGATTAAGGAGTGTAAGGAGATAAAGGAGTGTAAGGAGATAAAGGAGTGTAAGGAGATGAAGGAGTGTAAGGAGATAAAGGAGTGTAAAGGGATAAAGGAGTGCAAGGAGATAAATGAGTGTAAGGGAATTAAGGTGTGGTCCAGCCATTTTTACAACTCCAACTCGCTGCCGCGTTTTATCGCTTACATCATCACTAACACAGACATTCCACCTTTGTGTGTACTGTGTGTTGTACATATCAGAGAGGCTTATTTTTATAAGTTATTGTAAAATGTATTGAGATTCCAGGTGTTGAACATGATCTTTCCGAGTGAATAAATAGAATAATCTGTGGCAATTTATTGAGTGCAAGTCTGTGAGTATCGCCCAGTTGAAATGTCAAGAAATTTGAAGTTTGATTGGCACCAATTTTATGGGAACTGTTTAGTTGAGGAAACATTTAGTCAGAAATGAGAGGATAATTCGATCAGCAGCTGGGATTCTAAGAATTTCATAGATATTCATAGCATTACGGACATTTTGAGGCTTGAAAAGTCTGTCAGATATCCAGAAGAACACACGGTCGTGCACGTGGATACGTGGTAAGATCCGGCCTTTTCCCAGCTTCAATTTCGGAGAAACTGTTTCAGTTTTGTAGACCCTACATAAGCCCCAAAACAATTTCCAGTCCTCTACTATAAAATGAAGGTAAATAGCTGATTTAGTACTGACAAGACTATGTTCATAAGACATATATATATGTTCATAAAACTGTCATAGTTTTGTGTGACAGCTCTAGATAGTGACTTAGATATTAAAATTTAAATCGTTTATTTGACGCGATCCAAGTAAAGTATATGAATACTTTGATCTATGCGACTGTCTGGTCCAACGAGAAGTATTTTACTATTAATCTACTGAGCTTACTTCCTAAGACTCTGTTGGACACTTCCTAAGACTTAGACACTTTAACGAAAGTTAACATCGTGCAATAATCAGCAATTTTCCAATCACTAAAGCAGGGAAGAAGCTAGTCAAAGATACCGAATAGTTGGCAGTAGTTCTAGCAGTTGGTATTTAGAGTGTTGGAGCAAGGTAATAAATAACATGGAAATAGCTGGACATTGAAGGCAGGTTGGAAAAACCGGAAGCTGCTGAAAATTTCCACACCTACAAATTGTAGGCTACAATAACTACATTACACTAATTAATGTACACGGTCAGGCTTGACAAATACACCAGAGCCACATTGTCAGAGTATGACAGTCTAGTGCGTTAACAACCGTTAATTTTACAGTGCTGGGCAGTGAAAATAATCAGTTAATTTATCAGCGGTTGTGGCAAGTGTCATATAATTGATAAATTTGCCTTGTTATGAGAATTTTTGGAAGGCCCCTGAGCTGTCAAGGCATAATAATAAACTCTAAGGGGAGCTGAGGTGTATTTGTTGGCAGCTGACAGTGATTCTGAGTTATGATTGGTCAATAGTGGAAGCCTCACCTTCCCACCTGAATCAGCATCTATATTAATGATATCCACATTCCACTTTTCTTGATTAATTACGAAATACTACCCAGCTTAATTGGATAAATTTTTTGTTTTCGGAGGGTGGATAAGAATTTAATATGAAACGACGTTTTTAAAACTATCCCAACTGTTGATTTGTTACATTTTAGCGGAACCCACCACGTTTAAAACTGATTTGGTGGGCGACACCGATGTTTTACTAATTCCCAATGATGATTGCTAGGTTATTACCTGATTGCTCACTTATCGAGGTGATCTAACCTCTCAACCTGATCTAACCTCTCAACCTGATCTAACCTCTCAACCTGATCTAACCTCTTTACCTGCCAACGAATGGTGAATTAAAAGCGTGTACGCAAATAATCTTTTTACCCTAACTTCTAACCCAACTGTCATAAATATGTGAATTCTTGTGAATAATTATACGATATGGAGTTGTATTGTTGAACCCCACTGCATTGTTTGCTCTCATTGTGGAATTTAAACAGAATGCAGCCACATACAGAAGTCTGCATACCATATCTAACAATACCAGCATTCTCGTCACATGTCTTATTGTGGCAGTCCGGGTTGGGGAGGGTATATCATAGAGTTTCAGTGCTAGGGACAACAGTAACCAGTGGTAACCGGTTGATAACCAGTGATACTGTGAGACGTTGGCGGATGGCCACGTCGATGAAAATGGCTCAAATAGCAGCCAATTTCTCATAGCAAAAGCTTATCTTTTACCAAAAGTTAACCAATTTTTCATACTCGAAATACAAACAATCTGTATCTAGATTCTACATGTACATCAAATTGTGCAATAATTTCCAAACCCTCCCTTTGCCAATCTGAATATTTCGAGCGTAACCCAGTTGCTAATTAACTAGAAAACTTCCAAATGTCAGTGCTATCTTATGTAACCCTATAATTGACGAACCTGCGTGTTGGTAATGTTGCAAAGCCTCCTTCAACATGCCCTTTTCTTTATACACGTTTCCCAGGTTCGAGTAAGCTTCAGCAAGGTGAGGGTTTAACTTGATCGCCATCGTACTAAACTGAGCAGATCTGAGGATAAAACAGGGTAAGATTAAAGGAATGTTAACCAAGGACATGACTCTGATTAGTGCGCCATAATCATGAGAATATTTAGCTTAAAAATATTCTTGTAACACTGTAATCATATAACCTGCATAGTTACTGATTATACAGATTCTTCCATCTCGATTTTGAGCATGCTCAAGATGCCGAGAAATGCAGCTCTTCAAGAGTCTGTAGAAAGTCTTTAAAATATGGGGAGTATTTCAGAACAGCACAGGTACGACGGTGTTATACTTTATTAGAAGTTATTTCTAAGTTAATGCTTAGTTAATAAAAGTAAGGGCGTTTAAACACGTGAGTTCACATCTCCAGGCTTACCGGCTACATATAAGGCATGACATAATAGTGAAAATAAACGGAAATAGAAGCAAGAGGCTTCAAGTCCGATGAAATGTGAGGGGAGCGGCGAGTTCAGTTACCGGGGTGAATGGCACAACCTGATCCTAAGAGCACGTTACTTAGAGTAAGAACAATGTCAGCATTAGGTGACATGTTCTGAAGCCTGAGATGGGCAAGATTTTATTTCATGATCGGTAAATCTTCGATCAAATTAACCGGTACATTCTAAAAGCAATAAATCTTTTCAACTGAAGATTCTGTTTACCGTGTGCATTCGAATCCGAAAATACCCTGACTAGAGGTTACAACTAAACTGCGGTTGCAGTAAAACTGATTTATGTAGTAAAACTGATTTATGTCACATCGTATACATACAGTCTAATCATTCAAGTAAATATTCGAAAAAAAGTGTCTCTTAAAACAGATATTTTAGGACAAAACAATGTTGAGGACATAATTTGAACGGTAAAGGAGTCAAACTCTAACTGTTAAACCAGATGGAAACTACAACTTACGATCACAAAACTGCTAAGCTAGGGGCGATGGGAAATATGACTTACTTGTCTAATTTGCGGCATTGGAAGTGGATAGAAGATATGAGCAGCAATACACCAGTATTTGTGGGGTCTCTTTTCCACAACTCCATACAGAGTTGTTCGGCTCTCTCGTAGTTCCCATTAGAATATTCTCGATGAGCCAGCTCAGCCAGGGATCGGAGCGGGATTATGACAACGTTGTTATTCGAGGTTACAGTGGTCATCGGCTGCTGCATTTGGGTGGGCAGTGTAGCCTGCAGCATACCGATATCATTAATGATCATCCTCTAACAAATGCTAACTAAGCTAAGAAAATGCTCAAAGTGCAAACGTCGAAAGTGCTGCATCAGCCGAACGCGACGACGGGGGGTTATCGTAGCAAACTCAACGTGATCTGACGTCACATTCCAGTGCAGTATTCATGGCGCGAGAATAGAAATGGCAGTCAGGTGATATCCATATATGGTCATAACGTGTTAGCTAAAACGTTTCGCAGAGCACCTTGCTCCTTCATCAAATTTATTGAACGCGCGCTTAGATACAGACCTAAACTATAATGCGCGGCTCGATATCGTGATAATGAATGATAATAAATGCGCGGCGTGTTAAAAAACTTGACATACGTTGCATGCCACTTTTCGTTATCAACTTTCATCATTTTTAATTATACTAAAATGCCCTACATAATTTGTTGTTGTTATATGACAAATATTTAAAATTCAATGATGAGCAAATGTTTATTTTGTGCATTGACAAAAATTTGGTAACCAACATTAATTAAAATTTTAATTTCAACATAAAAATATTAAAACTATTCCAAAAAATATTTGTTTATGAAAATAAATTTTTTATAAATTCATAGTGTAAAAATATGAAAAATGATATGTGATAGTGATAATCTTTTAGACAAGTTCATGATTTTAAAATTTAAGTGAGTTGTTTTCATCATTTATAAGTCACTTGCGCCGCGCAATTATTTTATTACACAAATGTGACAAAATTCGATCGAACAAAATCGAGCGCTCGCTTTGATCCGAATTATCGAGTGAAATGAACTGTGATAGGTCGATAAACTATCAAGTCATCTCTGGTGATGATAACGTTGGTTTGTACTGGTTTCATCTCCTTCACTTACTGAAAATGAGCAACTATTCCGTCCGTTTAAAGAAGATGTTATCATCTGTTAGCATGTGCAGCGTCGAAGCGGCCGCTTACTCTCAATGTGTCATTAAGAGTAAAAACACTATCAAAGGAAGCTGCCAAAAAGAATTTGCGATGCTTGAGAAATGCATTAAAGTAGCCGCTTCTAAAGGATAGTTTCTCTCCTGTTCTCATCCACATCACGACCCTCCGATTTGTATCGATCGAACAACCGAGATGATTGATATTAGAACAATAATTTCCACAGACCGTTCAACATCAATGAAATCAGAAACGACGACCCAAAGCTAGAATCGCCAAAGAATCGAAAATGTTTCACATCCAAAGCTCTCCTCACTATTGACCGGTGTATGATGGGCATTCGCTAATTTATAGAGATCAATTTTATTGTGTTTTGTAATGTAATATACTGTGTTACAAGATTTATTTTCTGCTTTACTTTCACTCTATTTGGATTCAAAGAAAACAATATTTCCCTTCGGCTGTTGATCACAAAATTCTTCTCGCTTGCTATGTAACCAGTACATAGCACAATTTCATCAATTTGTCTACAGCACCGTATTGTGATCTTTAAAACAAATAATTCTCACACTGCACTGTAATTTAAGCAATGAAGGTGTGGCGAGTGTATTGCCCCCTTGTTGGTAGCGCTAGATTTGCTTCAACACATTGGCGTCATGTTGAGTCCCCAGCTCCAATTCCTCGTCAATTCTTCAAAAACGATGCTCTGCCCAACACTCCCACTATGACTATAAGGATTGGTGAAATGATCAAGAAGAAGATAGTAACATCAGAGGTGAGATTTGATAACTTTTCTGTCTCGTAATACATGCCTGTTTACTTGATCTAAAGCTAGTTTATTGATTAGAATATCTAGAAACCCTGAAATAATCAAAAGAATGTTATCAAGTGCCTGGATATATCTAATTTCAGTGCTGTTTTTGCCACGAAAACATTACCATCTTAAAGATATTATTCTTTCAGCCACTTGAGTACATAAGTGGGGATGACAACTTCCAATCCCAAACTGCAGAAGGAGCAATACTGAAGTATGAGGGGGAACTTTATGACCTTTTGAAAAACCCTGTTGCTGATGAGTCTTTTCAGCTCATGTGCCAAGTAAAGAATCATGGGATTGTGCAGTTTCGGGAGCATTTTAGGGAGCTTCTCAAACAAACAACGCCCCACAATCGGTAAAGTCAACTGTTATTAAGATAATATTACTCAAGATATACATACATCTCCGTATCTTTCTTTTCATTATATAATCGCTCACATAAGCACAAAGACACAATGAAAAACAGTCTTAAATCGATACGAAGATTGAACTGTTAACATTTTTAATTTCCAGCTTCCTGATGAGCGGAGAGCGACGATGTGGTAAAACACTTAGTTGTTATGCACTCCTGATTACGTACATGAAGGAAAACTTTAATGGGTTGATAATTCCAGCTCTGCATTTGTCTCCTTGGTTTCAGGATACTAGCACAACTCAGATGATTCACACTGGAGAGGTTTTATTTAAGCTCATACTTTAAAAAAATCATACTATGGTCAGTTTCAGCCATGAATATTATTATTATAACTTAGTTCAATTTTCCAATGGTTTTAAATAAAAAGATTTTTAACTCTATCTCACCAGGGCTTGCTGGACTTTCCAGAGATAAATGCAGAATTTCTAAGATTTTTTGTGGCCTGCAATACGTTCTCTCAAAATCCTAACAAGGATGCTATTAGCAATTGCTTGCTACTTGAGGACGAGCGTTGGACTTCTAATATTTACTCTTTTAAAGGAGATTCACTTATGGGTAGGTAAACTTTCTCATCTATGAAACCTGTATTTTATTTCCTATCAGAAGATATTTTTACTCGTTTTGTCATCTCAGGGAACTTTCTGGAAAACTTTTCTGAAACAAGGGGGGGGGGGGGGGGGGGGGGGTCAACCTCATTTTACCTTATTCGGGCAGCCAAAAAAGGCAAAATTGGGATGAGGTAAAATGAGGTAAAATGAGGTTGACCCCCCCCCCCCCCCAACAAGGCCGATAAAACAACAAGAAATGCGGCCGCTTTTCTTTTATGGATGGCCGCTCAATTTCCCGATCCGATGGCCGCGTATTTTATCATATTCCATTTCACCTGGGGACCCCAGTCTTTACTGTTTATAAGCATGCATATATGGCGGAGTGACAGGCCGGCCCAGTTAACATAATTCCATATTGAATTTGAAAATCGTGTATATTTCTATGTAACCATATGTTTATTGTTTATGCAACCTGACACGGATCTGTGCAAAATAGTATTACTAACTCAAAATATTAATAATATGCTATCTATATCAATAAGTCCCTATCGGGATGGTACATGGTGAAATTAACAATGTACTTGAACAGTTCAGCACCGCGCGCCAACAAGTGTTTAATTCAGATTATCGCGCAAAGTAACTTTGACTCTTTTGTGCCTTCGGCACTTTGAGTCATGGATCGGGAAAAAATATTTGTATCTTTTGTAACACTTTGTCTCTTCCACCAGATGTAGCAAAGATAGGAATATCGACCCCTCCAGTTGCTGGTCACGTGATCCAAACGATATTTTCTACAATCCTAGAGCAGGGGATATCATCCCTCGTTATCGCTGATAACGCTAATCTACTCAGTGAGATTCACTCAAGCAAGCTGGAAGATCTCAGGGATCTGAATGCTAAAGATTGGTGGAATCAGCCAGAACTTGTTCCCAATAAGATAACTTTATTGAGGTAGGACTTAAAGATCAATGTATTTAACCAAATCTTCTACTATGACTGTAAGGTAAAACCTTTACCCAAGTAACCAAGTTCTACTTCAATGAAATGTGATCGTATCCAACTTTACTATACATAACAAATTTGATCATAATTGTCATGACAACCTCAGGAGCCTGAAAGAGTTTATATCCCTACACAAAGAGGGGCGAGTGTACCTGACCATGGACCAACGGCGAAATATTGGTGATAAGGTTATCAAAGAAACAGGCGACATTCCTCACGAGATTGTGGCAATACCAAACACGCCTTCGGAAAAAGAATACTTGCAGTTTTTAAATCACCTGCGTTTTGAGAACTTTATATCTAAGGACTTGAATGTTGAGCAAGTGACGGAATTGACGTACTTGACGGGACGGAACTATGCAGATACCTTTAAATACATGTTCATAATTTGAAAATTCTATAAAATTGTTAAATCATTGATTTAAGTTAAACAGATTCAAGGAAAGCCCTATTCGAGATATTCATCCGATTTATGAATCGCAATCATGTGCAACACGATTTTCCTAGTGACCCAAAGTGACCTGGCCTGATATGGGGGTGTTTCGACTCGTTTAATTTGGAGTTTAAACTTGAGAGTTGGTTGTTCGAGAAATAAGTTTTTACATTTTGTTAATATATTTAGTTTGAGCATTAATTTATTATTTTCAACACTTTTGTACACACATTTTATTTGATTGTAGTAAATAGACCAGAAAATACAGTGCAACATCATTTTGTTCAATGTAATAGTATTTAATAAAATATTATTATTATATGCTTCAACCAAACTTGATCTCCTAAATCCAGGATGTTATCCTCCACCCTCCTTACCTCTCCCCTCCTCCTCCTCTTCCTCCCTCTCCTCCTCCTTCCATCACTATCTCACTCCGCAAACGTCCTCCTCCTATGTGGAGTACACGGCTCACGACTCCTCGTCACAACAGAAGTGGCGGTAAAACTAGCAGAGTTCGGTCACAACGTCACCTTGTTCACTCCCATGAACGATAAGAGACTATCATCTGGAAACTGGAAGTTTACTTTTGTATCTGTTGAGGACAGTAGATCTCAGAAGATAAAGGACAATACGGAGGAATTGTTAGAGGGTGTGTTAGATCTGCCGTCTCCTGATATGGCTATAAACATGTTGGTTGGGACTGATAAAGCGTGGGAAAACATGGTGAACTACACTGAGTTTGCTGCTGAACATTTTGAGGGAGAAAAGTTTGCAGAGTTGTTGAGGGATGGCCAGTTTGATTTGATAGTGGTGGAAGATTTGGCTGCGATTCCTGCTTTAAAAGTTCTCGTTCGATTGGATACTCCTATCATAGGGATAATGTCGGTAGCAGATACGAAGTAAATATTGATTCAAACGGAGTTTTAAAACTTTTATTAAGCAAATTTCGTTAGTTATTATACTTAGAAAGTTATACACTTGAATCTATTTATTTCATAGATCGTTTTTTGTGAAAAATAATCCCATTTATGTGAACTGACGTTGTAAAGTCAAGCCCAAAGTCAAATACCATTGCATTGTAATGTTTTTATTCAATAAAACAATTATCTAACAAAACATTCGTTTAAGTTAAATTGACGGTTTTCTGTCCAGGAACGTACGGGACAAGTACTCCTTGCCAGGATTAATGAACAGTGAGCCATCAATGTTAAACGAGATAACAGAAAATACTCCACCCTCCCTCTTTGAGCGAATCACAACTTTGTTCAGGTACTAGTTATTTGGTATTTTCATTATAATTACTAATACTTAAACTAATATCATAAGATTCCAATTTGACATAATTTACTTAGTAATATCTAAGGGATTAGAAATATCCCACATTTTAGCAATAACATACTCCAGCTTTCAGGTCGAATATTATCTCCCAACCCAACAATATTTTCAGACTTTTGAAAGTTGTCAAAGCGTACATACCCTTCCTAATAAATCAATTCAAAGACGACGTCAAAGAACTCGGTAAAGATTTCACCGAATACCAATCAATCTACGACATAGTGTTTATTTTAGACCACCCTGCCTACTCATTCCCATACCTCGCCCCTCCCAACACCTTCTACCTAGGAGTGTTCCACTTACAGAACCGCTTAATCCTCCCACTACATGCTGTTTACACGAACTTTCTGGAAAACTGTCCGCACACTCACATAGCATACATGTCTTTTGGAAGCTATCTAAAGGATCTTACTAAGTTTCCTAAAGCTGTGAGCATTATCCGGGCAGTAGCAGATATGGACCTGTGCGTGGTTATAAAGTCAGGGTCTGACATAGCAACAGAGTTTAACCTGTCCCAAAGTAAAGTGCTGAGCCAGTCCTGGGTGCCTCAGAAAGACTTGCTGGGAAGTGGTAAAGTGGACCTGTTCATCTCCCACTGTGGTAATAACGGCAGATTGGAAGGTTTGTTCTACAATGTTCCCCTGGTTTGTGTTCCATTATTTGCTGATCAACTACATAACGCAAGACTCGTTCAGAGGAACGGTTTTGGGAGATTTATTACGAAGGAGCAGCTTACCGAGGAGACTTTTAAAGGAGTTTTGGAGGAGTTGTTGGGTAATGTGGGTGTTTACAAGGAGAAGATAAAGAGAGCTACTGATATTGTGGTGAAGGACCCTGGCGCAGGAGACAGCGCGCTGAGGTTTTACACTGATCTGTTGATCAGTGACAGGAGTCAGGCTGGGTTTCTTATAAATAAGATTATCATGAAACAGTCCTCGTTTGAAGTTAACAACTTGGACATCATTATGGTTGTATGCTTCGCAATTTTGGGTTTTGTTTTTTGGATTTTGGTTTATACGTGTAGAATTTTGAAGTTTTGTTGCAGAAAAATTTCAAAAGTGGGTAAGTTCAAAACCGAATGAAATTTTATTAAAAATAAGATGTATTTATAATATGTATTCTGTTGAATTTAAACTGTAATCTTAGTCTTTGGTTTTAGATTTTTAAAGAATTTTCGATCTTATAATTTTATTCATGAATTCCCTTGGAATGTTTGTTTTTTACCGAATTAAATAACATTTCAGAATTATTCCGTTGTTTTTCTTAAGTTTCTTGAGTTCTTGAGTGACAAAATGGAATTGATCATTGTAAGTAAACTGTTTAAATAATAGGTAGATTTGCACATGTTGTCTTAAATATTGCAGTATTATTGTTGTACATGTTGTACATGAATTGTATATTTTATCAAATTCCGAGTTTTACATTCAGATTCGGAATAAAGCTTAACACGAAGACTCAATATTGAGGATTGTAGCAGGTAGCTACTACAATACCAACATAATAATATTGTTGGTACCGTAAAACTTCTTTATACCGTGTCTCTTTATACCGTGTCTCTTTATACCTTGTCTCTTTATACCTTGTCTCTTCATACCTTGCCTCTTTATACCGTGTCTCTTTATACCGTGTCTCTTTATACCGTGTCTCTTTATACCTTGTCTCTTTATACCGTGTCTCTTTATACCGTGTCTCATTATACCGTGTCTCTTTATACCTTGTCTCTTTATACCTTGTCTCTTTATACCGTGTCTCTTTATACCGTGCCTCTTTATACCGTGTCTCTTTATACCTTGTCTCTTTATACCGTGTCTCTTTATACCGTGTCTCTTTATACCGGGTACCTCGATATACCGAGCCTCTTCTTGTATTCAGTATTGTGCAAGAAATTTATAATTTCGCATTCGGTGACGATTTGAGTACATATCCAGCTGTATTCCATCGCGATACGTACATATATAAGGCCGTTATGGGATATTATATATTAAATATGATATGCTGTACAGTGTACAGGTTATTTGAGAGACTAGAAATATTGAGGATTGGGATCAGGTGAACTGAGCTTTACATCGGGTTTTTTCTATACTGTGCACTTTTTGATTTCCCCTAAAGGCAGGGTATACAGAGGTTTTTTAATGTCATCGATTGTTCAAGAACTTTGTCATGGACTAATTATAGATTCGGTTCTTCTCATTCAGCATCTTTTAGCTAATTTTATTGGCATATTTTGTTTAGGCATCTTGAAACCAAACTCAACTTTGATTTTATGCTAGATCTGTTTTTCTGATCAGCGTTCATTTATTAGATTTTGCTGAATTGAACCAGTTGATTTTGAGCTTTATTAGAATTATGCAGGGAAGTTTATTATGCCTGAACGGGAAACAAAATTATAGACTGCTACTGATAAAGTCACGAAAGGAGAATCTGAAAACAGAAGGATAATCAACCAGTTATATTTGTGCACAATGTTTTATGGAGACGAGGTGAAGAAGGGAGACTTCTTCGATCTTTTAACTCAGGTAAAAAAGGAGATCAAAACTGAGGAGGAGGAGGAAATAGAAGGGAAATCAGCTGGTTTTATTTGTCCGCACTGTCAAGCCCATTTCCTTTACGATAATTTCTTTATTGAACATATCGAGGAACACCATAGAGTTACAGATGTGATTGGTGATCAGTATGATTCAAACTTAAAAGAACCATTGAGTTCAGCCACTCCATCAAAAACAACTAAAAGCTCAAATAAAAGTGGTTTTAATCACCATCAGCAGATCCAATCAGGAGAAAAACCCTACAAATGTGGGAAGTGTTCGTATGCTTGCTCAAAAAAGAGTAATCTTGTAACACATCAACGCACTCATAATGGAGAGAAACCCTATAAATGTGGGAAGTGTTCGTATGCTTGCTCAAAAAAGAATAATCTTGTAAAACATCAACGCACTCATAATGGAGAGAAACCCTATAAATGTGGGAAGTGTTCGTATGCTTGCTCCCAAAAAATTAATCTTCTAACACATCAACGCACTCATAATGGAGAGAAACCCTACAAATGTGGGATGTGTTCCTATGCTTCATCCCAAAAGAATAATCTTGTAACACATCAACGCACTCACAATGGAGAAAAACCTTACAAATGTGGGAAGTGTTCGTATGCTTGCTCAAAAAAGAGTAATCTTGTAACACATCAACGCACTCATAATGGAGAGAAACCATATAAATGTGGGATGTGTTCGTATGCTTGCTCCCAAAAAATTAGTCTTGTAACACATCAACACACTCATAATGGAGAGAAACCCTACAAATGTGGGAAGTGTTCGTATGCTTGCTCCCAAAAAAGTAGTCTTGTAACACATCAACACACTCATAATGGAGAAAAACCCTACAAATGCGGGAAGTGTTTATATGCTTCCTCTGATAAGAGTAATCTAAAAAGACATCAACGCAGTCACATCATATGAGGAAAAACCTACAAATGTGGGAATTTTTTGCATGCATCTTTTGTTAACGGTTCTATAGTAAAACTACAACTTATTCATACTGGAAAGAAACACTGTAAATGCAAGGAATTTAAATGGACTAAATTTAAAATATGCCCCCCCCCCCCCCCCCCCGGCCCCGACCAATAAGATATTATAATTATAAGATTAATTGTAAATTCCATTTGATAAGGAAATAATAAAAAAAAAACGATTTCAATCCGTAAAACAAATTTATTATTTCAATGAAAATGTCTGTTAATTAATCCTATTTTATTATCTTGTACTTGTTTTATACTTGCAGCATTATATAATGATAACTTGTAGTTATTTTATTGATTTTGCGCAGTCATATCAAATGAAAGCACCTGTTAATGATGATCAAAAGTAGATTCGAATCACAAAGTACATTTAATATTTCGAAGTTTTATTTCTTTTAATCGTGCTGACCTCTTTCACCTAGCCCATATTAATTTAAAATAAGCAGGAAAGTTGATCATGCCCAAGCCGAAGACAAGATCTTCTACTGCTACAGATGAGCTGTTGAAGAAGGAAGACTCCGATCTTTTAACACAGATAAAAAAGGAGATCAAAACTGAGGAGGAGGAGGAAATAGAAGGGAAATCAGCTGGTTTTATTTGTCCGCACTGTCAAGCTCATTTCCTTTACGAAAAGTTCTTTATTGAACATATTGAGGAACACCATAGAGATACAGATGTGACTGGTGATCAGTATGATTCAAACTCAAAAGAACCATTGAGATCAGCCACTCCATCAAAAACAACTAAAAGCTCAAATAAAAGTGGTTTTAATCACCATCAGCAGATCCAATCAGGAGAAAAACCCTACAAATGTGGGAAGTGTTCGTATGCTTGCTCCCTAAAAATTAATCTTGTAACACATCAACACACTCATAATGGAAAGAAACCCTACAAATGTGGGAAGTTTTCCTATGCTTGCTCCCAAAAAAGTAGTCTTGTAACACATCAACGCACTCATAATGGAAAGAACCCCTACAAATGTGGGAAGTGTTCGTATGCTTCCTCTGATAAGAGTAATCTTGTAAAACATCAACGCACTCATAATGGAGAGAAACCCTACAAATGTGGGATGTGTTCGTATGCTGGCTCCCAAAAAATTAGTCTTGTAACACATCAACGCACTCATAATGGAGAGAAACCCTACAAATGTGGGAAGTGTTCCTATGCTTCGTCCCAAAAGAGTAATCTTGTAACACATCAACGCACTCATAATGGAGAAAAACCCTACAAATGTGGGAAGTGTTCCTATGCTGGCTCCCAAAAAATTAGTCTTGTAACACATCAACGCACTCATAATGGAGAGAAACCCTACAAATGTGGGAAGTGTTCGTATGCTGGCTCCCAAAAAATTAGTCTTGTAACACATCAACGCACTCATAATGGAGAGAAACCCTACAAATGTGGGAAGTGTTCGTATGCTGGCTCCCAAAAAATTAGTCTTGTAACACATCAACGCACTCATAATGGAGAGAAACCCTACAAATGTGGGAAATGTTCGTATGCTTCCTCTGATAAGAGTAATCTAAAAAGACATCAACGCAGTCACATTATATGAGGAAAAACGTACAAATGTGGGAATTTTCCGCATGCATCTAGTTTTTTGTTAACGCTTGTATAGTGAAACTACAACTGATTCATAATGGAAAGAAACGCTGTTAATGCATGGAATGTAACTGATGTATTTTAAGATATAATTAGTTCCATTTGATAAGGATATTATGTTTAAAATCAATATCAATCTGTAATTAATTCATTATTTTCTGGGGTTGGCATGTCCAGTTTATACTAGTAGCCGTCAGCGAATTTTGAATGACTTGATAGATCTACTGAAAATGGTTATAATATTTTTTCAAAGAAAACATGTTTGCAGCCCCTTTAAAAAAATTGTCCATTGAACTGTGTTAATAGCTGAGGACTTTCAATCCACAATCAATACCTCAATATAGTTTCTGAGATTGATATCACACACTCAATATAGTTTCTGAGATTGATAGCACCCACTCAATATAGTTTCTGAGATTGATAGCAAACACTCAATATAGTTTCTGAGATTGATAGCACACACTCAATATAGTTTCTGAGATTGATAGCACACACTCAATATAGTTTCTGAGATTGATAGCACACACTCAATATAGTTTCTGAGATTGATAGCAAACACTCAATATAGTTTCTGAGATTGATAGCACCCACTCAATATAGTTTCTGAGATTGATAGCACAGATTATATTAAGGTACACACTTTCTGTTCCATGCTAGGTCACGCATGTCGAAGCTTATTATGAATAATAAAATGTATTTATGTAATAATTTACCTAACTAGCTACCTCTCTTAGCAGGCAATATGGTTGAGCAAACAGGAGTAGCCGTATCAGACCACGAGATACATATCAAGTATGAAGATCAAGAGAAGATCAACCAATTTGCCAGATACAACAACAAGTTACTCGAAATCAAGGTACTGAAGCTATAACAGAATCGTATTAAATATATAAATATATATATATTATATGTATATTATATATTATAGGCAATTAAGATACTGCACCGAATGATATCATTACTTCACAGATAATTATAATTAGCATGATCCACATTCCACAATGGTAAATTTAACCATGGTAATTATCACCATGGTAATTATAACCATCATACATGTTACAGGACGACTTAACTGCCAAGAGCAAACAGCTGCAGAACCTGACAGACGCAGCTCAGGACGTCGAGGAACTAGAACTATCTGAAGATTCTTTCCCCTTCCAGCTAGGTATCGTCTAATTTACAGTGATAATATCAATTGTGGTTTTGATATTTTCGTTTTTCACGTGTTATTTATATTAAAATTATGTACTATTAAAGTTAGAAGCCTGTGATAAAGACAAATTGGCATTAGTTACACAAGATCATACATAATTAACATAATTAGCATAATTAACGTGATTACAGTATCTATCGAGTATCGGTGCGATGTGGAATGTGGATACTGGTTGGGAGGTCAGGCATATGTTTTGGCACGTGACAGTTATTTTGGATTTATATTGGTCAATATAGTGGAAGCTTATTAGTTAGTTGCTGTCAAGTGTCAAAAAAATGTGCTTCACCTCCCCACTAAAATCTACATACTTAAAGATTTCAGCTGCTCTAAGAGTTTACATTTTAGAGCCACTAAACAGTAAACATGATATCTTACTCATTTTTTCAAATTTAAAAATTCCCTCCAAGTTTGATTGTGGTAAACCTATCTCCTCCCAATATCCAACTATTTTATCTGTATAACCCCAACCAGACCACATCCATTTTCATCTCCCCTCATATTGAGGTTAAAATAATGTTTTGGCTTCATCTTATCAGATCTCACGAGCATCTTATGTTGGTCCGAGTGTTGGCCCTCTACTACCAACTCCACATCTTGATAAAACGAGATAATATCTTCTCCAGCCGTATCTACATCAACTACCACTAAACCTGGTATATCGTCATCACAATCATCTGGCTCGTTCCCAAAGTTGCCTAACCAGATAACGTTACCATGACAACTCAATATATCGTGCGCATGACTAATGGTGCGTCCTTTACTAGATGTCACATGTTTAGAGTTAGCTACTACTAAAGGTATTCCGCTAATAACAGTTTGGTAAGCTAGAAGGCAGCCTCCTATCTGGGTATCCATAAAGGGATATTCTACAAACTCTCCCGGCCATCTTGCCAGGGTTAGGACTCCGTTGTGGGTGCGAGACTCAAAGTCTATGTAGTCAAGGTTACTGTTGCTTAGGTAGTAGTGTTCACGGATTGTTTCGCTGTTTTTCAGCCACGTACGGAAGTCGTGTTGGACGTTTTGGAAGCAGCAAAAGTCCGGCAGTGTCCTTTGAATGACAGTCAGGATATTTTTGTAGAAATCTGTTTTGTTCTTCTCGCTGCACGCTATATTCCAGTTTAATACTGTTACATTCTGAAGGAGATCTGTGTCATTGTTGTTACAGTTCAGATCGTCTATTTGTAACAAGATCTCGTTTTCTGTAAGCGTTCTCCATTTTGAGCTTGTGTAAATTTTGGTCTGGACTGGCGTGAATTTATATTGAGCAGTTTCCATGGTAAGGAGGAGGGCACATTTGGATCCAGCTCTAAAAACATTTCCTTGTGTTTCGAAACTCTCGAGGATTGGGGGCATCTTGTGTTTGTTTGTGAAATTGCTGGATATTTTAGTGATATACCCCTCAAATGTTGTGTTTGGAATCCTCTGAGTTGCTATTTCCATAACCATGACGTCGTCCAGATCTAAACAAAAACAAAACCAAGATAACAGCTGCAAATGCGATGTTGTTTGTTGATTCGAACAACACGTAGGAGTTATCTTAGTGGGCTTAAATACTTTTAAGATAAATATTATTTGCTGCCTGCTAGAAGACATATCAATCTAGGAAAGGTTTATAAATTAAAACCGTAACTAAAATCTTGGACAAAAATTTATTTACTCAAGCTGGATATAATAAAACAATTCTTCTGTAGGAAAATCTCAGGAAAAAGACAAATTTGTCTTTTATTTTGCTGTGTAAAATTATTGTGTTTCGAGTAAAGTAGTTACCAATATTTATCTATTTATTGAAGCATTATAACTAAATTATTTGAGTATGTAAGATATTTCCAAGATAAGATACCTACTAGGTATGTAACACAATTCTATTCGCCAGGAGAGGTATTTGTAGAAATGACAGCAGAACAAACCAACAACATGATAACAACCTACAAGGCCAAGATAGATAAAGATATGCAGGCACTCAAAGACAAATCAGCCGATATTGAGACCAATATGAAGGAACTGAAATCAGAGCTGTACGGTAAATTTGGTAGTGCTATTAACTTGGAGTACGACTAAATTACCGGGAAGTATTTGAGTTTTTGTATATAAATCTGGTATTTGTATTTGAATTCCGAGGTCTGGAATGTTGCTCAGAACATCCGAGCATTATTATTAGGTTTTATTGCCTAAATAGCGGAATAGATGCTCACTCATTTCTTCTTAATTTATGTACATTTGTTTATCTTTAGCAGTATTTGTATAACTTATCATTGTTTTATTGCCCCTGTAAAAATAAAATTGAAAATTGCCTTTGCGGTACTGTTTTTCAGTATTCTGAAAGTTCTGAATTGAATGTGCCATGACACGAACAATACACAATTAAACCTTTCAGACTGCTGTATCATAACTCACTAATAAATATCTTGTAATATAGGATGACATCAGTTGCTACTACCCCCACAGCAGCTCTCATTGATAGGGAACAAACTTGCCCCCTTCTTCTCAGAGTATTTGTTAACGAGGTTAGTTTTAATTATATTAATATTAATTATATTATTTAGTATTCAGTTGTTCTGTTGGATACTCGGATACGACATATCTGGGTAGTGGGTATGTTCGTGTATTGGAGCCAAGAGAATGCGCACTAAACTTTTTGAAAATGGCCGTTGATCTTACGTTGATATTTTAGTAGACACTTTTATCTGTCCTAATGCTAATTTAGAAGTATTCTACAGCCATATCTCAGTGTGAGAATAACCCTAGTCATCATACACACTTTCTGAAAATTCAGTCTTCCTAGCCCGTATCTCACTCCCTGTTACCCCTCTGTTACCCTACATTACCCCCTGTTACCCCTGTTACACTCTCTTTCCCCTCTGTTACCCCCTGTTCCCCTCTTTCTCCCTGTTTCCCTTCTGTTACAGTTTTACCCTACCCCGCCTGTTGCAGGGTCAACACCACCTACCAGACGCGTACCACAGAGGGAGGGTCCCTGCTACAGAACTACAGATATACACTTGGAAGGATGCCTGCTTGAAGGAACTAACTAACCTTATTAAAGATGTTCACCCTCAAGCTAGTTCCAAAGGTAACTACCATAGTTAGATACGTTATATAAGCTCCTATAATCGAAATTAAAGGTGATCTTTGTGTAAATAGCAGCGTTTACACACCAGGTGCATCATCCTTTCTCTATTTATTTCTTCTACGAGTATAAAGTGACTAACTCCCAAACTCTTGAACCCAGGCACAATGTTCAACTTTGCGCTAGTATTCCCTGATAAACGAGGAAATTACCACTTTAAAGAAGTGGGAACCACTTCAGTGGCCCACACTGGACCTGATGATAGGGTCACATTATCAACTGTTAGGTTAGCATATTCAGTTGTCACAATTTTACTAATTACATCAACTTAATGAACTGATTCAAAAGGTCACAGAGTCGGTCCCTGTGGCTCAATCATATTCTCCTTGCTTCAATAACTGTCCCTGACTCCTAAAAGATAATCTAAAATCACTGTACCTTTCAGATTAGAGATAGGAGACTACATGGATGTGGCAATCAGATCACCCCCTGAAGACCGAGGCCCACCAAGAGATCGTAGACAGCCACTGAGAAGGAGTGGGGAGGGAAGGGGTTTTAGATCACGGCCATATTAGAGTTTAGATAACTTAATAAACATTTTGCTATTCTGGTTACTGTGATGAAATTGATTGCGTATGAAGACTGGTTCAAGCTTATCTTTTAAATCTATGATTTGTTTACCCTGATGGTTGATTTGAGTCCTACGACAATATTTTTAGAGTATAACGGTTGATGCTTTTCGGGCGGTTACTGATAAAATATTTGGTTGGTGGCGGCGGCGATAAGTTTGCGCTATTGAAATTTCACTTTTTTATCAAGGAAACGTACGAACCTCTTGGCGCGCATAGCAGATTTAACGAGCGAGAGCACTGCACATTTTAATACCACGATTTACTATAATTTTATTTTCCAGTATTATTTCGTGGCATTTAATATGATATTTATAAACAGCTGAGTACCATTTATTGACAAATTAATTGTTCAACTTATCTAATGTTTTACTTTTAAATCGTGTCCATGATCATTGATCAGTCAATTTGACTTGACCGAGGTCCGAGCTAATAGCTATAAGGGCTAGCTCGTATTGTCATTATCAGGAATGACGAAACGAGCGTGCTAGTTGAAACCTGTTTGGATCGATGTATTTTCGGACGCTGATCCCGAATAACCCCCCATGACATAGGGTTAAAATGCTCCCCCGGCGAGATATTGGCGTGATATGACCTTATAAGGAAGTTGGTCTAACTTTTTGTTAGGGTTCAGGGTTTCAGCATATGCTTTTGTTAGGGTTGGGATAAGATTAGAGGATTAGGGTTTCGAATGATCATTCAGGGCCACATAGAGAACGGGTTAAATTGCATGTGACAGTCGAGTGTAGAGTGATTAATCATCATCCATGACGAAAGCATATGGCACCCCATTGTATACTGAAATACCAATCAACAGTTTCCCCGTATACTGCTGCTTACATCGAATTAATTGGTATTTGAAGTATGATTTTTATTACTGGATAAAAATTTCATATTTCTACAAGATTTGATTTCATTTATTTATGTAAAAGTATTTTTTAGTTTACTAACAAATTTAACTGGAAAAATAAAACTCCTTTGTGAAGAACCAGTTACAGTAACAATATCGCTTGTATACGGAAAATCATTTCAGTTAAGAAAATATAAAATTCAATCCAAATTCCCGACGATTTTACTAGCTATTGCCTATTACAGGAATTGTTCTATGACAAGAGCTTATTATTAACAAGTTTTTGGATCTATGGATACCGACAGCAGCAGAATCTATGGTAAAAAGAAACACCCTCTTTTAAACTTCCCTGGATAGCCACTTCCGCGTACCCGAAGGTGTATTTTGTCTCGCCACATTGGTCTTCACAGGATACCGTGTCCTCTTTGGGTAGGAAATAGGTGACTCGAGGACTATCAGAGATTTTCCAAAATGCATCCAAACACGCTGCTGCAGCTGCGTTGTCCAGATCGAGCTGCGCCATTTCCTCCTTCTCCTCTAGTGAGCATCCTCCGACCGAAGTCATCAGCATCAGCAACATCATCACCAAGGTTAACATCTTGTACATCTTTGATAGAAAGGGTGAAATTAGGTAACGATTATCGCGATCGTTTGTTTGAGCGAATCATAGGTTGATATTAGTAAAATTAAATAAGAATAACGGAAATTATCATTATTATAAGTAATAGTATAACGGAAAGTTGACAAGCCAACTACAACCGCTGTGGGCGGTTGGGGTCCAGGAGTCAGGACCCCACAAAAGTTTGGTCTCATGTTATATAGTTTGTTGGTAAACTAGCTATCTCTAAAACAAGTTTCAATAAAATTCAGGCTTAAATTGATTTAAGCCGGTTGGATCCCCCTCCCCCAATTCCATGCTTTACTAAAACAAAGAATTGGTCTGCGGACTGGGTCGGGGCTCTGACTTCTTGGATACTGCCAAAAATTAATTTTGGATGTCAAATACATGTACTTAGATACTCCATTTTATATCCTTCTATCAGTTACGTCACAACTCACAAGAACTGCTGCTTATTCTTAAAAAGGTCAATTCATGATAACGTGGTAGAAATGTTGCTTCTGGTAGCTAAATAATCAATTAAAAAGTTGCCAGATGGGACCAGGGGATCATTCTCAGGACTGAGAATTGTATAATTTGATAAATTCTCATGAGATGGAACTACTCAACAATATAGTTTAGTTGCCAGCTGGGACCAGGGGTCAGGGGATCATTCTCATGAACTGACAATTGTGAAATTTAATTAATTTTCATGAGATAGAACTACTCAACAAAAAAGTTAGACTCAGAGTTTTGAAGTTCTGACTCTGCCGAGGAACAAAATGAACTTTGTAAAAGTAATGAGGGAAATGCGGGGATTCGTAATATGAGAAGCATGAGAACTTTTGATGATTTTTGAAAAAAACTAACAAAAATTAACTTTTGTATAATTTGTTTAAGATCGATTTTGGTGCTTGTTAGACTTAGCATACCATGGTTAACAAAATTAAATCAAATATTTTCCGACTCATTTAGGGAACAGGAGTCGTTCGCATATTAGTATTAATATTACTATTAGTATTACGTAATCACATTTTGACCACTTTTAAAACCCCTCCCCTCTGTAAACAAAAGCTAAACATGGTTTTACACATAGCTTAAGCTAGTGTGTGTAGGGTTAGCTTTAAACTCCGGCTTTCCGCGTTGTATCGAACATCGAAGATGAAGATGGTGTCGGAAGTGTAAGCTGTGTAAAGAAAAATTGGGTAGAATCGTTTAAAAATACCATATAAAACAAAAATTGAAGATTTAGTACAAAGTACACTTACAGACTAGACCAAAAGAACAGAATTGAGACTGAGATTAATTTCTAATTTCTAATTAAGAGGGAAGGGAAAAGAAAAGTGGTTCTGTTACCGTTCAGCAACAATTTATTGCCAAATCAATTGTTCAACTTATCCAGTGTTTTACTTTTAAATTGTTCCATTAGGAAGTTCGGTATTCTAGATGACCATAACATTATTAAAAAACTCCCCTGATATCTTTTTATTTTATTGAAACACGGGTACTAACTCTGCTAAACTGAAAAAATTCTGAAACTTAGGTGAATAAGTGTACAACGTGCTAAACCGAAGTTCAGACTGACCAGTGAAAATGGGCGAGCGTACCAAGTGTCATTTTAATTGGATGTTTTAGTCAGTAATTTATTATTGAAGCTTGTAATTACAATAACTAATGCTCCTGTAAATACTTAAATTAATTGTTTGTTCCGTTATCCTTTTTCCTTCCTCTTTTCCTTGTCATCCCCTTTAGTTTTAAGATTCTTGCTATAAATGGCTACAGCTAACACTATTAATGCTAAGTACCAAACAACAAGTGGGAGGTGGATCGTTGGTATACCGTTAAATCGATTTAACACCGCAATTCCAGTCGCAAGCCTGGGACCACTACTAGCATTGTCACAACATCTACAAAGCTGCCATATAGCCTGACTGACAATTTTCTCGACTGACTGACAATGTTTCTTCTTTTCCCCATTTAGAATACAAAGATCAGTACATTTTAGCTTATGATTAATAATATATTTTTACCTATAGTTTACCTAGATTACTTTGACTAGTTAGAGCTTGCTCGCATTCCAAATTAATTGGTCATTCAGTGTGATTTTTCAAATTTTTCAAACAAATTTAACTTGAAAAATATAAACTTCTTTTTGAAGAATCAATTGTAACAATATCTTTAGCAAATGGGTCACGAAATCCTCTCCGAACCTCCACGTGGTGTGGCCTGGTTGGCACTAACGGGTGGTGTGCTCTCTTGTTGAGTACAAAGGTTGGGACTTGCCAACTCAAAGTTCCCATAGGAACCAGGAAGTCAACACTAACAGCTACCAAGCACCAGGAAATTTCTCTTTCAGATATCAGGTTACAAGATAGTACACACACAAACGACGATACGTTAGACACAGATACATAGCTCTAAGAGCTATTAAATCACCAGGAAATTCTCTTTCAGCTTTCAGGTCCCATCGAAGTCACCCACCACAGAGCTAGGGATTCCAATTTGCTCATCCTGACTACAAGGACACACTGATAATGAGTAGTCTTGGCACTTCTCCCTCCAGTAACCACTTTTCAGGTCTTTTCAGTTAAGACAGCTAATGCGTTAGGGCTGACACACGCTAGACACAGGCTCGTGATAAGACAGTGTTAGGGATGTCAACTCTGACTACGAGGACACACTGATAGCGAGAATTCCTGGCACTTCTTCCTCCAGTAACCACTTTTCAGGGGACCGGGTTAGCTTTGCCACACTCTTCATTGAAATGTGACTGGACGCTCTACAATCATCTAGTAGCCAGCAGTGTTTGACTGACACCCCTACTGCAACTGGTTCTATTCAGTTCTACAGCGGAAGTTCACAACACTCGAAAACAGTTCATCTCGGACATCCTGCAGAGATGCTTTTTCACAGCCTGCCCCATTACACGGGGAACCCTTAGATCTACAGTACCCTGGTGGACAGTATAGCTCACTAAAGCATAGTGGACCTCTTTAGTTCTGAGACGCAAAGCTAACCGGACCAGGAATAAACATCAATGCGTTTAACGATTTACTCTAACTTTTGATTCATTTTTTAGCTCGACGATACATGGTATCATTTCAGGACAGATATTCCTTCTTCAGGTTCATTGAGGAAATCGTACCCGCTATTTGCGTTATACAATGGCAAGTATCTGGACTAATGATAACTTAGGATCTCAGATTCCCAGGCTGCATTTATAGCGCTTAACAGCACCAGTTTTAACTCCAGGTTCGTTCTGAACATCTCAGACCAACTCAACTCACTAGGTATTCTCATCGAGTAGAACTTCGTTCCAGGACATGAAGGAGTATACGGTAAAGAACTAGCGGACGAATTCGCAAGGGACGATCAATCCAACAACATCCCCATCGGACCAGAACCGTTCCTCCCAATTAGGCCACACTCAGTGACAAAGAAACATTCCACTTGAGATGTTCCTCCACAAATATAAATACAGGAACTTTAATTTTTCTGGAACTCACATCAGATGGCTTACATGGTCGCTTTCAGGATAGGTCACAGCCGCCCACTAGTTTATTTTCAGAACGTGGCAAACAACGTCAACTTCGAGACGCAAGCGGCAAGATTGTGAACACTTTTCAGGAGAAGCAGAAACATCCCAGCACCTCCTCTGCAAGTGCATCCAGATCATGACGTTCAGAATGAGGATAATTGGTAAACTCTACCTTAAAAACAGTAAACTTCAATCATATCTTCAAATTTGTGGAACAGTCGACAAGACTGGATAGGGAAAACCCTTTTGGGTAACCTCCTAGGATTCTTCACCAGGAACTTTCGCTAAATCCCATACTAGGAACTCAACCTAGGCCCATCTCCGCATAGAGACATATCTCCCAGGCTTTGACCTTGCTCGGAAGTCCCTTGTCTGCCCGCAGAAGTACTACAACGGAAGTGGGTTTGCTCTGAGACAGGTAGTGACAGCTTCAAGACTCCAGGGGTCTGTTGCATTGATATTTATTATTTTATGATTTCGTATATACTTTGGGAGTCCTGGCGTGCAGCTAGCAGGAGTTGCATTCTGTGGGCACGGTGAGAAGGCCTCCATCTTTTAGTAAGAGGCCAGAAACCGTTGACCAGAACAGAGAGAGAGAGAGATCTTTAGCAAATAAAAAAATATGAAATTGTTTTTTTGGTTTTACTGACAAATTTTACTGGAAAAATTTAAACTCTTTTTATTTATGAAGAACCAGTTTTAACATTATTGTTTGTAAATGAAAAATTACCTCAGTTTAAAAAATATGAAGGGCTATGCAAATTCTCGAAGATTTTACTGGTTAATACTAATAGGAATTGCTCTATCCTGTATCCAGTATCCAACTAAATTATAGTAAGATTAAGAGCTTATTAACAAGCATATTTTTTGGACCTATGGATAACGGCAGCAGCAGAATCTATAATAAACAGAATACGTCTCCTGTACATCCAAATTAAAAACCCCATCCTGATCAGCTTGTACCTCATCAAATCTGGGGTTCTGGTTCCCTGACGTGCTGCATCCATAATTGTAAAATTGTCCGACGTTCTCCGTGTAGATTGTTGCCTTCCCGAAACTTCCCTGGATAGCCACATCCGCGTCACAGGTACTGTATGTTGTCTCGCCACATTGGTTATCACAGGATTTTGTGTTCTGTTTGGGCAGGACCGCGTTGCCATGAGGACCACTGCCACCGGTCTCAGTGCTCCCCCGACACGCTGCTGCAGCTGCCACGTGCAGACTGTACCACGCCACTTCTTTCTTCATCTCCATCATCTCGGCTCGCAGCGATTCTACCTCCTGTTTAGCTTTTAGTTCACTCCTCACTGCTTCTCTGATGGATATCCGCATGATTTCCTCCGACTGAAGTCATCAGCATCACCAACATCACCATTCACCATCAAGGTTAACATCTTGTACATCTCTGATAGTAATATCAGGTTATGATTATTGTTTTTTAATTGAGGGAACCATAATTTGATCTCAGTAAAATAAGAATAACATAAATTATCATTGTTATAACGGAAATTATTAATACAAATAAATTGATAATTTTCCCAAACGAAAAAAGTGCAGGACACATTATTATCTAGGATTCTCACGGAGAGGTTGCATGATAAGTGAAGATAGGAGACGGAGTCGAGCGTGCTAAATCACTCTACACTCGATCACGTGACAGTAGCTCGCGAACAAACCAAGAAATTGATATTTAGAAGAGGACTCTGACAGAATCTGACAATATATCAGTCAGAACTTAGAACAAATATCGAAATTAATTATATTTCGAATTTTTCCTCTGACTGAAGTTAACGGTTGCGAGTGACTCAATTGCATTTGCAAACGAATTTATTAATGAATGGCGCCACGGTTATAACTTGTATGTATCGTCATTATTTTATAAGAAATTTTAATTATATTTGTGAGTAATATAATCTGCTGGATTCACTGAATCTCACTCTTTGACCTCTGTCCTTAATTAACAGGAAACTTAGCCCTCTTGATAAGCTAAACAAATTAAATTTTTATGGTAAAAGAGGGGGTGTTAAATCAATCATAATGGGTTTGTTAAAATCAAAAGTAGACTTTTGAGTCGTTCTGCTGTTAACCTTTCCGACTAGTTCATAGACATCAGGACTCATTGCTAATTACTGACCGGAAAACAAGGATGAGGATAATTAGGTTGGGTTTGAAAAATCCAAAAGTCGAATTTTCTGCTACTGCGACGACCATTAACATAATATATAATATGCACGTGTATAATTGTGTAACTATGAATATCAAACTGATGGGATTCACAGTGCACACAAAAACATTATAAGCTTCCCGCTTAAGCAAGATCGTGACTAAAACAGTAAAACAGTCCGCAATAGCGAATAGACAAAACTGAATTTAAACTATTTAGAACTAAAATTTGAAACTCCTTGTTATATTTTTATATATAGCTTGAAGTTGAGAATAATCACAATTTAAAATTGTCTCAATGTCGATTAAAATGCAACAAAACAATTAAAGGTAAGACGTTCATTACAATAGTTTATGAGTACTTAGTACAATTTGTAATGGGGTTCATGTTCTGAGTTGGGACCTTGAAGCTGTCCTGAGGGGTTTTCTGGAAATCACTGCAAGAATAGTACATCCAATTTGATCCGATTAACACCAGTGTTCAAGAAGTTGAAGCTACAACCCCTCATGTCAGATTACATACATTAGAATATCACATATGACTTGTACCATGGATATCAACGTGATCTGTTTTATTGCGATATAACATGGTTTATTACGGTTTTATTTGTTTAACTACAGTGATGATAAAGGTTTCAAAAATCAGTAAATCAAAAAAATGATCGAATTTGACTAGTTCTGCTCTCAAAACCACAATAAATTTCAGTTTAACCTACCATTTTACACTAAGTAAAACCTTGTACTTTTTATAAGCGTCTGATACTATTCAACTAAGGCTACTGTTAAATTGCTGAGGCGTTCGGACTACTGTAGAAAATGTGTGCAGTTATTTAACTCTGGCTAGTTTCGTCACGTACTTTCAACTTTAATATAAGATGAACAGAAAATAAAACAGAGAGAATTCTCTCTTTTAGTAATCCCTTTTGTATGTCTCCTATACAGACCCATAACGATCGTTACAAGGAGCTGCTCAGAGATAGCCCAACAACGTCGGGTACCATCACTAATCTAAAGTTCCTTTTATACCTCCACAGTTTCTAAAATAATTCCTTGGAGGTTTTCCCAGCTTGGATTGAACCAATCATGTTGCAGATAATGCCCAATTTATGATTAAGATGAAAATTCAGATTTAGTTTCGGGCGAAACAGACAAAATTCGGAGAATTGAGTCCGCAATAGCCAATCAACGATTAAAACGCGCACAGCAGTCGATGAGCCTTATAAAGTTCTCAGAATCTTTAATTGGTAGATTAGAGAGTAAGAATAGAAGACCACGTATATAATAGAGGGCATCACGTACAAAATCTGAGCCGTGACCGTAACAAGACAGCTTCAAGGAGCCGTCCTATCCAAGGGCAAGGATGAATGAATCTGCGTAATGTACAGACTTTTAATTTGGGAGAAATTGTTCGAGTATTCAGGGCTGAAACATGGACGGAGGCTTACCTACATTGGGGTAAATTCTTTTGCCAACTCAGCTCACGAGCCCATTATAAACTCAATCCTAGCATGTGCTGCAAGTGCAAGTTATGACGGTGACATCAACGAAAACTTCAGAAGTGAGTTTGGCGCAATAAAGTGACAGAATGTGGAAACTTTAGGCACCTGAAATTTTGATTTGTAATGGATTGTTAAGATTAAATAAAACAGTTATCGAGTTTCATAATGTTTGTTACAGGTTGAAATAAAAATTGAACGAGTAGCTTACCAAAAGCTAAAATCCCCCAAGTTCCCCTCACTGCGAGGCTGTTCGATTTTAATTTACAGGAGTGGACCCTACCAATTTGAACCTTGAGCGTGATCTGGGATCAAGTTGAACGTGATCAGGGTCTTCGTGCACTCAAAGAAGAGTTCTCGGAAACGCAATGCCCCTGAGGATAGCTACCTAATTGTGACTTAATTAGAAGCACATGTCCATGTCCACATCGCACCTGAGGTTTTGTAGTAACTACCTCCGCCCTCGACTTCGAGCTCCTTTTGTTTCAGCTGAGGTGGACTATTATTTTAAACAGCACTATAATAAACTTTTTATACCGTGACACTTGCACTCTCACCCGCCTGTGTACTAAATGCACTCCGATTTTGTTCCTTTGTGCTCTGGCCAACGAATTTTGATATGTTTTAGCTTTTTTTCGCCCCGTATATTTGTTTTGTAACTCGATAGTCGAGGTGGGATGGGTAACCCATCTTTACGATCTAGATACGAACTTTAGTTTTTAAACTAAGTTCTAGACATTCGCCATTCTGTAACTCACTCGACATCATTCTTCCTTTGCTATAAATTGATTTATATTCAGCTTTTTCTTTCCTTATTTTTGTACGATTTTCAGATTTACGAGAACACCTTTTCTGCAGAAAACCTCTACCCTCAGAATTCGACTGCCCAGTTCACCATGAAGCTAACGAGTGGAATACCACCAGTGACGTCTACTCTATTTTAGATATAATATAATACAAAAACTTACCCTGGCAGATATAGATTACTCATTAATTTCCACAAGAAGACTGTCGATTGAATTATCTTTTGTATTTCTATTAAAAGTTGTCTTTGCAGTGTCTTTCTAAGTTTTTAAACAACAACTCTTAAATTAGTTTAATGCGTTTCAGACGTACTCATAACGTGAAAAATAAGTTTAATAGTAATACTGTAATATTATTTAAAACAATATTTGGGAACATGCAAACAGGGAGAAGCAAAATCACTAATATTTCTTCTACATTTCACTGTATTTTGGCAGTATTTTATGTAATTTCTAAAGAGTTTTTATACAGATAAAAATGTATCTTATCTAGATAAACAGATAAGTACATTTATTAACAAATCGTCGGTTACGATTATTAGAGTGGATAGCCTATAATTTATATCGTGTTTTGTTATAATTTATTAGATTTAATTGATGATTTGATTAAACTTCGATGGGTTGTATAATCATTATGATAATGATTATGACTTATGTTAATTGACGAGTTTTGTTTGCTTTTAGGTTAGATATCATGGTCATGGTCGCATTCATTATTTTTTGAATGATTGAAATATCTGTTGTATAAAAAACAGATGTTGATTTAAGATATCGTACAATTAGTACATGCTTTACAAATACAATGAAGAGTACCGGTACTCGGTACTAGTACGTAGTCTCCAATTTAAGATATGTCGTGACCAGCGTGCTGGTGCAGACTGTTATTTAGCAAACAATGCCAAGTGAAATACTGCTAATCCTTTCATTATATTCTTTAAACAATTTCATGAAGAAATGCTTCCATGAATTGTCGTTATCTCTTTTTTTAAATATCGAAAGTAGTCGCGTAGAGAAAAATGCATACATTTTATTTTACATTGTCAGTATACTGGAGAATTTTCAAAATGTCAGTGCACAGTGGCAAGTACGTCTTTGCTAGTAGTAGTACGTACCTTTCCATTTACCGTACTATCGCGTACTTTAGACTGTACTTCTCAATTCTCATCATAGATGTTGATAGTAAACTTAGCAGTTTGCATAATCTTCAGATTATTTGAAGTTTATTTGAATTGTTTCAAAACTACTAGTACTACACATTAGTAAACATTTTTGATGTATTTATCTTACTAGAGACTTTTACTTCGTGTACCTTCTCAAAATGATATCACATTATCAGGGATAACTGATAAATATAATGACATATTGATGATCCTGCACAATATGCACATTCGATACATATTACTATTGCTATCCATAGCTCATTAAATTCTATAAAAATTTGATCCTTTTTTATTTGTTAATTTATCTGAAGAATTAAACGTCGACAGCTAATAGTAATTGTTGTAGAATGATATTTTCAGCCTAAAGTATCGAACGATTCTCCTGTTTGCGCACTGATTCTTCACTGATTCAACCTATTAGTATTACTATTAGTATTAAGGAACGTGAAATTATGTAAAATACAGTTTCTAACTTTAAAAGTGCCTGTATGCTGTAATATTAAGGGTATTTTGGTTTATTTTTGCTTAGTTATCATAAGTTCGTGATCATTAGTTTGTAGCCAAAATTCTTTTATTTGTCTTGCGCTTACTTCGATTTAACCTCCAAATGGCACAATCGTATCCAAGATTTGTTGAAATTTCCGTTCTTTTGCGAGTTGTGATATTTCCCATTCTCTTCAAAAGCATTGTCACATGTCCTTTGTGCATGCAGGCCATTGATATGCTTAAGTGATCATAATTATAGGATCTGCGAATGAGCTTAGTTTCGAGATTGTCATGTTTCATTAAAGGTTCATCACGCCCTAAAATAACCTACCCTCATATTTTAATATGTTGTTGTTAGTGACAAATAATTAAGATTAGTCAAAACCGGACCTTTCTAAATAGGGGAACTACGGGTCAAATGAACCTCTTTGACAAATGGTACACCAGTCATATCAAAGAGAGGGAAGGGCAGAATGATTTAATTTCTTATTTGATGATTGATAAAAATGATAACAATGCCTTGTAATGCCCGCTCAACATTCCAACGTAATCAAATTTTGTGATACTGCCACTCTCACTTTCATTTCATAATAATTAGGATGTGGATTACACTCACCACGTTCTTCTTGCCTCTCGTGTAGTCCTGTTTCGCTAAAATTTTTATCCTTCGTGTTTATGATGATTTTCTATTGCATTATTAGTCAATTTCATTAGTGTACTATTCACCATTTGTGAGGTACCTATTTCCTACCCCGATATATACAGAGGTCTAATAATTATAGATATAGCGGGATCTAATCATACTTGGTTAAAATAACACTACTCCTACAGCTATTATAAGGTGTCGTTTGTGTGTGTGTGTGCTCGTTTGTTTAGTGACATTTTTATTTAACATCCACAAGATAGTCTAGAGAAACGAATTTAACTATTTGTTTGTTTGCACTTATGATGTCATGTTTTAGGCTGAATTCAAGAAGTTACATGGACATATGTAGTAATAAGCAAGTGAGCCGAGTGGGTCGTTAATGACCCGAATTCTCTATTTTTAAAAAGTTAGAGTCACACAGTATTGACCATATATTTTTAACTTATGCTACAGTTTTTATTTTATCCTAACGTCTTTGTTTCAGAAGTTAAAGCCGAAAAACCGTGATGGGTCGTTTGCGATTCGGACGAGTGGGTCGTATGCGACCATAGCTGTATCTTTTAAAGAAAACGAGATACAGATTAGCTTTTTTGGATATCTCATTTTTGCTGTAAAGTGACCTAGTGTATTAAACGGCATCAAAATCGGCAAACTTTAAAACTTGTCGTCCCTAATGGGTTAAAATAACACTGCTCCTACAGCTATTATAAGGTGTCGTTTGTGTGTGTGTGTGCTCGTTTGTTTAGTGACATTTTTATTTAACATCCACAAGATAGTCTAGAGAAACGAATTTAACTATTTGTTTGTTTTAATTGATAATAAGATAATACAATGGTTAAATCATGCAATGGAGGCAATACATTAATATTATACAGACGTTCATATTTAGGACATTCTGGTGAGCTGTGTTGCTCAACTATTTTCCCTTCTCTCCATCGTTGATGTATCATTAAATCAATTATTCAAAATCAATGAAAATGTCTGATTGAAAATAATCCCAGCTGTGCACCATGTCGAGTGTTCTACTATTGGGAGATATCCTTGTTGACAGGAACTACATTGGAAAGTCGACCAATCTCACACCAGAAGCACCTGTACCGACTGTAAAGGTGGAAACAATAACGTCAACCCTAGGCGGTATTCCATGCCCCAGCCCCCTCCAATGCAAGCAAATCGATCCCAGCAATGTACCAGTCCCATGAAAATGAGAAAAAACGGTGTTACAATGCAAGGGTCCTGGAAGTAGAGAAAGGAAGCTTCACGCCGTTAGTTTTCTCAACGTCTGGTGGAATGGGTGGTGAAGCTGAAAGACTAGTAAAGAAGCTGGCTAGTAAGACTAAGATGGAATACCACACAGGGCAGAGGTACTCAGATGCTTTGGGATACATTAGGAAGCGCCTTCGTTTCGAAATCTTAAGAACGACGGTAATTTCTCTCCGGGGGGACAGAGGGGCGAGAAAGAACTTTGTCAATATAGACAGTTTAGATTTGAACTTGGAGCCGCAAGGCCAAGGGTGATTTTCAAAATATTGAATTTTTGAAGGGTTATTTTTATATAGGGTCATTGTGACATTATGTGTATACTGTCTGAAACAATTTATTTTTTTAAACCCTAGGCGGTATAGGAAATGTTGCCAGATCGCTGACGGACTTCTTCCAGAAAGTTCATTTCATTTCAAGTTTTCATGAGGCTGACGCGAAGATGGTCCAGGAACTATTCGGAGAAAAGGTTTGCTACACCAACTTCGAGCAAGAAGACCGCAGGATGGTCGTTATCAACAGAGTTATGGTTGGAAACCAGTTGATGTCAAGGTTCGATTATCCGTGCGACAGAAAGGAGTTGAGTGAGGAATATGAGAATGAGATTGTTAACCACATCAGAGTCAATCTACTGGATGAGTTGCAAGTTGTAATATTGTCTGATTACAATAGGGGGTTTCTTACTAGGGGCTTGTGTACCAGGGTAATACAAATGTGTAAGGAATCAGGGGTTACAGTTTTAGTTGATCCCATCTTACCTGATTGGACCAAGTTTGAAGGAGCAACTCTCATAAAGCCTAACCGGGAAGAAGCAAACAGATTCATCGAGTATGAGAAAATGAATTCTAATGAATTTGCCAAGACGACCTTGAAAAAACACGGATTTTCTTATATACTCAGCACATTAAAACAGTTGCTAGCGTCGAAACTGTTTTAACCCTGCCTTAGTCAGTTGAAAGTCTGATAGCATATGTTCCGTTTGATTTGACCAAACTAATGCCTTTCATTGCTTTATTAGACAAAGAGGGCATGGTCCTGTACTACAAAAACGAAGCCGAGGAAATATCTCAGATCAGGAGGGGGTGTGCTGAGAACCTGAAAATAGTGGATGTTAACGGGTGCGGTGATGCTTTAATCACGGCAACTGCAGTCTTCCTCCAGCAACATGGGTCACTCAAAAACCACAAACAGGACCTGGTAAACATATTGACACAAATTGGTAAAATAGCAGTGGGAACCTCCGGTTGCTACATCCTAAACTCTGTAGACTTTGAGAGGCTCCTCAAACCTCGGAGGGTTATATTTACAAACGGATGTTTTGACATGATCCATGTTGGTCACCTGAAGTTATTGAACTATTGTCGGGGATTAGGGGATCACCTTGTAATCGGAATAAACTCGGACAACAGTATCAAATTAAACAAAGGTGGAAGCAGACCGATAAACAATCTCGACTCTAGAATTAATTTCTTGAAAGAGCTGAACATAGCAGACGAGATTATACCATTTGAGATAAAACTCCAATTGAATTAATAAAAGCAATACGACCAGACGTTCTAGTAAAAGGAGGTGATTACACTATAGATGATATTGTGGGCAGAGAAATTTCTGGGAGTACAGTTCTTTTCCAACAGCACTCTCAACAGATTCTGTTGACTCGAAGACAACATCTTCGAAACAACTCCCTCGTTGTGGTAGCTGATAGACAGAAACACGAACAGAGGCATGTTGAAGATGATGTAGATAACGGTTACCACCAGTATTGTCAGTTTAGCGTGTAGCTTCAGGGACGTGATCACGTGATTGTTTTGAGTAACTGCCACTGATCTCCTGATCTGATAAGAGGAGATAACACAACTGCCACACACTGGGATTACCGGGATAAAGAGAAAGAGGGAGATAAGCTTGAAGTAGAGATCCATGTTAACCTCCTCGCCTACCCTCATGCTACAATACCCATAATTCTTGTTAAACGTGTAGTTTATATGAGGGTACCAAAGTGGAACTGAACAAATCCCAACCACCAAAACCAGCGCGTATCCTAGCGACAGGAGTGTCACAACACGTGGGGTTACCTCACACGTGGGTCTGAGGAGAGTGAGGGAGCGGGAAGTGGAGAGGACAGCCACCAGGAACATGGAAAGAAGTGTGGTGAGGTTGTTGAGGAAGGCCCAGGCGGAACAGAGGAAGGGGTAGTGGAATACCACATCTGATTTGTTGGTACAGTATGTTATCAGGACTAGCAATACCTGCAGGAAGAGAGGAAGAGTTAATTTAATCTATGAAACTGTAAGATTAAATTTATTTGTCGAATTTGTTGGGAATAGATTTGGAAACGGGAGAACTGAGATCCAGCTTGCCTGAAAACATGTCATCAGATCTACGGAGCTTATCACCCTGAATCAGTGGCGTAACGTTGTCTGTTGGCGCCCCCCTGCCGAAAAAAGCGCCCCCTTGTTGGCGCCCCCTCCCCTTTTGGTGCCCCTCCCTAAAATTGAACAAATTAGGTGATTTTAAAGAATACGCCGGAAAAATCTCTAAAAAAGTGTGTATCTAGAGCAAAACGCGCAGTTTTGCTAGTACTTTAGTTAAGTTTTCGAAATTGTCCCACATTCAAACGACGATTTGGCGCCCCCCTAAGACGGCGCCCCCCTGCACAGCGGGGTCAGCAGGGCCTTTCGTTACGCCACTGCCCTGAATATAACACTAGTGGTGGTAGCTGGGCGCTGGTTTAGGAAGAAGTGCAGCGAAAAAGCGTTGGCCAATCCCCCAAACAGCAGAATTCCGGACATGATTGCAGACAAAACACAATTGCTGAGAGATAGTGCTTTCGTTGATGACATCACGAGATTTTCCGGTGAACTCATGCGATTATCTTTCTCTTTTGCATACTGATAAAAGTATAGTTTTTATCAATTTGATGAAAACTGATAAAATTTAAAAGTAGAAACTCCAAAAATTGAACAGACCCCATGCGATCGCCTTACTAATAGTATATGGTGCGTCGCATTACAAATATTATAATATTTGAAATGCCACGCATTGCGTCAGGTCGGTAAGATTACTAGTACGACAACAATACAGTCAGTACTGAATGTTGATCAATGGAATCTACACTGATAATTACCGGGCAGCTGCATGTGATTGTTACAGTGACTACTGACTACAGATCATCAGCCGAACACCAACAACTCTATCACTATCAGACTGATAATCGCAGTGTCATGACTTAAGGTATCACGGATTTTGCAAGAAATTTACCTCCCAAACGTCACCCTTATAATATGATGGTGAGGTTGTTTTAGTTCTAACAAAAGTGGTGAAAATTTCGAGTTGCCCCAGCCCCAATGTTATAAAATGTGGAAATGGCAGTAATGAAGATGTAGGACAGATGTAGGATAGATGCCGTATAGAATATGTAGGATAGAAATTATGTGCATCTTTATTGGCATTCCCATAATATGGTCGGTAAAAAACTATCCAAACATAATAAATACATCATCAGAAACATTACTGTAAAATTAATAAGCATTCAAGTATAAAAACTGACAAAGATGGTCGTGATATTCTCGAAAGTTCTGTAACAGGTGTAAAAACGTTTGAAGTTTTATAAGTGGCTTTTAAATCGGTTAACTTCAGACTCAAGACTTGAAGTCATTTAGCAGCTGTGCTGTAGGAATCATCATGCGAGATGATGATTGATGCAGGTACCATTAGTTAATTGCGAGAATGTTCCTCATTCAAGTTTCAGAACTTAAACTTGAAGAAGAGTACGGCAGAAACAGGTGTTTATCATCGGTAACCATTTTCAAACTCACTGATAAATGGTATTTAGCTTATACCTGTCTTCTTAATAAGCATTAAGCATCAGTATTCGAAATACTCTCAAGATTGTAACGATTATACAATTAAATCACAGAAGAATCACTGACTGTTCTAAAAGGACTGATGGTGGGGGTATTCGGCACTTGAATTAAGACTGGAACAGCGAGAAACGATTACGGATGAGTTGTACAGGAGATAAAATACCCTCATAACTTGGAATGGAGTTTCGTGTATATTTGGAATTATGTTACCGTGAAATCGGAAATGATTAAAATCTTGTTAGGTAGTAAATAAATCTATTAACTATGCTCCTTTTCTGTTCAAACATCACATGTTAAAATAGAAATCTTGGTTGAATATGAGCAAAAATAAGTAAATTATTAATTATGTTTGGTCAGAGAGTCTTGGAGAGTTGGAGACGCTCCAATGCTCCTCTAGTAGTGATGTCTCTGAACTATAACTGTTATCCGTCTCGTATTGCACCACACTCTAATTTGCGTGATCCTAATCTTACACGACTCTAGTTAACATTCATTATGACCGATAACTTCTAACATCATATTAAGGACATAGTCCAATCTGAAGTGTACAATAATTCTGCCTCAATTCTCATATGTACGATCTTCATTGAAGTAGTCAGTAAAACAAGGACATGATACTATGTGTGGGGACTACGGACCCCATCAACGCTTCTTGAAGACGGAAGCGTTAGAAGACAAGGATAAGTTGATCAGGCTGCAGGGCCAGCTGCTTGTGCAGAAGGACAAAGAACTACAGTTGTTTAAGACGTCGGTTAAGGAGACAGTGCAAAGAACGGTGGAGTCAGGGATTAAGAGCTACAGTGCAGCTGTACAACAGAACAGTGCAAGTGGTACGGTCTGCAACAGTAACATCCTGAAGAAGGTGATGAAGAGTGTGGCTGCAGAGGAGGACAGGAGCAAGAAACTGATTGTGTTTGGGTTGAAAGAAGAAGAGGGAGAACAGCTTCCAGCGCTAGTAACCGCAGTTCTGGAGGAGATTTGGGAGAAACCTCACTTCGAAGCGACTAGAGTCGGCAGGAAGAGGCCAGGTAGTACGACTATCCGACCAGTAAAGATCACTGTCCCAAGCTCAACAGCGGTTCAACAGATTCTGATGAAAACAGGAAGACTGAGGCTAGTTGATACCCACAAAAATGTATGGATCTGTCCAGATAGATCTAGCGAAGAACGAGCAACGAGGAAACATCTGGTTACCGACCTGAAGAAGAAGAGGGCTGAACAGACTCATCTCGACCACTATATCCGGTACGGGAAAGTCTGTAGCCGTGATAAGAAACCACCATGAAGCAATTCATGTCTCTCGGACACTGATCAGTATTTGAATGAGTATTGTGTATCTTAATAGTTTTCGGACGTTATCTGTATTTGAGAGACAATTTTATAATTTATATACGAGCTATTTCTTGATTGTTTCACACATCATATTTCATAATTTGTTTCACACTTCATATTTCATAATTTGTTTCACACTTCATATTTCATAATTTTATTACTAGGTGGAGGTGACGTTATTGAGACTTTGGGCGGCCATAAACCTCGTGTTTTAAAAGTTGTTCTCTGTACTTGTTTCACTGACCCACGCTTTATAGCATTTATACATTTCGGCCCATTTTATATGTTTGTTAGATTTGCTGTACATTTGTATATTTGCTATTTTGTAAAAGTTTCAAATCAAATCATATGAGATGACGTGCTATAATCCAAATTGAAATAACGAGCTATTTAACGTTGCCAGCACCTGAAACTACTTTTGTTCATGTTTCATGCTACTCTGATCATTATCAACCATAATCATTTGGAAACCCCCTCCCCCTTCGGCTGATTGCGTAATATGTGAACGACCCTAATCCCAAACTTAACCCCTCAAGAACTAACCAGACTTATTTTCTAGTTACCAGACGGTAGGCTGACTTATTGTTAGTTATTGTTAGTTATTCAATTCTAAGATCATTAGCTTACACTACCCTATGGAAACAATAAGTTACACTAACACCGTCATGTCTTCCTAGAAATATTTCCTTTAACCTCATGAGCTGTTGTCCAAATTTCATGATTCGATGTCACTTAACAAATTAACCCCCAACTAACCTTATGAGCTGATTATTATTTTATTTCCTCATCTTTGCCTTTGTTCATCTTCACGTACAATTTCTTAAGTGGGGTAAGTCATCGTCATGCGAATGTTTGCAGTTTTCCAGATATTGATTGGGGTATCTCTAATTGGTCAAATTTATGTCTAGTGGTCAAGTTTTATATTTATAGTGGCCAAGTTTATGTCTATTGGTCAAGTTTATGTCTAGTGGTCAAGTTTTAGGGACATTTTTGGCTAACAATGTTACGTCAGCAGACGAGTGGGTAAAGAAATGCCAGTGAAAGTGGGTTCCTGAAAACCCATCGTATCGAGAATTACTCGGACCGAAAATACTCGGAAGTCGAATTTGTTTCAAAGTTTTTTCGGAAACTACATGTTTCATGCTACCCTGAATAATTATGAGCCTAATATATTTTGTTCGATTTTCTAAAGTTCGTACCTAGTAGTAGTACCTACCTCTCGATATACGATTTTTGGAAGTCCTGACACTACTTTTGATCATGTTTCATGCTACTCTGATAATTATCAACCATAATCATTTGGGAACCCCCTCCCCCTTCGGCTGATTGCGTAATATGTGAACGACCCTAATCCCAAACTTAACCCCTCAAGAACTAACCAGACTTATTTTCTAGTTACCAGATTTTTATTTATTCAATTCTAAGATCATTAGCTTACACTACTCTATGGAAACAATAGTGGATTTCTGGAAACCAATTTTTCCACGGTTCATGCTACCATGATCATTATGAGCCTAAAATATTTTGTTCGGTTTTCTGAAGTTCGTACCTATTAATAGTACCTACCTGATTGCGTAATATGTGAACAACCCTAATCCCGAACTTAACCCCTCAAGAACTTACCAGACTTATTTTCTAGTTACCAAACGGTAGGCTGACTCATGACTCATGAGTAGCATGTTCTTATTGTTATTTTACTCGATTCTAAGATCATTAGCCTACAACACCCTATGGAAACAATAAGTTACACTAACACCGTCTTGTCATCGTAGAAATATTTCCTTTACCCTCATGAGATGTTGTCCGTATTGAGTTCGCCATAAGGTTTGTTATAAAGTTATATTATAGATTAATTGATAATATATTTTTTTGAGAACAAAATAGTTGCGGGCAACAATTTCCTTGAGACAAATGAAAAGCCCGTGATAATCAAATGTTCACAAACAGAGCTAGACGCTGTTTACTAACTGCGGTCGCATACGACCCACTCGTCCGGGTCGCAAACGACCCATCACGGTTTTTCGGCTTTAACTTCTGAAACAAAGACGTTAGGATAAAATTAAAACTGTAGCATAAGTTAAAAACATATGATCAATACTGTGTGACTCTAACTTTTTAGAAATAAAGAATTTGGGTCATTAACGACCCACTCGGCTTACTTGCTTATTACTGCATATGTCCATGTAACTTCTTGAATTCAGACTAAAACATGACATCATAAGTGCAAACTCGCCTCTCAGCAAGTGATTATCATCATAAACTGCGAAAAATCGGTTAAATGGGTCATTAGCGACCCACTAGGACCACAAAATTGATAAATTAAATACAATGTTGTCAAACTTTTACAAATATTAGTTTAAAAACATGCTTTATCTTGGTCATTACTCCTGTACGTTGATTTAACTTCTTAAATCGACTAACTGGGTCATAAACGACCCACTCGGAAGTTGAACCACGTCATTAATTATCATGCTGTTCCACCATCAAGAAAGACACTCGTAGGTCTTAATTCCACACAAACCACGGTGGCTGACAACTAGCCCTCCTGAGATCCAGGGCCAACTGAAGGGCAGTCATCACTCATCAAAAAGCTGCGAGAATAACACGACTGCATATGCCTGGAGTTGCGTCCTGACTATGGTGCGTGAAAATCTGTACCGAAAGGACCGTGGCCGTGTCGCAAAAGAAAAGGAGATCGGCCCTCGTTCCTAACTTGCTAGGTAATAGCCATACTGTTGTTGTTGCTTATTAGGTTCTGTTACCTTTTTCGTCAATTTCGAATCTTGGTAAACGACCTGCTACAACTGCTTGAGACCCAGGGTCCCACGGTGATCAGATCATGTCACTCAAGAAAAATACCCTGAACGAAGTATACGAGATATCCTGTAACCTTGGGTAAATACTGAAAGAAGAGCGGTCAAATTGCATATTCTAATCCAACATGCCAATCTGTTTGACATTCCTAGAAAGTACGAGAATAACTAAACAACTGCTGCATTCAGATGGCTACATCTACAGCTCTGTGAAGAAGGACAAGGAAAAAGCACCCCCCCCCCCCATCTGGCTGGCGGTGCTGCAACCTGCAATCTCTCAGACAACTACTTCGTTTTGGGTAACAACCCCGCAACAACGAGGCAGCTTTCAAAACGAAACCAAGTATAACGTAATTGGCCGAGAGGGAGGGGGATTTCCAAATGATTACGCTAGTGTAATTTTAACATAATAGCTATGTGGTGCGGTGGGACGGGGGGTAAAAATTGTCCAATAAGTGATTACGTAATATTTGAACGGCCCCTAAGAAGTAAAGAAAGGAGGCTGCGAAATGAGTAGATGCAGCCATCTGAAATCTGAATCCAGCAGTTGTATAGTTCTTCTTGGACTTTTTAGGAATCGGGAAAAGATAGGCACGTTGTTTGTTGTCTCACGACATTACGGTCGTGTACTAACAGCTGATAAACTCACCTACCTATCAATCCAATTCTGCTCATTATTCGTCAGTGATTGGGTGACGTGATCTGCAGATCACCTTGAGACTCCAGATCTCAGGAGAGCTAGTGAGCTAGTGATCATCCACCCGTGGTTTGCGTGGAATTAAGACCTACAAGTGTCTTTCTTGATGGTGGAACAGCATGATACTGATAATTAATGACGTGGTTCAACTTCCGAGTGGGTCGTTATTGACCCAGTTGATCGATTTAAGAAGTTAAATCAACGTACAGGAGTAATGACCAAGATATAACATGTTTTTATACTAATATTAATTGTAAAAGTTTGACAACATTATATTTAATTAATCAATTTTGTGATCCTAGTGGGTCGCTAATGACCCATTTAACTGATTTTTCGCAGTTTATGATGATAATCACTTGCTGAGAGGCGAGTTTGCACTTATGATGTCATGTTTTAGGCTGAATTCAAGAAGTTACATGGACATATGTAGTAATAAGCAAGTGAGCCGAGTGGGTCGTTAATGACCCGAATTCTCTATTTTTAAAAAGTTAGAGTCACACAGTATTGACCATATGTTTTTAACTTATGCTACAGTTTTTATTTTATCCTAACGTCTTTGTTTCAGAAGTTAAAGCCGAAAAACCGTGATGGGTCGTTTGCGACCCGGACGAGTGGGTCGTATGCGACCATAGCTGTATCTTTTAAAGTAAACGAGATACAGATTAGCTTTTTTGGATATCTCATTTTTGCTGTAAAGTGACCTAGTGTATTAAACGGCATCAAAATCGGCAAACTAATGGGTTAAAATAACACTACTCCTACAGCTATTATAAGGTGTCGTTTGTGTGCGTGTGCTCGTTTGTTTAGTGACATTTTTATTTAACATCCACAGGATAGTCTAGAGAAACGAATTTAACTATTTGTTTGTTTTAATTGATAATAAGATAATACAATGGTTAAATCATGCAATGGAGGCAATACATTAATATTATACAGACGTTCATGTTAAGGACATTCTGGTGAGCTGTGTTGCTCAACTATTTTCCCTTTTCTCCATCGTTGATGTATCATTAAATCAATTATTCAAAATCAATGAAAATGTCTGATTGAAAATAATCCCAGCTGTGCACCATGTCGAGTGTTCTACTATTGGGAGATATCCTTGTTGACAGGAACTACATTGGAAAGTCGACCAATCTCACACCAGAAGCACCTGTACCGACTGTAAAGGTGGAAACAATAACGTCAACCCTAGGCGGTATAGGAAATGTTGCCAGATCGCTGACGGACTTCTTCCAGAAAGTACATTTTATTTCAAGTTTTCATGAGGCTGACGCGAAAATGGTCCAGGAACTATTTGGAGAAAAGGTTTGCTACACCAACTTCGAGCAAGAAGACCGCAGGATGGTCGTTATCAACAGAGTTATGGTTGGAAACCAGTTGATGTCAAGGTTCGATTATCCGTGCGACAGAAAGGAGTTGAGTGAGGAATATGAGAATGAGATTGTTAACCACATTAAAGTCAATTTACTGGATGAGTTGCAAGTTGTTATATTGTCTGATTACGATAGGGGGTTTCTTACTAGGGGCTTGTGTACCAGGGTAATACAAATGTGTAAGGAATCAGGGGTTACAGTTTTAGTTGATCCCATCTTACCTGATTGGACCAAGTTTGAAGGAGCAACTCTCATAAAGCCTAACCGGGAAGAAGCGAACAGATTCATCGAGTATGAGAAAATGAATTCTGATGAATTTGCCGAGACGACCTTGAAAAAACACGGATTTTCTTATATACTCAGCACATTAGACAAAGAGGGCATGGTCCTGTACTACAAAAACGAAGCCGAGGAAATATCTCAGATCAGGAGGGGGTGTGCAGAGAACCTGAAAATAGTGGATGTTAACGGGTGCGGTGATGCTTTAATCACGGCAACTGCAGTCTTCCTCCAACAACATGGGTCACTCAAAAACCACGAACAGGACCTGGTAAACATATTGACACAAGTTGGTAAAATAGCAGCGGGAACCTCCGGTTGCTACATCCTAAACTCTGTAGACTTTGAGAGGCTCCTCAAACCTCGGAGGGTTATATTTACAAACGGATGTTTTGACATTATCCATGTTGGTCACCTGAAGTTATTGAACTATTGTCGGGGATTAGGGGATCACCTCGTCATCGGAATAAACTCGGATAACAGTATCAAATTAAACAAAGGTGGAAGCAGACCGATAAACAATCTCGACTCTAGAATTAATTTCTTAAAAGAGCTGAACATAGCAGACGAGATTATACCATTTGAGGATAAAACTCCAATTGAATTAATAAAAGCAATACGACCAGACGTTCTAGTAAAAGGAGGTGATTACACTATAGATGATATTGTGGGCAGAGAAATATCTGGGAGTACAGTTCTTTTCCCTTTGGAGGTTGGAGTGAGTTCAACAGCCATCATCAAGAGGATAACCAGCATTTACCAAAACGATCTTCAAAATTAAAACTGTAAATACACTGTAAACGATGATTATCATACTGAACCATTATGAGTATAACTTTTTAACCATGTCTCATTCAGTGTCAGTCAATAACAAACTTTGCATTTTTCATAATTTGAATAAGTTCGCAAGTACTGATGTTATTTTCAATCAGCCACATTTCTTTGTTAACATGTTTGCTTTTATCACGTTTGTTATTTCAAGGGAAACATTTTAAAATAATGTATATTGTGCCTGCTCAAACTTGTCTATGCTCAAGCTTTGCAGGTGTGTCAATTCCAACAGAGGGGAAGTTGTCTTTAAAGTTTAATTATAATTGATAAGAAATTGACTGTAAAAATAAAACCTAAAGAGTTGAAGTAGTTTTGTGCTGTTAATACTTCTTTCATAAAAAATGCGTTTAGCTTTAACTTTAGTCAAATGATTTTATTTTATCGTCTATGAACAGATACTCCTCCTCAAAGCAGTTCTAAAATTATTCATAGTACAGAAATAAACCACCGGATTAACGGCTGCGTTGAGTCCAACACAAACAATATCCAACAGCACTCTCAACAGATTCTGTTGACTCGGAGACAACATCTTCGAAACAACTCCCTCGTTGTGGTAGCTGATAGACAGAAACACGAACAGAGGCATGTTGAAGATGATGTAGATAACGGTTACCACCAGTATTGTCAGTTTAGCATGTAGCTTCAGGGACGTGATCACGTGATTGTTTTGAGTAACTGCCACTGATCTCCTGATCTGATAAGAGGAGATAACACAACTGCCACACACTGGGATTACCGGGATGAAGAGAAAGAGGGAGATAAGCTTGAAGTAGAGATCCATGTTAACCTCCTCGCCTACCCTCATGCTACAATACCCATAATTCTTGTTAAACGTGTAGTTTATATGAGGGTACCAAAGTGGAACTGAACAAATCCCAACCACCAAAACCAGCGCGTATCCTAGCGACAGGAGTGTCACAACACGTGGGGTTACCTCACACGTGGGTCTGAGGAGAGTGAGGGAGCGGGAAGTGGAGAGGACTGCCACCAGGAACATGGAAAGAAGTGTGGTGAGGTTGTTGAGGAAGGCCCAGGTGGAACAGAGGAAGGGGTAGCGGAATACCACATCTGATTTGTTGGTACAGTATGTTATCAGGACTGGTAATACCTGCAGGAAGAGAGGAAGAGTTAATTTAATCTATGAAACTGTAAGATTAAATTTATTTGTCGAATTTGTTGGGAATAGATTTGGAAACGGGAGAACTGAGATCCAGCTTGCCTGAAAACATGTCATCAGATCTACGGAGCTTATCATCCTGAATATAACACTAGTGATGGTAGCTGGGCGCTGGTTTAGGAAGAAGTGCAGCGAAAAAGCGTTGGCCAATCCCCCAAACAGCAGAATTCCGGACATGATTGCAGACAAAACACAATTGCTGAGAGATAGTGCTGTCGTTGATGACATCACGAGATTTTCCGGTGAACTCATGCGATTATCTTTCTCTTTTGCATACTGATAAAAATATAGTTTTTATCAATTTAATGAAAACTGATAAAATTTAAAAGTAGAAACTCCAAAAATTGAACAGACCCCATGCGATCGCCTTACTTACACTTATAGTATATGGTGCGTCGCATTACAAATATTATAATATTTGAAATGCCACGCATTGCGTCAGGTCGGTAAGATTACTAGTACGACAACAATACAGTCAGTACTGAATGTTGATCAATAGAGTCTACACTAATATTACCGGGCAGCTGCATGTGATTGTTACAGTGACTACTGACTACAGATCATCAGCCGAACACCAACAACTCTATCAGTATCACTATCAAACTGATAATCGCAGTGTCATGACTTATGGTATCACGGATTTTGCAAGAAATTTACCTCCCAAACGTCACCCTTATAATATGAGGGTGAGGTTGTTTTAGTTCTAACAAAAGTGGTGAAAATTTCGAGTTGCCCCAGCCCCAATGTTGTCAAATGTGGAAATGGCAGTAATGAAGATGTAGGACAGATGTAGGATAGATGCCGTATAGATGTAGGATAGAAATTATGTGCATATTTTTGGCATTCCCATAATATGGTCGGTAAAAAACTATCCAAACATAATAAATACATCATCAGAAACATTACAGTAAAATTAATAAGCATTCAAGTATAAAAACTGACAAAGATGGTCGTGATATTCTCGAAAGTTCTGTAACAGGTGTAAAAACGTTTGAAGTTTTATAAGTGGCTTTTAAATCGGTTAACTTCAGACTCAAGACTTGAAGTCATTTAGCAGCTGTGCTGTAGGAATCATCATGCGAGATGGTGATTGATGCAGGTACCATTAGTTAATTGCAAGAATGTTCCTCATTCAAGTTTCAGAACTTAAACTTGAAGAAGAGTACGGCAGAAACAGGTGTTTATCATCAGTAACCATTTTCAGACTAACTGATAAATGGTATTTAGCTTATACCTGTCTTCTTAATAAGCATCAGTATTCGAAATACTCTCAAGATTGTAACGATTATACAATTACATCGCAGAAGAATCACTGACTGTTTTAAAAGGACTGATTGTGATGGTGTTCGGCACTAATTGAATTAAGACTTGAACAGCGAGAAACGATTACGGATGAGTTGTACAGGAGATAAAATACCCTCATAACTTGGAATGGAGTACCGTGTATATTTGGAATTATGTTACCGTGAAATCGGAAATGATTAAAATCTTGTTAGGTAGTAAATAAATCTACTAACTATGCTCCTTTTCTGTTCAAACTTTCAAACATCACATGTTAAAATAGAAATCTTCCAAATTTGTTGGTTGAATACGAGCACAGATAAGTAAATTATTAATTATGTTTGGTCAGGGAGCCTTGGAGACGCTCGAATGCTCCTCAAGCTCTAGTAGTGATGTCTCTGAACTATATCCGTCTCGTATTGCACCACACTCTAATTTGTGTTATCCTAATCTTACACGACTCTAGTCAACATTCATCATGACCGATAACTTCTAACATCATATTAAGGAAATAGTCCAATTTGAAGTGTACAATAATTCTGCCTCAATTCTCATATGAGATGACGTACTATGATCCAAGTTAAAATAACGAGCTAAGTAACGTTGCCAGCACATTGGGCAACGTGATGAGCTGACACACATACAATTGGGAACTTAACAGTCACGTGGTTGCCATAACCATGTCACGTGGTCACCATGGAGATAACACGTAATGGTTAATCACTGAACCACTGTAAACAATGATCCAATTAATCTGAGGTAACCAGGCTTCGCTCGAGGCTCCAATGCGTAACAAGGTCATTTCAAGTTGCTTGTTTATCTTAATAGTCAATCAGCTGGTTAGTAAGTGTAAGTTTATTTTCTCTTGTCAGTATAGTCAGTACCGACCATCAATCAAGTAGTATACGGTTATAAAGTTATAAGTATACTCTTCATTCACTCTTATCTGGTGCACAACTTTTTGTAGCAACCTATCATGCAATGCAAAAGCCTGAAAAGTTTTTGAAGATTAGTTTGACTTTTGCAAGATTTATGATAACCTTTATCTTGACTCATCAAAATTAATTTTCAGAAAGTTTCTCCGAAAAGGAAGAAAGTAACTACATGAACATTTACGTGTCTTTACAGCAGAGTAATTATAGTACATCAGGTAATAATTTGTCTTACAACACTTTAGTTTCAATATCAGTTAAATCAAATTCGTTCGACTTCAAAAGAGAGGCTCGAACTATCAAACGTTTACTCTACTGAGGGCTGAAATTGACTCGTTGCGGCGGTAAGACCGCTGGTGCTTTAAGTTTAAAATATCTTAAAATACACAGTATTTCAGCATTCCAGCATCACAATTATTTCATCTCTTGACCCTCCCTTACACAGGACCATGACAAGCAGTAGTAACGACAGCAGCAGTAGCAGTAGCTACGACTCCAGCTCCGAGGAAGAAATAATAGAGGAGACAGTAACCGTAGTACAGGCTAAACCCCGATACTCCTTCAGCAACTTTCAGCTATCTAACGAGTACGATGCAGACGTGACTGTTCAGACAGCAGAAGCAGAGGTAATTCAACCCCCGCCCCCCAGCAGTGAGTCAGAGGTTGAAGAGGTGGTTGTAGTTGAGGAGGTAGTTGTTGTTCCTGCTAAGGAATTTATCAGGACACCAGCCAAGAAACTGGATCCTAAACCTGCTCCTAAACGCAAGGTAACCAAACCAAAATTAAAACAAATGCCAGCCTGGAACAATAACTTCGCTGGAGTTGAAGACTTCGATGCGGAACAAGTGATAAGTGGAGGGTTCCAAAGCGCTCCGGTCCAAGAGGAAGAGAAATGCTTCGTAGCTTGTTCGGCTGATAACTGCAAGGAGAGTCACACAGCCTCCCCAGGAGAAGGAGATCTAGTTCTGTGTGGTCTGGAGGGACCTGGCAGTGAGAGCTCAGGAGATGGGAAGTGTCAGACCTGTGATTCCTGCATTTCTCCATGTGCCGCCAATCATCAGCCTCATCAACACGAGGACTTGTTCGGGGTGTCCTTTTGTCCTCAGCACTCTCAGAAGGATGGAACCACTTACGATGGAGATTTTGTTCCAGGAAAGGGAGAGCGGTGGGAGTATGATAATCGGAATAAGGATGATAATGTTTGGGGAATGCGGGATCCAACGAGGGCTGACTGGGACACCACTAATAGAGAGGACTTTGTTGAGAACGGTGTGAGCTTTGAGAGAGATCGCCCCAATTACAAGGACAAGAACACCAAAGATTCGGTGGTTCTAGGTGCAGAACATTATAAACCTCAAACTTCCTATGATTCCGAGTTTGTAGGTCAAGAGGGAGATCGGGACAAAACAGATTACAAGAAGAAAAACAACGTGGATCATCTTAAAGGAGCTTATGATGGGCCCATGGAACGAAGAAAATCTGATTATGGGTGCTGGGAAATTGTCAATGATCCCAGGGCAAGAGATGCGAATAAGTTTAAGGCAGAGAGAACAAAAGTTAAGTTGGGTGCTGATTCTGATGCTCCGCATCGTAAGTCTGAGTACGGTAACTTTGACCACAGAGCCCCTGACAGGGTAGGTAAATGGAAGAACGAATCTAATGTTGTATTGGGATGTGAAGATGATGGCATGAAACGACCCTGGCGTTACGGTGGACCAAATGACGATGACCAGGCTCGCAGAAACAGAGAAGAAGCAGAAAGAAACAAAGCTAGATCGAAAGGCAAAACAGTATTAGGAGGGGACCCAACTAAATACGGTACATCTTATGTAAAAGATTATCCCGAGAAAGAACTGCCAGCCAAAAAGAAATGCAGCTGCTCCAACTGCCCCGGGTGTCACGCGCAGAAAAAGCGAGTCTGTCCATCATGCCCTGACAAACTTAAAGCCGATCTTGAGAAGGACAAAGGCAACAAACATTACCACATGAGACAAGTACCCAGAGAACACAAAGCTAAAATCATGTCCTCAAAAGGGTGCGATGGCAAGAAGGTTGGACCCCACTATCACTTTGTCACGGGATCAGATCTCAGAGCTGGAAATGTCAAAGTCATGGCCGTCAACAGTGGTGATGAATCTGCAATGAGGGGAGGAATGGATGGTGGAATAAAATTTAAGGGAGGAGTTAAAGGAAGAATGAACGGAGGAATGAACACTCCTGCTCGCTTCGAGGTGGATGCAGGACAAAACAGAGATAGAGCCATGTCTACCAATTGGTCGTTCGTTGATGAGAATCCAGAAAATCGAGCCTATCAGAGGTCTCCTAGAGGAGATGCGGGGAAGAATGGAAACAGGGCTATGTCAACAAACTGGTCCCTTGTGAATAACAACTCAGAGGAGAAGGGATCTTCTGGGGAGGAATCAGGACAGAGTAAGAACTTTTCTACAAATTGGTCATTTGTTGGCGAAAGTCCAGCCGAGAGGGTCGGAAAACAAAGGTCATTCGGAAATAATGGTGGGCGCAATAGGAACATGTCTTCCAACTGGTCTTTCGGAGGTGAGCGTCCAAATGGAGCAGCTCGTCAACATTCTTCTGGAGAAGAGGCTGGGAAAAACAGAAATAGAGCTATGTCCGCAAACTGGTCCAAAATAGCTGATAGTCCAACTGACGTGAGCGGTCAGACGTCATTCGGGGATGATGCTTGGCGGAATAGAAGCAGATCAATGTCCACAAATTGGTCTTTTGGAGGAATTATGTCTAATGATGATGAGCTGCAGTTTAAACCTGATCATCGGCCTAAGAACATGAGATCTAGACATCACACTTCAAGTCAAGTTGTTTTCTAGATAAGGTATAGGGGCACTTCTCGATAGGAACTTTTCGTGTGACCTTTTGAACATGTTCAAAAGGTCGCACGAAAAGTTGCAATTGGTGTAAAAAATTGATTTAAGATTGCTGTGTTCTCATTTGAAAAAGAGGTTAGAGAATATTTTTAAATAAAAATATTTTGATAAATATAAAGAAATATTTCTAATTCTAGCAAGTTGACTGGGAGTTTGAGGCATACATTATTATCATGTGATATCGAAAGTCATTTTTTAATAAAGATTTATTATGTAAAAAGCCCTAGCTTTATTTTTAGTAATCGGATAATCAATGCCCTAAATAAATTATCAGTTTGGTAATAATTCTAAAATTTGTAAGTTGCTTGAAACTTAAATATGCGTAAATGCATTGTGTAGGATGTTAAAATACCCGCTCGAAAATGGCCAACTGTTGCATTCACTCATAAGGTTGATGAATTGATGAAAATTTCCTTTTCTAAAGAAAAAGTCTTGAACTACGAACATTACGTTTTGTCTAAAGTCACTTAGGGAATCGGGGAAGGGGCAAGGGCCCGCAAAGTCAAAATGGTGTAATGTTCGCTTATAGTTATACGTATGCGTGATTTTACAAAAATCGTTATATGACTCAAGGCACTATTTTGGTTATATATTTCTCTAATACGAGCATTCCTCAATCGAAAACATATGTATTTTGAAACTTTCATCGTTTGCTGATATTTTGTACAACATTTTGCATAAATTCATTGCTCCACTAACAATGTTAGTAACATTTTGAGAGCAAGTTTGCACTCCAATGAGTATCGAAATGAAATATTCATTTAATTGCTCAATGGCGTCCCTGATCAAATATATTGGTGTTTTGACCTTTACCGCATTTATAGCTCTCTTAAAGGATGGCTATTTTATTATTTATCGCTTTACTACTTAAAAATGAAAGCGACATAGCATTACGCAATTATTGCATAATGCAATATTTGATCGAAAAGCCTTTTGGATATCGGTCTGGATGCAATAAAGGCACTTAATCTGACGGTAACGCACTACTGAATATTCAAATTTTTCTCCTGTTAAATTCTGCTCTAAAATTACATTTTTAGAGAATATATATAAGATTTCTCGGCTTGAATCCCCACATAGTTGAAATTTACGTTTAGTGTTTCGCAAACTATGCACTGGATCGTTTACCTCTTATAAAGTTATAACACTAGCCAATGTTTGAAACCTCTCTCCCTTTCCACCTAGCCATTGTGTAAGATTACAATTAGCCTCTCGAACCCCCTCTCCCCTAGGCTGGTCCCGGTCTGAAGCTCTGAAGTTGTATCGTCATCGCCGAACGGCACCCCATTTCTACCAATATTACCTCACTTGACTGGAGATTTAGCAAATGGTTACTAACCGCCATTCCCGATTATGCTCACTTATAATATCAGCTCATGGTATAAACAGGTCAGGTGACTCGCTAACAGTCATTTGGTAATAGCCCCTAGTAGAAGTCACGTGATAATATTCACCGCCAGCACCTGGTTCCCTACCTGGAGATAGGAGGAGGGAACAGCCGTTTTACCTCTCATATTAATAACTCTTGTAACGATTAACATAGACGTGCGTAACGTCACCGCTCTGGATTGAAATTGGCACCTCTGCTGCCTTATCCCTTACGTAACATTCAACGGTTTCACGTGGTTTTTGAGGGGGTTATCCACGGTTCAATGGTTTTTAATTTGATCCCAACTCCACGTATCAGTAAAGAGTAATTAAACGATATATTTATAATTTAAGTTAGGGAGGGGTGTTTCTACCTCCACGACGTGAACTGGCTGTTATGTGAGCTTAGTCTGTTTACTATATCACCACACAGCAGCAACACCCTACACAACTCTTCAAAAGTTGCACAATACTGAACCACCACATTTGTAACTCCCTCCTAAACTAGCATCTCTCCTGGAGTATGTGTGCCAATGAGTTCCCGTCTTTAGTTGTGAATCGTGTGAACTGTTTGTGTTGCCGCGCCAGGTGTTTTCTAGAGTATTTAGTCGTTAACCGTGGTTATAGGTAACCAGTTGTGTGTAGGCTGTAGCGCTTTAGGATCTGTCACTCCCTGCTCAAAGTTAACTGTATGTATGTTTGTAAATATTAGAAGTAATTACCTGATGTTGGTGCTCTTAGTATCGCCGTAAAATACGTACTTTTCGGCGTAAAGTACGTAGTGCGTATTTATAACGGTTCATTTTCATCGTAACCATGGTTACGTATGTTTTCTCTGAAAACTAGATTGTCAGATTTACACAGAACTAAATTAAGTGAAACTTTATGAAAGATTCTTTGCAGAGCAAGCTCTTATTTTCAGATGCTTCCTTTTTACCCCGGGCAACTGTTTCTAACATTGAATTGTTGCGGACGTTTGTCCGTTAATAATTATAATTAACACTCTTAACAGCCGCTGCCATATGTCAAATGAGCTCCTGGATAATAAGTGCTAACATAATTTCAAATGCCAAATTGTTAATGAAAGTGACCAGTAGGTCTATAGGTCTATTATATAGGTCTATTATATAGGTCTATTATATAGGTTTTACATAAGGTCCTCTCCGATATTTGAATTGACATGTTCAGTTTTTATTGATAACTTTGACTGGAGACCCGTCCTTGGGATTAGACGGTAAATATCATACCGCAACATCTCCTTACCATACGTTTTCCTTTAGTATATATCAGAATTGTTGTGGCATTACATTTAGGTAGCAGTTCACCACAGATACAATATCAATATTTTAAAAGCTGCGTGGTCTTATGATTGGTGCTTGTTTCGGAGCTCATGTTTGTTCGTGAATTATTGTACATTATATAATATACATTAATCAGATATTTATTTAATTATTATACATTTGTCACATACCGTATGATGCTGTATAGTATTCTATTCGGATCTTTTACTTGGAGTAGACACCGAATAGTCACATACTGAGGACTATAATCTTTACCCATGAGGTTAACAATAACTGACCTCAGTAGTCAGTGTCCATGTTTGTTACACACACGTGAATAGTTAGAATACTGAGTAATAATAGAAAGAGGAATGTACAGGTACTAGATCATATTAAAATCACACCAGAGTTTAGAAGTGGTTCTTTGTTAAGTCTACACAGCTGTCCATAATATTATCAGTGATCCATCTTCATTTCAGGACGAATTATACGTTTTCTGATACACCACCTTAATATGAGGTGGTACCCATTATCTCCTGAAATCTGTGTTAACTCCTGTATTAATCTGTCTCCACAAAACACACAGTACTGTTGCCACAAACTCCTGTTAGTTGCAACAGTACAGGACCCTGGATCAGCGGAGAAGCGTCTCCCTCATGAGATCCCAGCAGCTGTGTATAGAACACATTGTGTGGTGTAATACTCTGTACTCAGTTTCCTCTCCTTCTCTTCCGCGTCCTGCATATAATATAACTCTCGTATAGATAATATAACTAGTATCTCTCTCTCTGTAGACTATATAAGCGAACCTTACATTTATTTCTGCAGACAGTAACTTGATCGGAGTTTTTATAATAGTGGTCTCGTAGATCTGTTAGTCGAGGTTATTATCAAGATCTAGATACAGTTCTCCATGAGGAAGGAGCTAGACTGTGCCTCTTTTTTACAATTCCATGGAAACATTTTATCGGATAACTTGCTACTCAAATCACACTCTCTGTTAAGTATAAGGTAGCTTTAATTGCTATTTTTAATTAAGGACAGCCGGGGTTTCTTATGGTTTCTTTTAATGAGCCACAACTACAAGACAGGTGCGTGCCGGGTCCCACACTTTCAGGGCGGCAGATGATCTTTGTTGTTCCTTTCTTTTAGTTATACTTCTTCCAAACTATTCACTGTTCTCAGAATCTTTTCGGTTTTTTATTTCATTAATAAAATTAAATTTAATGTTGAACGTTTAATTGCTACTCAATATTGCAGAATTTGGATTTAAAGTAGAATATCCGTGTATCGTCTAATAAATATTACGTAGTCATGATTTATGACTTATGAGTCATCCTACTCAGAACTGAAGTTTCGAAATTTGATTTTATTCTGTCTACTTTCTACTTTCTAGTAGACAAGATAAATAACTGTTCGGATTATGCTATTACAATTTCGTTCGATGTTTAAGTTTTCTTGTTCATCTAAGCTTGGAGTTATTTATAAATTAGTATCAAATTCGTTTTTAAATTTGTATAAACCTTCAAGGTTCAGGAGCGTAGGGCTGTAGGCTGAATTGTTGGATAAATAGACCAAATATCCGAACACTTACGGTGCTGACCCCAAACACTGCAGCAGCGCGAAACTTCTGTTTAGTTTCATGTTAGACATGATAACTCCATTTTGAAAGCCGAATGCAGTTCGTACAAATATAAACGAGGCCCAATATTTCATTATCGCAAGGCCAGGTTTTGGATATTAAGCTGTAATAGAATTATCAACATTTTAAAATATCCGCGCGTTCGATTTTTATTACACTGATATTTTTCATGCAGCATTTGAATGTTTTTATTATTTGTTGTACAAACTGAAGATCCTGTCAAAATAATTAAACATCGTTAATAGCAATGCCATTTCCTCAATCTTTCATACTTGATTTATTTTAATCACCGTATAATTTAAAATTAAAGTATTATATGGGCTTTTATAACCGCGACCGGCTATTCATTATCCAACCAGCTCCCGAAAACACCCACTGTAGTCCCCTAACTGACGCAGTAGAAGGGATAACTGGTTTAGCAAGCAACGTCCCCGCCCCTGAACAACTTCATTGTGAGGGTGACAACGGAAGTCTGCCCGACTCACAAGATAAACAAGACGACACCACCATTGTTGAAAAACAACTGCGATTTTTCTCGAGAGATACCTGCGACAAGATTCTTAACAGTGCCTCGTCTAAGAATCTCAACAAGTGGATAGACCTTTGTGGCCTAACCAGTCAGAAAACAAACGAGCGAAGTCAAACTGCAATTAAAGCGTTTTTTAACCTTGTGATTGACAACAAATACAGCACGTACCCGTCAGCACCTCTCATAACTAGTCTGGTCGAGAAAATGGCAGTTGATTCGCTAGATCGAGAACTCAAAAGGTTTGAAATAAACTTCAACCCGCAAACTCCTGTTGACAATAAAAAGAAACTGCTGCGTGACCACGTCAACACTATTGGGCGCGAAGCTAGAAAGGCAAATCCTCCAGATCTCATTAACTCTGAGACTGACTCTGAGTCAATATCTTCTGAACTCAGC